ACCCTAACCCTAACCCTAACCCTAAGAGAGTGCACAGAAAGCAAGTCAGTGCAAGGGAGAGTTGAGGGAGCGCCTTTGAGCAAGTTGAGGGAAAGCAAGCTGCTCGAGTCAGGCTTCTCCTCCACCTGACTTCTCCTGCTCTTCTACCTCCTCCGCAGCACTTTTTGAGACCGTTCTCAACATCTCAGTGCAGCCCGGCCCCAGCTAAGCGAGCTGTACCTACGCTGCCCTCCTCTTGAGCCTGAAAAGCGAGACCAAGTCCGGAACACCCTGCCCAACTCGCCCTCAAACACACTGTCTCGGGCAGCGCACTCCCTGCGCTACCAGGAAGCGGAAGAACTGAGTCAGCAGCCTGGAAACTGAGAGAGCTGGCCCAGTCCCTCCTCCCCTGCTTCTTAGCCAAGTCTGAGGGAGAGAGACTGGACTGACAGTGTGGAGAGAGAGCGACACCCCTGCTCTTGAAGTTCACTTGACGACTTTGTTGAGCCTGTCTGGAAAGCGAGTCAGCCTGTTTTGGAGGGGAGAAGGAGGAGAGGGAGTGGTCAGTCTCCTGCTCTTCCTGCCCTTCTCACTGCCCCAAACTGCACCTTCTCCATCCCCTTGACCTTGAGAGAGCAACTGAATCTGTGGGAAGCCGCACAGAGTCAGTTTGAGAGCAGAAGGAAGGGTGAGAAGGTCCGCTGCACCTGGCGTGAGCGAACTTGCCGCCGAGGCCGCGCCCTCTCGCCGCAGCGAGCCCCAATACCCAGCGAACAGCCAGAGGACGCCCGTAGCGAAGACTCGTGCGGCTGAAGCAGCTGGAAAGGGTGGAAAGTGCAAGCGAGAGCGGAAGCGCGAGAGAAGAACCCGTAGGACGAGCTTTCGACCACAAAGGACGGGGTCTAGCGACGGTCGTAGCAGAACACAGAGGCAGCGAGCCTGAAGAGCTGCCTCGCGAAGCTCAAGCGCGGACAAAGCGAGAGAAAGGGCGGGCGAAGAGGTTTGGGCGAAAGGTCTTGCCAGGCGATAAAAATGCTGCCGGGCGAGCTGTTGCATGTGCGGCGTGCGGCAGTGAGAAGGGCGAGAGTGTTGGCGAAGCGGATGGAACCGGAAGGAGCGCAGCAGCTAGCTGCGAGTCAGCGACAAGTCCCGAGCGGAACGAAGTTCAGCGAGACTTGGACGCACTGACAAGCCAGCTGTGCACGTTCGAAGGGCACCTGTGAGCCTGTACGTGCGAGTAGAGCGTGTTAGCGGTCGTACAGACCCAGTAACGAGAGCGGGAAGTGACGAAGGAGTGAATGAGAACGGACGGACCAGAGGAAGTCGTCGCTGAGCGGTAACCGCTGCTGCCACGACGGACGAGCGCGTCAGTACAGTACTCTCTACACATTCGCCGAGCGCCGGACCTCCAGCTCCTCTCACACCGCTTGTGGGTGTCCTGGCGAGGAGGAGCAGCTGAACTTTCCGCGCCCGTTTTCCGCCTTTACCCTCGTCAAGCCACAGCCTAGCCCTCCGAAGACCCTATTGACTGACCGTCCGCATGTCGAACCCCGACCTACGCCGCGTGCGAGCCGAGTTGAACGAGGAAGACGCACCGGAACTTCGAGGTCGAGTGATGGCGGTACGCGGCCGCGGGTCGGGCAGGCGAGGTGAAAGAGCGTCGAAAAAAGCGGTAGCAAGGGAGTCGCAAGCCCAGCGGGCCCTCCTGAGCGGAGTGAGGGTCGACGAGGAGGACGAGGAGCGACTCGCGAGGAGGGTTGGACTTGGCACGCTCACCGCTCTCGCTCGGACGGATGCTAGACGTTATCGAGCTGATGCATGCTCTGCTTACGATGACGCCCGGTCTTCTCCCAAGCCGTCGCTGCTGTCGCTCGCCCGTCTCCCCACCTTTCGCCCTCGGTGACTTGCTCTCAACACCTCACGGCGCCGCCTGACAACGGCGCACAGACGACAAGGTGTCTCTGTACACTCTCTGTGCGGCGAGTGCGGCCCGCGCAGGCCGGGAATGGCGAGGCTGAGGTGCGTCGGTCCTTCTTCCCCTTTCAACGTCGCGTCCGCTGATCTCGGTACTCGTTGGTGGCAGACAGATAAGTAATCCTGATCGTTAAGCCAGTAACGCTTCCGGATCACGCCCGGAGTAGATTCTCTCGATCCGGCATTCCCGACATCTTCGCCTGTCCCCTTTCCTTCGCCAACTTTCACCGACCGCGAGATCCCTACTCGACTCGCTCAGCAGACGACATACTGCCCCCGCATCAATTTGGCGCATGACTCGCCTCGCCGCCTGCGTCGAAACGCCGACTCTACTCGCCTTCTTCCCGTCACTCTCTCGTACTTGGAGATGAGCTACTCGGACGTGCTTTCTCCGATCGATTCGACTTACAGCACGCCCGCAAAATCCTCACGACGCAGTATCGCCGGTTCAGACTCAGGCGGATCGACACCTCCGCCTCACCACGCGACCTACCCTCTTTCGAACCCCTCCTCCACGCTCAAGTCGACGACTCCCCCCTTTAGCACCCTCAGCCGGCACACATCCGACTTACCAGCGTACTGCTGCACCACGTGCAACTCCGCCCTCACGCCCTCCGTCAACGAATCGCCCCCAGCCACGCTCAACGCGATTTCTCCCTTCCGAGGAACTCGCTCCTTCACCCAGCTTCGCCCATGCCGGATACAAGCGCACCTTGATGCGCTATGAAGCGTCGCGCCTTGCACGCACGACGGTCCTGCTTGTCGTGTGCTTTCGCTGTCGGCCCGAGGACTTTCGCGTTCTCCCTCGGCTCCTTCTTCGGTCCCCAGGTCTTCGACGCACGACAACTCTGTCGCTTTGCTGCAACGTCACGACGAGCAGTCGATGCCTTCACATTCTGAGATGCTCGGCAGCCGCCTCGGTCGGTCGCGAGGAAATCTCGTTTCTCTCGTGCTCGCTTCCGCCTGCGAAGGACGGGTGCCGGCCCAGCCACGACGCTCCTCGCTCGAGTGGTGACATCAGACGCGGCCACGGAGGCGTGGAGATGAAGCTGCGCGCGACGGACTCGCCTGACAAAGCGGCGGATCCGCCCGCCTCCACTGGCGCAACTCCACGTCCTCTCGCCCGAGCGCGTGCGCTAAGTGCGCTCGCAGGGCCAGCGTCGCACAGAGGAGTCGTGGAACTCGCGCGCGCGACACCTCTTTCAAGCGGGGCAGATTTCCCGAGCGACGTCCTCGTCTGGTCCGCGCGATCTCCTCGGCGGAAAGGCGGCATGATCTCGTTCCGCCGCGCTGACTGGATGCGCGGAGATCAACACAGCCAAATCGCGTAATCGCTGACACTCTTTCCATTTCGAGGCATGCGCGTTTCGCTCGTCGGGCCACGGCCTGGCGCGCGGAGGTTTGCTCGGCCCTCGCGACTTCGTCGAAGAAATCCCGCGAGCTGCTTCCCTTCCCTCTCGTCCTCCTCCACCACTCCTTGCGCACGCCCTGGACGCAAGAATGACCGCGACACCGACGTCCAAACACATCCTCCAGAAGGGCGCAGCGTGCTCGACGTGCAAGGTGCGTCCGTGGATTGTCCGCCCTCGCTTCCTCGCGTTCGTCAGCAGCTCATCGTCAGCCCGCTCTCGCAGGCTCGCAAAGTCAGGTGCAACGCCGCCAAGCCCGCCTGCGACGCATGTCGTCGCTCAGCACGCTTCAGGGGAGAAGACCCTGAGCTCGTCGTCTGCAGCTACACCGTCGGACGGCGGTGCGGAGCGGGAAAGGACAAGGAGAAGGAGACTCCGAAGCGTTCGCGCTCGACGGGGCGGCCAGCTCGCGACGTCGACGTCGTCGTTGCGTCGCCTTCAGCCGAGGCCGCTGCATCCGCGACGCCCGGACGCAGCGAGAAGTGGATCGAGTGTGGGTCCATGTTTCGCGACTTTGCGCGGGGTCATGGAGGCTGACCTCGTCGTTTCCTCGCCTCGCAGACGCATCAAACCCTCTGCCAGCATTGCAGGAACCTGTACCACCGCTCGCCATCCCCCAGCAGTTCTTCCTGCCGTCGCCGGCGTCGTCCTCTTCCGCCTCCTTCGCCTCCGCCTCCACCCCCGCCTCCTCTTCCTCCTCCTCTTTCCCTTCTCCCGTCCTCGACGCCGCACCCACATTCGAGCAACGACCACAACGCTTCAACCTGCCCGCGCCCATCCCCGTCGCGCCGTTCTCGTCGACGCTGCCGGCCTTCCTCGGTTTGACCTCGCCCTCGTTCGGCGCCGCGTCTCTCCCGTCAAAGCAGGCACCCGAGATCGACGCAGCGACACTACTGCAACAGCTCGACGCGGCGTACCCCTTCGTCATCGCGACTTCGCCCGAATCTTACGCCGCTCCTCTCCCCGATCCTCACTCTCCCGTCTCTTCCGCCTCGCTCTCGTCCTTCCACTCGGGAGAAGATGCGTCCTCGACGTACTCGTCGGTGTCGAGCTCGCCCTTCTCGCTCTACGACGACCTCGACTTTGCGCTCGCGCTCTCGAACGCCCCCTCGTACCCTCCTCAGCCAGCGCCTTTCAACGACTACAAAACTCTGCCGCTCTTCTCCGCGCCCCCACAACTAACATACGACGCCCAGTCGCACCCCGCTGCGCCGCTCCTCCCCTCGACGGCGTTCTTCGTCGACCACTCGAACCCGTTCCTCCCGACCGCGCACGACGGCGACAAGACGCTCGCCCTCCCTCTCTTCGGCTCGACGCCGGCGTACCAGTGGTCCTGATACGTGCTTCGTCCTCACCTGTACATACACCCTTCGCGTTTCCCTCTGTGCATACTCCTCACATGTTGTCTCTTTTCCCCCCGCTCCCTTCCCCTTGTCTAGATCCTCCTCCCTCGCTATACCCATTCTCGATAGACCTCTCACGAGTAGTAGCCGGCCAGACTTGGCAACACATCCCTTACCCTTCCACCGCTGCTTCGCAAAGCAACCTGCGGAGGTTTTGCCTTCCCTCCCTTCCGCCGCGACTCGATTACTCATCCCGCTTGTCGTATGTAAGCGAGATCGTGTCGCGAGCGGAGAGACACTCGCTCGGACTTCGCACTCTACGGCTCGACGGGCGGACGGCATCCGGCCATCCGCAGCTTCCTTCCCTTCCTCACCCTTTCACGCTCGAAAGCCCTTCGTCACGAAGGATGACTGAGACGAGGTTGTCGTCAATCATGATAGAGATCGGGCGGCGGAGCATCACTTCGCAAAGAAACGGGACCCTGCGAGTCGACGTTCCTCCGGAGATAGAAACAGCAGCGATACGCTCGCCTCCCTCGACGAACGGCGGTACGATTCTCCGAATCTCGATGGGCGCGAGTGCAAGAGAGGCGACAAGTTTGCATCGAGGAGAGCGAGCGGTAGTTGTACGAGTTCAGGATTGATGCGCCCGCCCAGAAAGAACGGGGCTACAACATAACGAGTGACCGCTATGTACACGTGCGAGGCGAGGCGAGGCGACAGAGTTGTGAAAGGCACATCTATGTATCGGTTGTCGAGAGTCGCGAGTCGGGACGAAAGGCGAAGCGAAGCGAGTTTATGGGGAAAGAGGAGGGGAAAGTCGAAGGGGCAAAGTCGGAGACGCCGTCACGCAAACTGCTGCTGGAAGTACTGCGACCCTCCGCCGTTGACGAACCAGCTCGGCGTGCTGCTGGAGAACGTCAACCCGGGGCTGGGGAGGTGGAACGAGCCGGTCCACTGTTCGCCCAGTCCGGAATGGTGTTGCTGCGTCGCCTGGAAGTGCGAGTCGCCGCCTCCGGTCGAGGAAGAGGGGTACATCTCGCTGACGGAGAGCGAGCGGAACGGCGTAGGCGGGAGACCCGAAGTCGCTCCTCCTCCCGCTTGACCGTACGTCGAGCTAGACGACATCGGTCCTCCGTGTCCGCTCGCTCCGACTCCCGTCCCAAGCGAAGGTGTCGCCGGCGCGCCCGAGAGGTACGGCGGGAAGCACCCGTCTGGAGCGAGCGAAAAGTCGTACGACGAGGTCGGGAGTTTCGCGAGTGTCGAGGGCGTCAGGACCGACTGCATCGCTCCTGCGAGCTCGTGACTCTGCTGCTGCTGCGAGGGGTACACGCCGCCTTGGGGACCGATTCCCGCACGCTGCTGTTGCGACGGCCACCCTTGCGACGGGACCATCGGCGCGCTCGCCGTCGCGTTTCCCGCACCCACACCCGCTTCCGAGATGGGTGCGTGAGCGAGCGGAGCAGGCGAGGTGGTGCGCGAGACGGCGGGCGAGACGACCATGCTCGGATGGGGCGGGAGCGAGATGCTCATCGCCGGGGCGTTCAGGCGGCGCGAAAGGAGGTTCTTGGCCGAGTCCGTCGCAGGGGCGGGTGGGCAAGTCGCTGCGTGCGTGTGCATGGGGAAAGTCGACTGGGAAGGCGAGACGGAAGCGGGAGGTTGAGGATACGTCGCTTGCGGGACGAGGTTGGGCGGGGGAGGCATCCATGTCGCGGCCGGGTGTGCGACGGGCGGAGCGAGGTGCGAGTTCGTAGGGAGGAACGCGCCGGCGAGCGAGGCGGGTGCGGTCTGGTAGTGAGCGGGAGCGGCGACGGGCGGGAGCTGGAACGAGACGGGCGGGGGGAGCTGGAGCGACTGGTCGGGCGAGTTCGACAACTCGCCGCCCATTGTCGACTTGAGCGAGGTCGTCGACGACGCGGGCGAGATGATGGACCCTGCATCTGCGCCGCCCGTCCCGGCGAGCGAGTCTGTCCCGGACGAGCCAGACGACGAGGTCGACGCGAGCGAGCGGGACGATCCCGTCGAGCGAGACGTAAGCTTGCGGCGAGGGGCTAGCGAATCGAACGCGGAACTTGCGAGGTCAGCAACTGTCCAAGGGGCGGGCAGAGCGGGAACGCACCGGGCCCGACATTCGGGTACACCTCGCCGTTGAGGGTGGGTCCGCCCTCCTCGCTGCACAGTCCCTCGCCGTTGAACGCGCAGTGGGCCTGCGCGAGGTCGTGGCCTTTGAAGCGGGCTGTTGGCGAGGGAAAGGTGAGCGAGGTGGAGGTTCACACAAACGGCGACAGCGCGGGCGCACCTGTGCGCAGGCACGACGTGCAGGCAAAGACTCCAGTCGCAGGGTCGGGCTGCCCGCTGCAGCGCACCTTGCGGGTGAAGCAGCGATGGCAGGCGCTGTGTTTCGATGGCAAGAGAATGTCAACGGCGCGCGAGAGAGCGACGGCGTGCGCGCTCACCTCCCTCGAGCCAACGGAGGCCTCGCAGCCTCTTCTGGCGTCCTCTTGATGGGCATGGCGTCGCAGGCGAGTCTGGCGAAGGCGGCGGCGGAAGGGAAAGGCGGAGCGAGGGATCGTCGAGCGGTCTGGGGACGAACGGTGTTGGCTGTCGCGTGCTGGACGGGCGCGAACGTCGAGGCCTGCGTGTATGATGGGCCTGGCGTCGTTCGCTCGTCGTCGAGTGCGCTGTCGCTCGTCAACCGGCGCACGCTCGTCGGGCGACGATTCCGTTCTGCAGAGCTTCTTGCTTCCTCGTGCTGTGCCTGACACAGACCCCTGCCAGTCTCAAACACGATGACGCACCGAACGGACTGCTCACACCGCGACACGCGCCCAGATCGCACCCGCATCTCTCTCTCCCATTCCCACCGTGCGAGCCTCGCTTGCATACTCGAGTGATTCTGGTACTCGCGAGGAAGATACAGCGGAGAGGATTGGGCTGCAGAACACCTCGCTCCGCTTCCTCGAGCGACCAGGAGCTCGGTCAAGACGCCAGCAGCGGCTCCATCCTCGGGAGCAGCTCCCTATCGCTAATTCGATCGTGCGTGCTTTCCATCAAGGCTGGTGATTGCGCCTGAACCAGCGGCAGAGGCGGCGAACGGAGGTGGCTGGCAAAGCGACCCGCCTCCTATCCTTGGCGACGACGACGACGATGGCGCTCTCTTCTCGCTCTCTTCCTCACTCGCACGCACGCACGCGGTGGCGCAAAGTACCGCACAGGCACCGGCTGCCGTTCCAACACGGACGAAGGAGCAGAGACTGCCCGCCGCTCTTCGATCTCCCTTCCTCCTCCCAGATTCGCAGAAGCTTGTCATTTGCGCTTCCTTTTGGACCCTGGCCTTGTCTCCCTCGCACTGTCTCGAACAAGCCAAGCCCGGCTTGCCCACCGCGATTCCTCCTCGAGGGTGTGTGTCCTCCGCTCTATCCAGATCCGCACGCAAGACGGACCGCTGACCTCGCCCACTCTGATCGTCCGCTCTTGCAGATCTACATCGAAAGTCGACGCTTGCCCTCTCTCACCAAGATACCGAGCGCGCCCCGAGTTCCCGATACCTCCCCTGCCCTCGTCCTGCTCCTCTGGACTCTGCCGATTGCGCCGCCTTGGTACTGGTCCGCGACCGGCTCCGACCTCGCACCTCGTTCGTCCCATTCCTCCTCGACACCGACACACGACAACGACCTCGATCCCTCCTCGACTCGGGAAGCCGCCGTCCATGTCCGCCTCGCACTCCGACACTTCTCCCGCCCCGCCCGCTTCCTCCTCCTCCTCGGCGACGCTCCCGCCAGAGCAGTGCCTCACCCCTCCGTCCGTAAGGCGGAGGGAAGCCCGCCTCGCGCGTTGCGCAATCGCAGCCTCCAACTCTGGTCGAGGCGGAGCGGAAACCGAGACCGCCGGCGACGACGGGACTCGGGAGCGCCGCCCTCGGACAGAGTACGCAGCGGAGGAAGTTCAAGCTCGTCGGGTTGGGCGGAGGCAAGCGGAGCGCGAGGGATGGAGGGGATGGGAAGTCGAAGCTGAGGGGTACGACGGGCAGCGGTGGGATGAGGGGGTGGTGAGGGCTGATGGTACGGTGGATTGGGCGAGATTGGAGGGTGCGACTGTAGGAGGTGAGGCCGCGGGACTGGAGCATGACGTTCTGGCGCTCCCGACCGCCGATGACCCGCTCTTCCTCCGCGACTCGCTCGACTACGACGCCCAGCCCGCCACGCTCCCTTCTCCGCCCTCGACGACTACCAGACTCGGTCTCGACTCCCTCCCACCGAACACGGTCCCGCTCCTCCTCTCGGCGCTGTACATCGCCTTCCGCGCGCTGTACCCCGCCTCGCGCACGTACCGTCGCACGCGCTCTGCTGGACAGACCGGCGTCGAGGGCAAAGTGCGCATGGGGTCGAGGGAGTAGGCCTCAGGGAAAAGGCGAGGGTTCCTTTCGTTTCGCTGTGCATGTTGACGTCCTTCGTTTGCGGTCTTGTATCCTCGTTTCGTGTAGCTCTTACGACTTTCGTTGACGACGTTCTCCAGCCTGTAACGACGACTCAGTCTGAACGACGAAGCAAATGGTCCTCGCCCTCAAACCCGACGAGGTACAGCCGAAATGCGAAGTGTACGATTGCGAGCGCGCCTACTCCTCCTCGTCCGCCGGTTTCCCCGACTCGATTCACTCAGTACTCGTCCGCCTGGCCTTGAACTATACAATCGTCAATGCGCAAGCACAGGCGCGCGAGCTGTGTTGCGAGGAGCAACTGGGATTGTTTTGATTTGAGAGGGTCCACCACGAACTGTGCCCTCATGTCTGCGAGCGCCGAGGCGGGAAAACGTCGAAAGGGGCGGCGGCGGAGGTCGAGTGTTGAGGTGAAGGCGAAGTTTAGGACGAGCCGAAGTCGAGGTCGAGGTGAAGAGTCGAGACGAGGCGAGGCGAAGGCGCGAAGTCGGCGGGAGAGGCGAGCCGCAGAATCGAGAGGCAGTTGAAGTCGAGTCGCGGAAGAACGAAGAGAGGGAGGAAAGAGACGGCGGAAACATCCTACACCGTCAGCAAATCGGGGGCCAATGGGTAGCCAGAGTTCCGAACGCACCGTTGTTACCCTTGCCCAAGCAGTCGACGCCCAACCTCGAGTTGCCCTCGGTGACCTGCCTACTCTTGACCTCAGCCAGCGTCTCAATCGGCGCCAATCCCGAGTTCTCCGCGAGCGCAAGCGGGACCGCATCGAGGGCGGTCGCGAACGCGCGCATCGCATACTGCTCGATCGAAGCGACCTTGTCGGCCTCGTTCGCGACGGAGATGGAGCACGCAATCTCGGCTGCGCCTCCGCCGTAGACGACGCGGTTGTCGCGGACGAGGTTGCGGACGACGCAGAGGGCGTCGTGGAGCGCTCGCTTGGCCTCGTCGACGATCTGCGCGCGGTCACACCGATCAGCACGGCCAATGAACCAGCAAAGAAGGACGACGTTACCATCTTGTTCGACCCGCGGACAAAGACCGTGACGGCCTTCGAGTTGGCACAGTCTTCGATAACGAGCATCTTGTCCCGCGTCGTGCCGAACGAGACCTCGCGGACGACGCCGGCGCGGCCGAGCTTGGCGGCGGAGAGGTCCTCAAAGCGCGGGACGATGCGGCCGTTGGTCGCGATGGCGATGAGCTGCACCGCGGTCCGGGTCAGCCAGACTCCTCATTAGGCCAGACGTCCGCACGCACCTCGATCTCCGGCCCGCCGACCCACCGCACGGCGGGGAGGTCGTTCTGCATGAGGAGGTGGTTCGCCTCGTCGTCAAAGCCCCACTGGCAAATGACGAGGTTCGCGCCAGTGTCCTTGACCTGCCTAATCATCGTCTGGAACTTTTCCATCTCGTACTCCTGAAGCTTCTTGAACTCTTCGACCGAGGTGATGTCGAGCTTGTGCTTGGTCTTGGGCCGAGGGGGCTCGAATGGGCAGGTGAGGATGGCGAGTTTGGCGTCGGTGATGGAGCGGGGCATCTGAGGGTGCGACATGTCCTTATCGAGGAGGACGCCGCGGATGAGAGTCGTGTCTTCGAGCGAGCCGCCGACTTTGCCGGAGACCTTGATGAGGTCGAAGGGAACGTCTTTCCGGTCGAGGTCGGCGACCGAGAGGACGGCGTCGACAGCAATCTTCGCAAAGAGGTCGTGGGCCTTGGAGACACTGCGGGAGGGACTACGTCAGCACGACTGAGCGAGCCAGACGCAGAATCGCGGCACGCACATCTTGCTGCCCATGCTCGTCTGCGCAACCTTCAACAACTCGCCCGTCTCCTCCCTCGAATACGGGATGACGTCTCCAATCCGATCCAGCTCTGCGACCGCAACCGCGCACGCGCGGTCGTACCCATCGGCAATCTTGATGGGGTGGATGCCGCGGTCGAGGAGGGCCGAGGCGTTCTCGAGCAAGGCGCCGGCGAGGACGACGACGCCCGTGGTGCCGTCGCCGATCTCGTCGTCCTGGGACTTGGAGAGCTCGACGAGGAGTTTGGCAATCTCGTGCTCGACCTGCAGATTGGGATCCGAGCCAGTAGTAGAAGGTCCGCTTGTCAGCCAACTTTCGCAAAGCGCAATGTCGGAACTTAAACGCACCTGCATCTGCCCCATGATCGTCGCGCCGTCGTTCGTGACCGTGATATCGCCGTCAGGGGAGATCATGATCTTGTCGAGACCTGTCCATGCGTGCACCCCTCGTCAGCCCACTTTCTCGCGCCAGGGGACAGCTGGGCGCACCCCGGGGACCCAAGCTGGTCTTGACGATGTTGGAGACTGTCCGGGCGGCGCGGATGTGCGACTTGAGCGCTTCGAGGCCGTGAAGGCGGGTTCGCTTGCCCTGGTCGCGGATGATGACGAACGGGCGGCCGTACTGTGGGCGTCGAAATCAATCGTGGGACGCAGAATGTATCGTACGGGCGAGGAGAACCGAGGAGGTAGTCGGAGTCGGAGTCGAGGGAGAACAACGGTTGGTCAGCTAGAGCGAGATCACAGGGTTCATCAGTCGTACGCACCTCATCCACCGCATACTGCGCGTTCTGAGGCAACCCCTGCATCGCGACAATCCGGTTCGAGGGTGGGAGAGTTGGTCGAGAAGGGAGATGGGGAGAAGGAGGGAGTCGAGGTGGCTCGAAGGAAAGGCGCTGCTGGTCTGCGGAGCCACGAGTCATGTCAGCAGCGTTCTCTAATTGTCCTCTACTCGTCTCGGGCTTTCACCATGCCCCGCCAGCACCTGTTGTCGCGAGCGGTTCGAGGGAGCTCGATGCGGGACGAGGATGAACGGGGACAAGGCGAGGGGGCTAGAGCTGGTCACCAGTGCCCCCAGAAAGTACTTGAACTCACATCTGAGCGCGTCCTTGGTCTCCTGAGCGAGTTGTCCGTCGACGAGATGAAGCGTGCGAGGACGAGGTGTGGGTTGGCAACCGTCGCGTCGTTCTCTCGCGCTGTTTCGCTCTCGTGTGGCTCGGACGTGGCTCAGACTCGCTCGCTGTGACTGTCAGACCGTGCTCGTCCTTCCCCGCCGTCCTCACGCCGCCGCGATGGCGCACTCGCTCCGCCCGGTCGCTTCCCCCGCCGACGCCGACGACAACCGCCAGTTCACCGCTGCAGACGCGCAGAGAGTGTACGCACTCGCCAGGGAGGACTCGAGACTCGGTACAAAGGTCCGCGAGGCACTGGATATCGTCGAACGCGCGCTGGACGAGTACGGGTGCGTCCTGTTCCGCCGAACTCCTCCCTCGGCAACTCGCCGCAACCTCGCCTGGCCCTTTCTAGACTCGCTAACCCTCGACACAACACGCGCAGACTCGAACAAATAGCCCTGAGCTTCAACGGCGGCAAAGACTGTCAGTACAGCCTCTCGAATCCCCCCACTCTCGCTTCGATTCCATCCGCTTCGCCCGCGAGTTACCGTGACTGACGGTGTTCACCCTCGCAGGCACCGTCCTCGTCCACCTCCTTGCCGCCGCCATCCTTCGCCGTCATAACCCCGCCCTCATCGACTCCCCCTCCTCCGCCTCCTCTCCCTCGACATCCTCCTCGTCGCTACCTCCCATTCCAACCATCTACGTCCGCTGCCCCTCCCCCTTCCCTCAAGTCGAAGCCTTCGTCTCCCTCTGCGCGCGGTGGTACGCGCTCGAACTCGAAGCCGTCGAAGGTGGGATGCGGGAAGCTCTCCAAGTCTACGTCGATCGGCGGAAATCTTCACTCGCGCTCTCGAACGGCTCGGGAGGACGAAGAGGGGAAATCAAAGCGGTCCTTGTTGGGACGCGCCGGAACGACCCGCATGGGGAACACCTCCGACCGTTCAGTCCGACGGACGCGGGATGGCCGGATTTCATGCGCGTCCACCCGATTCTGGATTGGAGCTATGGAGACGTTTGGGCGTTCTTGAGGGCCGAGACGTTGACCCTCGGTGACGGCGGCGAGGGAAAGCGGAGAGGACTCGAGTGGTGCGAGTTGTACGACTACGGGTGGGTCCTCTCTCCTTCTCTCCTCCTCTCTCATCCTTCGCTCTCCTCCTTCGCTCTCTGCCTTCTCTGCTGACGCGAAGACTGGGCGCAGCTACACCTCCCTCGGCTCAACACACAACACCTTCCCCAACCCGCTCCTCCGCGCCACCACATCCGGTCCGATCTCCCGACCCTCCTCTCCCACAGGCTCGACGGCGAAGACGGCGGGTCAGCCTCTAGGTGGTTGGAGACCGGCTTGGGAGTTAGTGGATGAGAGTGCGGAGAGGGCAGGTCGGTGAGTCGGGATTCATCTTTACTCGTGTGATCCGCGTGGTGTCGCGAGGTACTCGGGTCGCTTTCGGCCTTGGTGACTTGCTGCTGTGCCAGGTTCGCTGGATCGCGAGTCGAGTGCTGAACCGGTGCTCGCTTTGACCCGCAGGGAAACCTCCCTCTCGAAAGTCCTCGACCAGACACGCCCTTCTCCTTCCGCCGCAACGGCGAACGGCATGAACGGGTCGGAGAAGCGGTAGCTGCATTGACTGGCTCACGCAGGAAGTGCTAGACGGACTGAAGTGATCTAGACGGGACGGGCGGGAGCATGGGAGAAACGACGTTGTATCGACCCAGACGCAATGCACGAGCAGTACACATGCATCTTTGTACGAAGCAAACGAGAGTCGGTGGCATTTCAGGTAGACGGAAGAGAGAGGACAACGGGGCACAGAGTTAATCTGGACGAGACTCGGGACATAGGAACAGCGAGAGTTGATTGCGCCGACGGCTCAGGCGAGGGTGAGACGGACGGTGAGGATCTGGAAGGCGCGGAGGCGAGGGATGTCGATCGAGTGCGAGGAGGGGGACGAGTCGCTTGCGAGGACGTTGAGCGAGTCAATGGGGCGTTCAAGGAGCTGTGTCGGCAGTCCAGGTCAATGGAGAAGGAACGGTTGAGGACGAAAGCGCACGCACGTCGACAATCTCGGCCTTGACGACCTTCCTTCCCTCGGGCAGCTTCGCCTCGAGCTTGACCTTGCCCGCACCGCCATACGCCTCATACATGCGCAAGACGACCGTCTCGTTCTCGCCCTTCCTCTTCGCACCAAAGTGGTCGTCCTCGCCGCGCTTGATCGTATCGAGGATGACATTGCGCGCGCCTGTGAAGAAGAACGGACCTTCCTTCGGGCTCTTGCTCGACTTGCCGGGCAAGCGACGGATGTGAAGTGGGTAGTTGAACGCGCGCGCGACGTCCGGTACGTCCGATTCGGCGAACGCTCCCCGGTGCGGGTACACAGCGAACGAGAAGCGGTGCTGGCCTTGGTCCTGCTCGGCGTCCGGAATCGTCGCTGCACGGAGGAGTGACAGGCGCAGAGTGCTGTTCTCGCATGCGTGGCCGTACTTGCAGTCGTTGACGAGCGCGACGCCGTAGCCGAACTCGGACAGGTCGGCGTAGCGGTGCCCGCAGACTTCGAACTGCGCACGCTGCCAGGTCGTATTGCGGTGCGTTGGGCGCTGGCACAGGCCGAATTGGTTCTCGAAGGTGCTGTTGACGAGGGAGGATTAGCGCGCGAATGTCAGCGCAAGCAGGAGTGGCATGCGAAGGAGCGAGAGAACGCACGCAACATCGCCAGTCGGCGTGATGGCGAGCGGGAGCTCCCATTTGAGAAACCTGCAAGCGGTGAACGTGAGCCCTCTGTCAGGAGCAGGGCGCAGGAAGACGCACTCGTGGCGCTGATGCCAGTCGACCTGGACGTCGAAGCGGACGAGACTGAGCGCGTCGGCTTTAGTCGAGGGAGCCGCAGCGTCGAGCGAGATGGTGGCCTGCGCGAAGACTTCGTCAGCACAAGTCGTCAACACAGCGAACGGGACGCTTCGAACGCACCTTGATGACGCTCTTGCCGTAGTGGTAGGTCGCAAGGAGCGAGCTGCGTAGCGGACCGTCCTCGATGACTTTGACGGACGAGGCGTCGACCTCCTTCTTCGTCTCGAGGTGAAAGGCGTCTGCGAGCGACAAGGTCAGTCCGTGGCCCAGGCGAGAACGCATGTTGTGCGAGCTGGCGTACCGACATCCCTGCGGAATCGTGCCGGGTCAGCTTCCGGCAAGACGAGCAGGATCGTTGGCGCGGTCAGACGTACCAAGCATCCCAGTTGAGCGGGTGGTCTTGGAAGATGACGAAGCCGGCCGTCTTGCCGTCCAGAATGAGCTCGCGTTCGAGCTCCTTATCGAAGATGCTCGAGATGCGACCGTCCTTCGTAACGGTGACCTGGAGCTTGGGAGTCGAGAGAACAAAGTCGTCACCGACAGAGCGGGCTGCAGGATCTCCGTCCGTTAGAGAATAGATCTGAGGTGGCGAGAAGAAGCGGACACACCTCGCGAAGTCAGCTCGTTCGCACGCCGCATGACCTCCTCCATCCCGACCGGTCTCTCAATCAACGTCTCTCCCTCCTTGGTCGACTCGAACAAGATGTATGCCTCACCGTCCGCGCTGCGCTGGACAGCTGCATCGTCGAGCGCGCGAGCGGCGGCAAGCGGGACTTTGACGAGTTCGCGGCGGGTGCCGAGGGCGAGAGTGTCAATCGCGGCGAGGGACGAGTCGAAGCCGAAGGACGAGGAGGGGTACGAGGCGAGCGAGACTGACCCGGGGAGGAGGGCGGAGAGGGCGGCGTCGAGGAGAGTCGAGCCCTTCTCGGTCACGTTGGCGTAGATCTGCCAATTGCCAAGGTGTCAGCTCACGGCAGAGTCAACCTGTAGCGGAGAAGCGCCGACGCACCTTCTCGGCATCCTCGTAGACCATGCCGATCGCACTCCCCGGCAGGACGTCGTGGAACTGGCAAAGCAACATGTCCTCCCACAACGCGTCGATCTCGTCCTTCGGGTACGCATACGTCTTGCCGCTCTTCGTCTGGGCGTTGAAGACGGTCGCAAGGGTTGCGGCGAACTCGAGGTCGTGGAGAAGAACTTCGGTCTTGCGGTTGTGGCGCTTGATTGAGCCGTGCGAGGTGGCCGTCCCGCTGTGGGTTCAACAGCGTCAGCTCGATGTCACTGTCGAGGCGATTGCATGGTGAACGTACCGATGCAACTCGAGGTACAACTCTCCAACCCAAACCGGCAGCTTCTCCGCTTCCTTCGTCCTCTCCACGAGGTCCTCATAAAACTCATCTACCCCCTCGCCCATATGCACCTTTGGGATTTCGCCTCCGCCCATCTCGGCGTTGTTCGCAACCGCCCGGCAGCGCCGGAGGTTCTCGAGCATCGGGGCGAGGGGTCCGCCGCCGCCGTCGCCGTTGCCAAAGGTGAGGAGGCCGGTAGGGTGCGACTGGAGGGACTTGTGGTTGCGCCAGGTGTTGAGGACATCGTCGACCGAGGCTTGGGCCGTGTACTGTGCGAGATTTGGCCGCGATCAGCAACCGTTCCACGACGAAGGACGGTCGAGAGCGGAAGGAGTTATTGACACGCACCGTGTTCTGCGGGCACATGTGGACGACCATCTGCGTCTTGTCCTGCCCCTGCCAGCGGAAGCTCGTGTTCGGGAACTCGTTGAACTCTGCGCGGGTCGCGAAAACTCTGCATCAGCTCCCCTTCGCATGCACGAACGAAAGAAGTCGCTGCAGGACAAGAAAGAACAACGCACGACTCCACGACAACTTCTGGGTGAAGAAGAACTCCAACCCCGCCAACCTCGCAATCTGCGGACTGGCCGAATTGTACCCAAACGAGTCGGGCAACCACCAAGTCTTGCAGTACTGTCCGAAGCGGGAGTGGAAGTAGCGCTGGCCGTAGAGGAATTGGCGCGCGAGGGATTCGCCCGAAGGGAGGAGTTGGTCCGACTCGACCCACATGCCGCCTGTCCGCTCGCTCATCAGTACCTTCTTGGCTTTCCTCATCGCAAGGGAGGAGCGCGACGCACCGATCGGGATGAACTTCCCCTCCTGCACGCCCTTCCTAACCTTCTGGAAAAGCAAGGGATAGTCCTGCTCGAGCCACTTGAACTGCTGAGCCTGCGACGCAACGAAGCGGTGTTCGGGGTAGCGAGCGATGAGGTCAAGTTGGGTCGACCAGGAGCTGCGCCAACGATTCGGGTCAATGTTTAGATCGCGGAAGGAGGGGGAGGAGGAAAACGCACCGAGCGGTCTTTTGACGCGTAACGGAGAAGGGCCACTGCGACGTGAGCACGAGCGCGTCGAAGAGCAGAGCAGAGGGTCAGTTCGTTCGGCAGATTCGTTCGCTGAGAATCCGCCAAATCTCCCGCAAGAGCGAATCTTCGACCAAGCGTGAGGAGACGAAGAACAGAACGCACGAGCCACGCGGTGTCGATCTGTGCGTCCGCGTGTCAAGTCAATCTATCAGCGTCTCGTTCTGTGCGAGTGAGGTGAGGCGCGAAGCTGGACCTCCGCATCGCAACGCACATGACAATTCCCAATCGCCCAACTCGTCACGCTCTCCCTGCCCTTGTCGTAAACCTTCGCCTCTCCTCCTTCGCGCGTCCACTCCTCGCCGCCGAAGAGGTCCGCCGCGAGCGCGCGGCAGGTGGAGAGGGTGGCGAGGTCTGAGGGGTTGAAGGTGTTCATGATTGCTGCACGCACGCTTCACATCATTAGCTTTGAGCGGAAGAGAAAAGAAAGGGAGGAACAGGAGGAGACGACGCACCGTTCCCAACTTCGAGGCACTTCGCACCCAGCGGCGACCGGTCAGGCAAAGAGCGCGCGAGGTCCTTGATGACGCTGTGCGCATTCTCCACGTTAGCCTACCTCCAGCATGCGACTGCGAAGGTCAAGAGAATGAGGAGGGCTGGGCGGACGCACCGGAAGTCCCAGAGCAGACGCCACGCCTCCATCCTTGGGACAACAAGATCCGCGCTGTTCAGCTGCATCGCAATCCCCTCTTTCCATCAGTATCGTTCGCGCTCGGCGAAGGAAGTCGAATAAAAGGAAGATCGACGGAGACGCACGCGGTAGTACCGGTTCATGTCAGGCGGAGCGTTGGTCTCGGTCGATCCGTTGCCAAACATGGCGTTGTTCGAGACTTCGATGTAGACTGTCGCGCCCGATAATCGTCATCAGCCCAGTTCCTCCACAGAAAGGCGAAACACGGGAGAAGGAGAAAGGGGCGACTCACTCTTCAACCCAGTCTTCCACTGCTCCCTCGGGACCAACCACTCGACCCTCCTATCGATCCCAAAGCCGCCCGTGATGCCCTGCAACGGACAGCCCTCGGTATCAAAGATCATGGCTTCGCATGAGGGGTCGAATTCGAGTTGGATGCGCTCGGGAGGGTGCGAGGAGGTGAGCCAGGAAGAGGGAGGGCTAAGGGTAACGCGGAACCAGTGGCTTCACGAGGAGGCAAGACGAGCAGTCAGCGACTCGAGCGACAGGAAAGGTAGTATTTTGAAGATATCGGGACGCACTTGGTCCAGGACGGCCCGAGCATCATCCCCTTCTCGGCCTTGACGAACTTCTTCCTGATCGCCTCCTTGAAGGGCGTCTTCTCCCTCCCAGGCGAGTGCCACACCTCGAATTGGACGTGCTGAGGGTCATCGGTGCGGTGCTGGAAGAGGACCGAGGTGATGTTGGGGTAGTTGGAGTACTCGAACTGGTCCAGTCGGCCTGTGCGCAGCCCGTTGAGGCTCAGTCAGCGAGAGGAGAGCGACTCGCTGCCCCCACTTCGCGAGGAGGAGAACGAGGACGCACCGAGGGTCAACCCGCGAAAGTGCTGTGCGCGAGGTCCGTCGTTGTTGATCATCGGGTATGACGGAGGCGATGGTGGGCCGTGCATGGCCATGGCTGGCGAGGGAGCTTGTACCCTTAGTGTCGGGTGGGGATGAGGAGGGGGCGGGTTGGAAGGGGAGGAGCGAGCGTGGGAGCAGCGGTGGCAGTCAGTGGACAGTCCTGTCAGTCTTTTCAGCACACTGGTGCTGTCACTCCAGCTGAGCGAGTGCGAGGGAGTGAGCCAACCGTCGTCCTCCTCATCGCTCTCGCTCTTGCACCTCGCCCAGCTCGCCCGCTCATCGAGGGCGACTCGTTCGCGTGCTCAGCAGACTCGCAGCGTTCTCTACACCACCCTTCGTCCAACTCTCACCCCCGCACACCCTCTCACTCGCCCACACACCCCCTCACATCGCGTGTCCACCCACACCATGGCGACCTCCTCCTCCTCCGCACCGTGCTTCACCCTCGTGGCCGAAGATCCCGCGTCGGACTCGCTTGCATCGCTGCAGACGGCCGACCTCCGCGCCGCGCTCGAGAAGGGCACGGACGAACTCAAGCTCGACACGCTGAGGAGGATCATTGTCGCGACACTCAATGGACAGCCGCAGGTCAGTGCGGTCCTCTCCATGGTTTGAGGGCTCGGCTGGACGCGCGCTGGAGGTCTGGGGGCCAGCTTGAGAGGGCGAGGCTTCCGAGGTCGGGACACAGGCAGAGTGGGGTGGGACAAGTTACAGAAGCGGGCGTTGGCTCGCATACGGCGCAATTGATGGGCGAGAAGTCTCGCTTCCTCCCGAGCGACGCCATTTGGGAACGCGGACGTATCGGGATGGACAGCGGATTCAGGTGGTGGAGGAGGACGAACCGGATTCTGCTGAGCCTGTCGCGCGATAGCTCCTGGGTTGTCGGCATCGCCACCGAACGGAACGGGCGGGCTCCTTGTGGGAGATGGGAGCAGACGCCGCGCAGCTTTCGTGCCCCACTGGCGGGTTCTCACGCATCCCGCCTGCCCATTCCGCAGACATGTTCCCTCCCTTCTCTCACAAGCAGCGTACTAACGTTTTCTTCTACCGCACACGCAGCCCGCCCTCCTGATGCCCATAATTCAATTCGTCCTCCCCTCCAAATCCAAGCAAATCAAGAAACTCCTCCAGTGCGTCCCTTTCCCTTTCCCATCCTCTCTAGCACGTACTCACAGGTTGTGTGCAGCTTCTACTGGGAGATCTGCCCCAAGTTGGATGAGAATGGCAAGTTGAAGCAGGAGATGATCTTGGTTTGGTGAGTTTTCGGTCCGCCTCTCCTTCGGTTGTTGCTCGGTGTGCGACCTTATGCCATGCACATCGATGCGAACAGCAGCGAGACTGATACTGACGCGTGGCACCTCTCCCTCCCGCAGCAACGCCATCCGAAACGACCTCGTCCGTCTCCCCCGTCTCCCCCGTCTCCTTCTCCCGCTTCCCAGCTAACTCGCTTCGCTCGCCGGCACGCAGCAACACCCGAACGAATACATCCGCGGCGCGACCCTCCGCTTCCTCCAAAAGATCCGCGAGCCCGAACTGCTCGAGCCGCTCGTGCCCACCTGCCGAGCCTGCCTGGTTCGTCGCGCTCTCTTCCCCTCGACGATCCTCTCCGCTGACAACGGCGCGGCGATAGGAACACCGACACAGCTATGTGCGCAAGAATGCGGTCATGGCCATCTTCCAGATTTACAAGAACTTTGAGTACCTCATCCCGGACGCGCCCGAGTTGATCCAGACATTCATGGCCGCGGTGCGTTGCGCTCGCTCGCCACATCGCGAACGACGGCTGACAAGAGACTGCCGCAGGAATCGGACACGACGTCGATCCGGAACGCGTTCACGATGCTCCAGGCGGTCGCCCCCTCGCGCGCCGTCGAGTACTTCCTCTCGATCTACGACCAGGTCGCCAACCTCGACGAGATGATGCAGCTCTCTGTGATCGAGTTGATCCGCAAGAAGGCGCCCTCGGCAGCAGAAGGTTCGCTCAAGGCGCGCTACATCAAGTGTATCTTTGAGCTGCTCAATTCGGGCTCGCACTCGGTCAAGTACGAGGCAGCGGCGACCCTCACGACCTTGACGCAGAACCCGGCAGCCGTCAAAGCCGCTGCATCGTGCCTCGTCCAGCTCGTCCTGAGCGAGCCCTCGAACAACGTCAAGATGATTGTCCTTTCGCGCGTTGCGGCGCTGCACCAGAAGCACGAACATGTCCTCGACGACCTCGTGACGGACCTCTTGCGCGTGCTTGCGAGCCCGGACATGGACGTCCGGAAGAAGGCGCTCGCGATCGCGATGGACATGGTCAACGGCAGGAATGTCGATGATGTCGTCGGGTTTCTCAAGAAGGAGCTTGCGCGCACGACGGACCCGTCGTTCGACAAGGCGACCGAGTACAGGCAGTTGTTGATCCAGACGATCCACACCTGCGCGATTCGTCACTCGGAAGTCGCCTCGTCCGTCGTGCACGTACTCATGGACTTCCTCGGGGACGCATCGAACGCCTCGGCCGTCGACGTCGTCGCCTTCGTCCGCGAGGTCGTCGAAAAATTCCCGGACCTCCGGCAAGGGATCGTCGCCAAGTTGCTCGACACGTTCGGCGAGATCAAGAGCGGCAAGGTGTTCCGTGGCGCGATGTGGATCGTCGGAGAGTACGCCGGGAGCGTCGAGGAGGTCCGTCAGGCGATGCAGCAGGTCCGCAAGGTCATCGGCGAGGTGCCCATCCTCGCGTCCGAGCAGCGCCTCCTCGACCAGGCCGAACAAGACGCGGCAGCCGAGGCGGACCAGGTCAACGGCGACTCGGCGCTCGTGCAGAAGCCTACCGCGACAAGCACGACCCGCGTCCTCGCAGACGGGACCTACGCCACCGAGACGGTCTTCTCGTCGTCCTCGGCGACCGCAGCCGCCTCGCTCGAGGCTGTCAAAGCTGCCGCCAAGCCTCCCCTCCGCGCGCTCATCCTCGGCGGAGACTTTTACACCGCGACTGTCCTCGCGGCGACGCTCACCAAGCTCGTCATGCGCTTCAAGGAGCTTGTCGGTGCGGGCGAGGCACGCGCTGTCAACGAGTTGCGGGCCGAGGTGCGTTTCGCCTCCTTCGCGTCTCGCAACAGCTCACTGATTTATCGCTCGCTCTCGTTCGCAGTGCATGCTCATCATGACCTCGATCATCCGCGTCGGCCAGTCCCACTTTGCGTCGGTGCCGATCGACGAGGACGCGCAAGAGCGCATCATGTCGTGCCTCCAGGCGCTCGCCGAGCTCGACAATGCCTCCGCCGGGTCAGACCGCGCGCGCGTTGTCGAGGAGATCTTCCTCCGCGACACGCAGGCGGCGTACGCCAAGATGGTCGAGCACGAGGAGAAGAAGGCGCTGGAGAAGAAGAAGCGCGAGGACAAGGCGCAGGCTGTCCAGGCGGACGACTTGATCCAGTTCCGCCAGCTCGCGAAGAAGCAGCCTGGTGCGGACGCCGCCGACGAGTACGAGACCGACTTGACCAAGGCGACGGGCGCGACGGACGCGGCCAAGGACGACTTTGTCTCGAAGCTGCAGCGTGTCGTGCAGCTGACGGGCTTCTCGGACCCGGTCTACGCCGAAGCCTACGTTCACGTCCAGGGCTTCGACATCCTCCTCGATGTCCTCATCGTCAACCAGACGCTCGAGACGCTCCAAAACTTGACGTGCGAGTTTGCGACGCTGGGAGACCTCCGCCTCCTCGAGCGACCAGTGCCGTACACACTCGGCCCGCAGAGCTTCCAGAGCGTCAAGGCGACCATCAAAGTGCGCGCCGAGCCCTCTCTTCCCCCAGGATGTTCTTGCTAACCCATTCTCGCCGCCGCAGGTCTCGTCGACGGAGACGGGCGTCATCTTCGGCAACATCTTCTACGACGGCGCGCACACGACCGACAGCCACTGCGTCGTCCTCAACGACATCCACATCGACATCCTCGACTACATCACGCCGGCGTATTGTAACGAGGGGCAGGTGCGTCCCGAGACTGAGCTGAGTGGGCGTTCCCAGCGGGCTGACTCGCTTGATGGCGCACGCAGTTCCGGAGCATGTGGACCGAGTTTGAGTGGGAGAACAAGGTCAACGTCAACACGAGCATCGACGACTTGCGAAGCTGTGAGTCGCGACTTCTCCCCTCGCCGTAAAGCCTGCGCATGTTCGCGGAAATGGAAGGCTGAGCGCTTCACCTCCGCGACTCGCAGACCTCCAGCACATCATGTCGTCGACGAACATGGCGTGCCTCACGCCCGACGCGGCGCTCGAGGGCGACTGCGGCTTCCTCTCGGCGAACCTGTACGCGCGGTCGCTGTTCGGCGAGGACGCGTTGGCCAACTTGTCGATCGAGAAGCTCGCCGACGGGACGTTGCAGGGCCACGTCCGCATCCGGAGCAAGACGCAGGGTATCGCGCTCAGCCTCGGCGACCGGATCACCATCTCGCAGAAGAACCTCCCGTAGATTCCCTCTCGCTCGCTCGCTTCCTCTTCGTTCGCCGCGCCTCGTGTATACCTCTTTCGCTGCAGTCCAATTGGTTGTCTACTCGCCCAGAGCACTCCTCCAGCGAGTTGACCTCGACGCCTTCGGACACCTCCTCTTGACCTCTTGCGCTCGCCCGCCGTCAGAGGCTCACCACCTCTGACAAGCTTCCTGACTCGCTCTTACGACTGCTCCTGTATCCTTGCTACGCTCGCCGTCCTTCCGAGCGCCCGCCCCGCCGTTGTCGCCGCCTCACGATGCCTCTTGACGCGACCTCGCCAATCAAGCCCGTTGCGGCTGCTCCGACGCCATCGAGGAGGAATGGCGGTCGCCAGAGGGATCAGCAGGACCTGAATCACGTACGTCCGACGCCTTACCTGTCCACGTTCGCTGTACGACGCTCCTCGCTCACTCCGCCACTCCTTGGTCATCGCAGCTCTTGGGCTTCACGCTCCCGCCGAGGGCTCCGCCGCCGCCGACCCACCTCCCACGACGCTCGAACCGCCGCAACCCGAACTACGTCGCGTTCGACCGGTCCCGCTTCGTCCACCAGTTCCGCTTCATCGTCCGGCCTGATCGCGGTGCGTTCCCGCGCTCACTCGCGCTCCAGAGATTGTCGCTCATCGTTTGGACTCACCGCGCAGACTACACGGCCCACTTTGCGGACCCCGACATCCACCTCGACTGGAGCGACATCCTCCAGGTCATCCTCCCCACTTCGGCTTCCGCGCTCTCGTCTGTCACGACCGCCAAGCTCGACCAGGGGACGGATGGAGCGAGCGCGGGCGGAGGGATACCGGCGTGTCCGATCTGCTTGAGCGAACCGACCGCGGCGAGGATGGTCCGTTCGGTTGTCTCCCTCCTTTGCTGTTCTCGGGGCTCACTCCCTTGCGTTCGCGACAGACCAAGTGCGGACACGTCTTCTGCTACCCTTGCGTCCTGCACTACCTTGCCTTGGCCGACAACGGCGCCAAGTCGCGGAATTGTCCTGTCTGCCATGAGTGAGTTTCACTCGCTCCTGCTCGAGGCGCAATAAGCGAGCTCATCAGCGTTTTCTCCGCAGCTCCATACACGCCAAGGACCTCAAGTCGGTCAAGTGGTTCGACCCGACCTCGAGTTCCGGCCTCCCTCCTCCGCCTCCTTCCCTCACTCAGCCTCTCGCTGACATGGACGACGACCTCGCCCGCGCTCTCGAGCTCTCGAAGCTCGACGCACACCCACACGCCTCCACTTCCAACCCTCAATCCTCCGCTTCATCGCGCGGCGAAAAGCTCAAAATGCGCCTCATCCGCCGGCCGCAAATGACGACCCTCGCCCTCCCCCGCTCCGCAACCTGGCCCTCCGACGCCGTCCCACCCCTCCGCGCGCCGTGGCAATTCACACCCGACGCTTTTACCTACGCCAAGTTCATGCTCGGCGCGCCGGACTATATGCGCGACGAGTTACTCGCGCAGAAGGCGGAGCTGGAGCGAGAGATCCTCACGCTCCGGCGGTTTGGGCGGCGAGGCGGGACGGACGAGGAGCTGGGCATTGTTTTCGTCGATGCTGCGTTGCGCAAGGTCGACGAGCAGCTCGCCAAGGCTGAGGCGCTCAAGACGACGAGTGTCATGACGGCGCGGAAACGCTCGTTGCGCGAGATCCAGCAGGTGCAGGAGGTCAAGGGCAAGGCGGACGAGGCGAGCAAGTTGCCGTCCGTGACCGACACCAGCTCGAGCGAGGTCGAGCACGAGGGAGAGGCGCGGCCTGCCCCAGCCCTACCCGCCCCAGTCCCCGTATACGACCCCGTCCCGCTCGACTTCCTCCAATCACGCGGCACGACACCCCTCTCTACTGCCGCACCCGTCTTCGTCCCCTCCTCGCCGCCCTCGTCCCGCTCCTCGGTCCCTCCACCCGTCCCGCTCTCGCCGCCCCGAAACCGTCCCCATCAACGTCGCAACGTCCTCGCCCCTCCTCCGCCGGAAGAAGACCCCGCCTACTATTTCTACCAAGCCGCGACCGGCCAACCGATCTTCCTCCAGCCGCTCGACATCCGGATCCTCAAGTCGCATTTCGGGACGTACCAGTCCATGCCGAACGAGATCGAGGTGGTCGTCGAGGGCGCAGACGAGGGGTCGATGAATGACGAGTTGAGGAGACGGTGCAAGTGGTTGAGCCACTTGCCGATCGCGAGCGACGTCGTCTTTGTCGAGGCGGACTTGGGCGCGCTCGTCCCCCGCAAAGCGTTGGAGCCGTACGCGACGGCACTCAAGCAGCGACGGAACAAGCGGCGAAACAAGGCGAGGAAGGAGGACCGCGCGAAAGCGGAGAGCGAGTTGAAGGCCGCCGAGCAGATGCCGGTGTTTGAGTCGACCTATGCGTTTGGGGCATCGATCGTGCCTGCGTCCGCGTCGAGTTGGGACGACGTCTCTGCGTTCCCTGCTCCGCCACTCGCCTCGTCTCCTCCGCTTCCCTCACAACCCGCCCGACCCCCTCCCACGCCCTCATCCTGGTCCCGCCCCTCGTTCGCTTCCGCACTGCACGCCTCCTCCCGCTCTTCGCCCTCTTGGTCCCACGCTTCCCACGCGGCGCACGACGACGACTTTGACGATCGCTGGGACGAGTTTGAGGAACGACTCGGTCGTCAGCGCGCCTCGACGCCTCGGACTCACTCGAGCGGGAACATCAATGTTGGAGAAGGCGGCGGGCAAGCGAAGAGCGCAGGAGGAGGGGGGAGGGGAAAGAAGGGGAAGAAGGTGACGCTGCATTTGAGCGGGGCGGCCTTGCGTGGGACGGGGTAGTAAAGGTCCCGCGGTTGTACTTGTCCCGAGGCTCGTAGACGCTCCCGTATGACTCGCTTTTCGCACCCCGTCCATCATGATCCGATATTGTCGCTTGTAACGCACTCCCAACCCCTCCATCGCGCACGTCGTCTCCTCTCTTCCCTTGGTCTCGGAGTGGTCGAAGCGCTCTTCGAAATCGCTCTCACCGCGCGGGTAGCCGCGGCGGCAGCACGCTGGAAGGAGGCCAGCTTGCGACACGGTCTCGTTCGCTCTTCCCTCGGCGCTCTCCCGCCGCCCAGCGCTGCCCTCTCAAGAGACATAGACATCAACAACACACTCCGTACGCGAAGAAGAAGAGAACGGAACAGCACGCGTGCTTGACAACCCTCGCACCTCGATCCTTCTCTACAATCCCTCCTGCCCTTGCCCGTCGCCCTTCCCCCCGCCTCCGCGAGTGAAACGGGCGGAGAACGGTGAACAAGCTTTATTCGCCCTTGACCCTCCGTTCCTGTCCCTCGCCGAGCTTCCCATCGACCGGGACCGGTTTGCGCTGTGCGGATTTTGAGGCGGGGGGTACGAAGCTGTGCTCATCTCTCATCGAACCGTCAGCGTCTGAGTCGAGAGCTAGGGGTGGAAAGGCGAGGGGGGGAAGGGGGGAGAGGTTGGGAGAAAGAGAGAGAGAGAGAGAGGGAATGCAGGACGCCGCACCGTTTCTTCAACGCGAGGATCATCAACCTGAACCAATACTGTCCTCCTCTTACCCACCATCAGCACTCTTCTCAGAAAGAAAGGGGACGAATGGGCGGGGACTCACGAAATTCAACCCGTTAGCCGACAAATTCAGTCCCAAATACACCCACCTCACCCACCCCGCCTGCTCCACCCTCTCCTTCAACACCTTCTCCGCGTCTCCGGGAACCATCAATTTCCAGAATGTCCACGACGTGTAAGTCCCAAAGACGAGGCGGGCGGCGATGTAGGATGTGACGAGGCAGAGTCCGTTGAGCATTTGGAGGGGGGAGCCGGTGAGGTGGAGTTTGTCGAGGAGCCAGTGGGCGTTGAGGAACTGTCAGGGGGGTGGAGTGTTAGCGAGGGAGCGAAGGAGGATGGGAGAGGAGGAACGCACGATAGTCGACAACTCCCACTAGCACCACGCACAAACACACCAAAACCGTCAGCTCCCCCCTCTCACTCATCAAGAACGAAAGAGCGGACGCACGATGAGGAACCTCGGCCCGCACCACAAGACGAACGGCCGGAGGGTGAAGGTGAAGGCCACGAGGCAGGTTGCGCCGTGGAGGAAGAAGCCGAGGCCTTGGGTTTGGATGTGGCGGAAGGTGACGAGGGCGTCCTACCGAGTGAGCGGAGGGAGCGTTAGCGACTGGAGCGAGCGAGGTGCGTTTCGAGATTCGGGAGAAGGGAGTTTGTTCGGAAGAAGTTCGGCGGGCGGAAGGCGAGAGAAAGCGTCGGGCGCCCACGCACCCAGATGAAGTACCCGATCGCGATCGCGCTCAGTCGCTGTTCGGGGAGCGCGACGCCATAGAGCGGGTCGAGGTCGAGTTCGGGGGATGGGTGGCGGAGGAGGTGGATTGCGATTGGGGTGGCAATGAAGGCGTAGAGCCAGCCGACCTGCCGAGCAAAGCGACCGTCAGCTCAGTTTGGCAGAGTGAGGAGGAGAGAGAGAGGGATGTGGACGGACCATGTGCAGGTCCCAATCATCGCGCTTCCTGCGTTCGGTCGGGTAGTACCTCCCGAACACGCGCGGGCTGAGTACGGCGCTGATTCGCTGTGCTGCAAAGGACGCGGCGAGGGAGAGGAGGACGAGGTGCGCGACAGGTGGGAGGGCGGTGAGTGTGAGCGAGTTGGCGATGGGCTGGACGAGGGAGACCCAGTGTGCGGGTGGTGTGAGCGAGGGCGACTCGATCCACGACATCCTGCACAGTGCACGAAGACGAGGAGCGAGAAGAGCGAGTCGCAGTCGGAGACGAACGAGACCAAGTTCACCGACAGTCGGCCATTACTGCGCGGTGTGGTGTGGGAACAGGACAGAGTGTAATGCTACACACTCATTAGGATTGTCCACTACCAAGCACTCGCACCTTCACCCGCTCCACCTGCTCGCCGTCATCAGTCGACCGTCGACCCGCTTCTCTCGCTTCGACTTCTCCCAACCCAGCTAACGAGCGAGATGGCGCCCGTGCTCAACTGCCACCCAGGCTCACTCAACGTCTTTGCACTCAAACTCAAGCGTGCGTCCCCCGTCTCCCCATCCCACAAGCCACCTCGCCTTGACCCTTCGATCGCACACACCAACAGCAACCGACACCGTCTCGTCCCTCAAGGCGCGCATAGCGAGGAAACTCGCTGTGCCGGACGAGGGGAGCGAGATCAGCATCAAGTACCTCTGGTGCGACGTCTTCTACACCCTCGACGACGGTTCGTCCCTCCCCCTCCTCCCACTAGCTCTCCAACTGATGGAACGCGAGCGCAGACGACGACTTCGAAGTGTTCCTCTCGCGCCACTCCCACTCGCCCGAAGTGACCCTCCTCCTCTCGTCCCCTCACATCCCAACCAAGAACCCCTCGATCGCGTCCCTCTCGTCCCTCCCTTCGTCCTCCTCTCCCGCCAAAGCCGACTCGTCAAGCCTGTATTCAGAAGGCGGTCGAAGCGCGATGTTGTATGGCCGCCAAGACACGAGAGAGTTGAGGAACGGAACGAGCATGCACCTCGTCGTCTCGTCCTCCTCCAACGCTCCCGAGTCGGTCAAGTCTGGACGGAGCGGGGGGAGCACGATCGGACCCAAGAGCACGAAGAAGGGCGCCTCGGGAACGAAGTCGCTTGCCCCGAGTGTCCCGGAACACAAAATCAAGTTCGAAGAGTTCCACAATCAGGTGCGTCCTCCCCGCCCCATCCCTTCCCTTCAAGAAGCTGAGAGTAGCTCTCCTGACAACCTCCTCGCTCGCTTCCAGCTTGGAGTCCGCACCTTCATAGGCTCGATCGGACCCGTCGAGAACGTACGGATGATGGTGCGCCCACTCTCCTTCTCCCACAAGCTCCCCTCTCCCCAACGAGCTCCCCTCCCTCTCCCGAAGAAGCTCTCCCCTCCCTCCCTCCCCTCCCGCTCGCTAACGCTCGCGGGGCAGATGAAATCCGGCCACCGACACTGCTACATGTCACGCACCTTCGCGCTCCAACACTCGTTCATCCCCGCGGACGCCGCACCGGGGTTCTATGGGTTTGGGGGGATCACGGATTTGGGGGTTTGGCCTATCAAGGTTTGTCCCTTCTCCCTCTCCCTTTCCGCTGCGCGGGAGATACTGAGGATTGGTCGAGTAGGTCGGGACAAAGACGGTCGAACAACGTGTGATGCTCGTCGAGAACTCGTATTTCCCCGTCATCCTCGGCCGGTCCGTCCCCCCTTCTCCCTCTCTTCCCTCCCCAGAAGCTCCCACCTCCTCTCTTCTCCTCGGACTCGACACTCGCTAACGCTTCGTGTGAGTATGTAGGTCATTCATGGAACGCCGCGGCGTCCGTACCGACCCACTCGACCCGACGCGCGTAGTCTTCATGGACACGAACGAGGTGGTGCCGACCGACCTTGTGGTTGTGAAGGATAGGGATGGGAGTGTGGTGCCTATTAGTTGAGAGGGAGGGAGGGAGGGGGAGGAGGGGGAGGGAGGAGATAGACCCTGTTTTTTCCCATAGCTTCTCGTCGTTCGCAGAATCCGCTTAATCGTCCGCTGTAAGAAACTCTCGAGTTGTTGCTTTTCCCGTCCCTTCCCTCTCCCAAAGCGTGAGAGCGTAAGAGGGTGCGAGTCGCGTGAGGCGAGAGGGGAGGGAACGGTCAGGAGAAGGGCGAAAGCGAGACGCATCGCATTGCGGTTATGTACGCTGGCTACATGCGTGCAGAGAAGGAAGAGGGAGGCAGGAAGCAAAAAGGAAGGAAGGAAGCGTATGATCCAGGCGATGGGTGCAGGAGGTCAGGAGAGCGAGGGCAAAGGCGCCGAGAAGAGAAGACGTTCTTCAAGACTGTAGGGGCAGTAGCGTCAGTCAGTCGCTCAACGCGAGAAGCGGAACAGAGGGGATGGCGTACCCCGCTCGCACTCCTTTGCGCGAAGTGCGCGGATCGGGGAAGCGTCCTGCAACCGCCTCTAGCATGACATCAGCTCCTCGTCCTTGCGTTTTTGTAGGGAATGTGATCGAAGAAGAGGGATGGAGACGCACCGGAGAGGAGACGGTGATTGCGAAGGTTGAAGGTGGCGCGTACGAGGGGATAGGCAAGTTCCTAGGCATTGATTTGCGCGAGCCGTAAGGCGGATAAAGTATCTCGGCATGCAAGCGAGGAACAAGCGGGGCGGCGACGAGGAACAGTCGTGCGCAGGGAGCCGTTAAGCGGCGGGAGGCGAGAATCGAGTCGACGACTGAAGCGGGAGTTGCAAGCTGTGAACGGCTTCGTGAGCATTCCCGAAGACGCGGCGTGTATGCGAGTGGAGAGACGCACTGCTGGGATCCTCAACGCCACCCCTCGCACTCCTCGCGCAGGCCGACTTCGCAGATCTCGCAGGTCAAAAGGTCGGCGACGTTCTGCATTCCGTCCGCGAACTGATCAGCTCCTCTTCGTACGAGATGATCGAAGCCGAGAGGCAGGGACGGCCACGCACATCGAACCCGCATGTCGCACACCTCCATTTCCTCGCTTTCGCCACCTCCTCGCCTCCCGCGGGCGACCCGCCGTCCTTCACCTCGCCCTTCCGGTTACGCACATCCTCCTTGTCAAGCAAATCGAGGAACGCCTCGCGCTCGTCGGACGAAAGGTCGAAGTAGTTGTCCGTCGAGAGGCGCGGGAGCCAGTCGGTCGAAGCAGCGTTGGCGGCGGCGACAGGACGGGCGGCGAGCTTCGACTTCTTTGCGGGCGGAGGGGAGAGCGAGGCGCGGTTGGCGTGCAGCTCGAGGCCGACCACGACGAGGTCCTTCGATTTGCCCTTGCCCTTGCCTTTGACGTCCTTCTTCGGCTCGGCGACGACGCGCTCGTCCTCGGTCCAGTCGATCTCGTCATCTTCCCCTTCGTCGTCCGGGGGCTTGACGACCTTGGCCTTCCCCTTGCCCTTGCCCTTCTCAGCCTTCGCAACAGGATCGACCTTCCCAGCCCTCTCCCTCTCCTCCGCCTCTTCCTCCTCCTCAATCTCCTCCAGCAACTCCCTATGCTTCTCCTTCTCCTTAGCCTTGAGCGCAGCCTTCGCTTTCGCAGCATACGTCTCAGGCTCCTTCCTCGGCCTCCCGCGCTTCTTCACCTCCTTCTCTTCCTTCCCCTCCTCATCCGTCGAAACACGCTTGACACCTTTATCGCTCCTCGTCTTACGAGGCTTCTTCTTCGGCACTTCCGCCTCGTCGTCGTCGTCGTCGGAAGGAGGTCGGACAGTCTTCGGTTTGGCTTTCGACGTCGATGTCGAGGTCGAACCGGGAGGAGGAGAGCGAGAGAGCGGACGGATGTGGTTCTTGGCGGCTGACGAGTCGTAGAAGAACTTCATTGGCGAGCGGTGGGCGGAAGTCGAGGCTGAAGAGGCGGTGGGTTTCTTGCGAGTGGGCGGCTCGAGATGTGCGAGCGACGTTAGCGTGCGTCGAGGAGCATGACCGGCGAAGCGAGGAAAGGAAACACAGAACAAGAGCGAGAACGAGATAGTAGGACCCGAGAGACCGAGAGCGACTGAACGAAAGGTGGCGGTTCCTCCGAAGAACAGGCATTGCGAAAGAAGAAGAGGGCATACACAACATTCCAACAACACACGAGAGAGCGGCGAAGGCGGGACGAGAGCGAGAGAAGTAGGAAGGGGGGATCAAGGCAGAGGAGCGGAAACGAGGCGACCCACCTCGTCGCTGCTGTCGCGCTTCTTGCGCTTGGAGGACGCAATGACGGAGGCAGCGTCGTCGTCGTCAGCGTCGTCGTCGTCAGCGTCGTCGTCGTCCGTCGGAGGAGTGACTGCCCGAGTCTTGCCCTTGGACTTGCTTGAGGCGCGACTCGTTGCGGGTGTCGAAGACGAGTCGTCCTCGTCAGACGAATCGCTGATCGAGATGGCCGAGGCGGCGCGCTTGCCTGCGACCTCACGAACGTCAGCAACGACTCAGGGTCACCGACGAGCTCACCGACGAGCCCGGTCGATTAGTATCCTCGCGACGTACCCTTACCCTTCTTCTCTCCGCCCATCCACTCCGGCATCGGCATGTAAGCGACTCGAACCTTCTTTCCAGCGCCCTCCTCGACGTCGTGCGCTCCATTGATGTCCGCCTCAATCCAGGCGCGCTCCTCAGGCGTCAAGTCGTCCGGCAAGTCGAAGTCGTTTGCGCGGGCCTTCGAGCTGGGCGCTTTGGCGCGAGGTGTGGGCGAGGGGGCCTTGCGCTTGGCTCCGGCCGACGAGGTGGACGCCTTGCCCTTGCCCTTGCTCGACGAGGCGCCGTTGATGTCGGGCTTGACGTCCGGCTTGACATCCTCCTCATCATCGGCAAACGTCTCGCGCCAGGTCCTCATGTCCTCCTCCAAGAAGCGCTTCTCGTCCTCCTCAAGCTTGACCTCGTTCGCATCGAGCTCCGTCTCCCACTCCTCCCCCTCTCCCTCAGGCTCGAACCCTTCCGCGTCTTCCCACTCGTCGTCCTCCTCGTCTTTGACCTTGACCTTCTTCTTGTCCGGCGAGTTGGGCATGGGATCGCCGCGAGCGCGTGCTTCGGCGGCTTTCGCGCGCTTCTCGGCGGCGAGACGTGCTTCGGCTGCGGCGGCGCGGGCTTCGACCGCGCCCTTGGCCTGCGCGCGGCGCCTGCAGGAACAGCAAACGTCACCGGAAGACCAGGATTGCTAGTTGAACACGAGCGCACCTGAACGAGCTCATCTCGGGATCCTCGCTCAAGACCTGGCCCTCTCCCCCGAACGCGCCCTTGCGCTTGACCCGTCCCCCAGGCTTGGCCGGAATCGCCGTCTGCCTCCCCGTGGTACCAAGCTTGACCGCGCTGCCCCTCGCCCTGCTCGGACCCGCCTGGACCGCCCTCCTCCTCCTCCTCGGCGAGCGCTTGTTCGCTCCACCACACGCGAACGTCGGCTCGTCCTCCGCCGCAAAAGGCGTCTCCGCATCCGGATAGACGAGCGAGCGACCCGACGACCAGAACCCGTCGCCGTAGTACTTCTGCGCGCGGAGTTGGCTGACGGCGGCGCGGATTTGCTTGTTGACTTTTTGGAAGGACCAGCTGTGGTTCATTTCGCGGATGTGGGCGAGCTCGTGGCACATGACGTAGAGGAGGAACTGGTATGGGGCGCTGCAAGATGGTATCAGGGTTAGCTGGGTTTCGGAGGACCTGTTGAATGGGAACGCTCGATAACGCACAAGCTCCCGTCCCGCCTCCTCAGCACGATCTCGATGACCTCTCCGGCATTCCAGCTGCGAGTACGGAAGACCCTTAGTACCGCATGATTCGGGCGAAAGAAGAAGACAGGCGCGGACGCACTTCCTCCCTGCGAATGTCGGGTTCCATTCGTGTTCGACGAGCGAGTTGACACCGAAGCCCCACTCCTTCATGATCGGCTTGAACTGCGCGGCGAGAGCTTCGAGAATCTTGAGGGCCTGGCGAAGGGGAGATGTCAACTTCGCAGGGTCGGCGGAAGCGAGAAGAGGTCAACACACCGTGTCGCTGTCGGACAGCCCCTCCATGACGCGAATGAAGGTTATGTTGTCATTCTGAGCGAGTCGCAGATCGTCCGAAGTCAGCGCGGCGCGGTCGAGCCACCAAACTGAAGGAAAGGACGCACCGGATTCGCCCTCTTCCCGTTGAAGCGCTTGTGTCCGACCGGCATCCTGTCTCCTTATAAGTCTGCGCAGCTTCCAGATAACCCTGCAAGCCCGCCGAGCCGTGTGGCGCGGGTTGGTACTGATGAAGTCGCAAGTGGTGGTGGGGAGTCGCGGGCGGTGGCTGGAGCTGTGCGAGCGTGAGGCGCGTCGCGAGGGCCTGTGTAAGTAGCTAGCAAGCTGCACGAGAGCGGAGCAGGGCTACTAGGCGTTGGGCAAGGAGGAAGACTTTGACATCTCCGATGTAATCAGCTGAATACAACTCGGTTCGTATTGCTCTGGATTACAACCCTCGGCGCCTTTCTTCGTTCGCTCCACTCACGCCTCTCCTGCTCTGGCGATGCGCTGCGGTGTCCCAAGTCTCTGCCTGCACACTGTGTCCCCGGCTGCGGATGACAGCTGTCCGCCTTCGACTCTCGCTCCACTCTCCACCTCCTCAAAGACGACGTCCTTCGCTCACTAGCAGGACCCATCGATGGAGGAGTCTTCGCTTAACTGGCGGGGTCCGGCGGAGGTCTGCACGCCCCTCAGATCGCTCACAGCCGCGCCGATGAAAGAGCCGAATTCGACCTCCACCTCCTCCTCCTCACCTCCTCCTCCACTCGCTCGTCACTCGTCCAGCTCGCTGGTATCAGGGCGACTTCTGCTCTCTGCTCTGCTTTCTCGCTCTCTCTCTACTCTCTTCCCACACACACACACACACGCACATCCCACTTTCACTCGACAAGATGGTTCGCACCGTTCAGCTCTCTTCCTCCGTCGCCATCCCGCAACTCGGCTATGGCGCCATGGGTCTTTCGCAAGGCTACGGCAAGGCAGACGACGACACCTCCCGCGAGACTCTGCGCCACGCCATCAAGATCGGGTACAACCTCTGGAACACGGCGACGGTTTACGGGCCTGACCAGCACAACGAGAAGCTCCTCGGCTCGGTTCTGCGCGAAGGCGACAACCGCTCGAAGGTCATCGTCACGACCAAGTGGGGAGTGAAGTGGGAGAACGGAGACTTGGTGACGGACGGTACGTTTCCCTTCTCCTTCGCTCGCCCGAGGCGCGACTGACTCCGCTTCCACAGGTTCTCCCGAGTTCGCTCGCCAGTGCATCGACCAGTCCATCAAGAACCTCGGCTCGGCACCCGACATGTGGCTGCTCCACCGTATCGACAAGAAGATCCCGGTCGAGGAGAGTGTCAAGGCGATGGAGGAGGCTCGCCAGGCGGGCAAGTGCACGTACATCGGCCTGTCCGCAGTACGTCTAAATTACGCTTTGTCTTGCGTGAATGCGCGCTGACCCTCGAGGGCGCCGAACGCAGATGTCGGCCAACACGCTTCGCCGCGCCGCTAAAGTCGCCAAGATCGACTTTGTCGAAATGGAGTTCAGTCCGTTCGAGACAGGCATCGAAAACTCGGGCGTCATCGATGCGTGCAAGGAGCTAGGCGTCAAGATCTTTGCATACTCGCCTCTCGGTCACGGTGCGTTCGAAATTGCTTCTCTCGCGGCGCTGAGCTCAGAGCTAATCGGGTCGAAGGGACAGGTTTCCTCACTGGACGCTTTCGTAGCTTCGAGGATGTCCTGAAGGACGGCGACATGCGCGGTTCGGGCACCTTCCCGCGCTTCAACAAGGAAGTCTGGGACCACAACTTCAAGCTCGTCGAGGGTGCGTCTGGCGTCGAGGTGTTGACGGCGACTGTGCTGACTTGCAGTCCGTGCCAGCGCTCGAAAAGATCGCGGAGAAGAAGGGCTGCAAGGCGAGCCAACTCGCTCTCGCGTGGGCCATGCAGGTCCACGGCGATTTGATCATCCCCATTCCAGGCGTGCGTACCGATCTCTCCTCCTGCCACAAAGGATCCCAAGCTAATGCTCGTCCTCAACTCCGCAGACCAAGTCAGTCAAATACCTCGAGGAGAACTTTGCGGCCAACGATGTAATCCTCTCGCAAGTCGAGATGGACGAGATCCGCAAGGTGATCAAAGAGAACCCGATCAAGGGCGCTCAGTACGGGGAGAAGTTTCAGGCGCTGATGGACGAGTAGGCAGCAGCGTTAGGGGTTTGGGAAAGCCAGGCGAGGAGGACGCTCCGGTCAAAACGGATGTCCGACAGGGGCAGGAGGACTGTCAATAGGAGCTCTCGCAAGTTGTGAATCAGCCAACCCTCGCGGGAGCAGCAGCGGCGAGATGAGCGACGATGCTCAAGTCTTGCTCCGACCCCTTCTGCGTTTCAAGCTGTCCACCTAAGCCTACGCCTCCATCTTGACAACGCGCTCCTGCGCAGCCGCCGCCTCGTCCCGCTCAAGCATCTTGCGGCACGCCTCGTTGACCCGTTCCTGCGCGACGAGCTTCTGCCGCCCTTCGTCCGTCTTCTGGAGCGACGAGTCGGAGCGGTAGCTTTCTGTGTGAGCCGCAAAGAAGTCGAATCAGCATTCCTGCGCTCCAATGTGCAGAGTAGCCGAGGAAGCGGAGCGGCAACGCACCAAGCAACCTCTCGCCCAACCACAACCCAAGCCGGGCGTTCCCCACGACGACGGGCGGCGAGCCGGGCGCATCGGGAAAGGTGTATGAGCGGTTGGTCGCCGAGCCCATCGATTGCGCGAGCTTGAGAGCTGAGATGAGCATCTTCTGCGCCTGCGGACGATGGAAGAGAACACGTGAGTTCGACTCGTCGCTTCATCAACGGAGCATAGCCAACAAGCAATGGCAGCGTGTCGACGGTTTCCGTGCCACAAGAGTCGCACTCACCTCTCCCTCCCTCGTCCAGAGGAATACATTCGCCAACAACGCCAACACGCCGACCCTGACATGATTCGCCTGCATCTGGTTCGCCAGTGCCAGAGCAGCCGAGAGTGCCGCCTTTGACGCGGTGATGGAGGGAACTGTGAGTGCTTGAGTGAGCGAGTGAATCAGGCGGGACTGGGCGGAGGAGGTGGAGGATGGTTCGGAGGCGGTGAGTGCGCGGATGAGGGTGTCGGTCGGAGTTGTCACTGGCGCCGAAGGAGTAGGATTGGACAAGCGAAGGAGGAGGAGCGAAAGCATAGCGACAGTCTTGAGGTGCTCGGCGATCCCTCCCTCCTTCCCCTCCTTCCTGCGCTTCTCGCACGCAAAGAGGACCGCCTCAAGCGCCTCTTCGGCCTCTTTCTCGTCCTCTCCTCCCTTCGCAGCACGCGCAAGCCGCACCTGCGCCCACCCAAAGACGATCTTGAGCGCCGCCTCGGAGGTCGTCCAGCTCGAAGGGTTGTAGGCGCGCAAAGTCGAGAGTGCGGAAGTGAGGTGCGTCTCGGCGGCGGTGTAGGACGAGCGCATGGTGCCGAGGGAGGCGAGGAGGAGGTGGAAGTGGACTTGGAGCGAGGCGACGGCGTGAAGGCTCTGCGAAGCGAAGGCGAGCGAGGTGACTGGCTGAGTGGCTGTCGGGGGCGGAGGATCAGTCAGCGAGTACGAGAGGCGAGACTGGCTGCTGCGCGCACCTTCGCGCGCTCCGAGCTTGCTCTGTGCAATCCGCACACCTTCTTCCGCGAAAAGCCCGGAACGAGGCGATTTGCCGAGCGGGTCGAGGTGGATGGCCTGTACATGAGCCGGATCGAAGCAGCCTCGTCAGCAGTCCGCAGCGGGTTTCGGAAGCAGCAGGTAGAACCCACGTACCGCACTGGCGAGAAACGCAAAGGTATACAGCGTCGGATGAGGCGGGATGCGAAAGGCCATCGAGCTGGCAGATTCATCGCCGTTTGTTGAGAAAGCAGTCTGTGCGAAGCACAAGACGTCCAGTTATCAGTACCGCAGCGGGAGAAGGCGCCCGAGCGCTCGAAGCGGTTGACCATGAAACGCACCTGCACCGCATCGCTCTCCATCTCCGCCTGTTCCACCTGCGCATCCAACAACTTATGCGTGCTCTTCAAAACCTCCTTCGCCTCCTTCGCCTCACCCATCTGGCTCTTCCACAAGCAGTACAAGAGACGGTACAGGACCTTGACTGTACGTGGCCATTGCTCCGTCGAGGAGTCGGAGTCGCCTCCGAGCGTGGAGAAGAGGGACGAAAGGATCGAGCCGGCGCGGGAGTAGTCGGATGGAGAGTGGACGAGGAGGAGTTGCGCTTCGGCGAGGAGCGCGAGGACGCGGATCGAGTTGTCGCCGCGTTGGGTGGCGAGCTCTTGCACGCTCTGCCAGGCTTGAACCTTCTCTTGCCATGTCGCGGTCGTGTTCGTTGAGACTACGGCATCGATACCGGCTGTCGGGAGGTTGACGACGAAGGACTGGAGGGCATAGTGAGCTGCGGCGGTAGAGGCGGGCGACGTAGGCGAGAGGGCGGGCAGGGTGGACAAGAGGCGGCGAAGGTTCGTGCGGATGTACTTGGAGGGCTTGCCGGTGAGGATGGCGAGGCGCAGGTGGAGAAGCGTGAGGGGAAGGGTGAAAGGCTTGAGCGAGGGGTGCTGCGAGATGGGCAAGGTCAGCTTGCAATCTTTCGAGAATGGCAAGCTACGCACGCTCTCGGAGATGGCGAGCTGTGCGATCGAGCACGCTCTAGATCAGTTTCTGGCTCGGCAAGATGTCGACACTGAACAAGCGACTCTTCGACGTACCGCCCTCGTGATCGCCTTCTCCGCCTCCGAAGCAACCTGCTTCTCGTTCCCCGATCCCTCATACGTATCAACGAGCGTCTCAGCGAGCATGGCATTAGCCCTCAACTCGACCCTCCCTCCGCTCCATTCGCTCGCTCCGGCCGTCAACGTCACCGCCGCTCGGAGGAGGACGATGGCAGAGGTCGTGTAGTGGACGTAGGCGGACCACGTGGCTGTGTAGCGGGCTTGGGAAGAGGCGGACGAGGAGGAAGGGCGTTTCGAGAGGTGTGGGAGAAGAGAAGCCGCTGAGGCGCGGAGGGACGTCGCGAGCGCGAAGAGCGCGACGGGAGCCGGCAAGTTCGACAGCTGCACTGGTGTCTGAGCAGTCGCATGCGCACTGAACGCGCTGTGTGCTGCTGCGTCGATGTCGAGTAAGGCAGAGTGCGAGTCGAGCTTGCGCTTCTTGGTGGGCGAAGGGTGGTCATTGGATGGCCTGTAGCTGCCGTTCTCCATATCGTACGCGTGCAGCTGGCCCGTCTAGCGGCGGAGCGAGGTGGTCGAGTGAGATGTCAAAGTGAACGAGTCGCTCAGCTCGCGACGGTGTCCTCGACTCGCGCTGGAACGGTTTTGGACGTGCTAGAACCACTCTGAGTGAGTCCCAGTACTAGTCGCAGACGCGCAATCCGCTCACCGTACGCTCGTTAGACAGATGTCGTCCCTCTCCGACCTCGACTTCCTCAACCAGACGCTCGCTACACGTTCTAGCGGGACGAACGGCTCGTCAACAGACGTAACAGCGTCTACAACAACCTCTCAAGCTGGCTCCATTCCTCCCGCGGCGACTCGACCAACAGACGCCTCTCCCCCCACTTCCTCCTCAACGAGAGACGCCTCCATCTCCTCCCTCCTCGCAACTCTACACTCCGCCCAATCCGCAGCAACACGACTAAGCACTTTAGTCCCCGATCTCGAAGACGGCGCCGCAGAAGGAGGCGGAGAGGGCGAGGAGATGGACGAGCAAGCGTTGAATGCGATGCTTGAGCGGCTTGATGAGGCAGAAGGAGCGGCGGACGACCTCGAGGGACGACTGGACGGGCTGATTAGTAACCTTGATCAGCTGCTTGGGGCGCTTGGAGCGGTGGGCGAGCAGGAAAGGGGTGGTGAGGCGGATTCGAGCGGGTCTGCAGAGGCGAAGGAGCCCGGGAAGCGGGAATGAAGGGCGGTAGACTCTGCTGTTGTATTTATAGACTGCGTTGACGCCTCGAATGACCCCATCGAAGGTTGTTGTTGCCTTCATCGCCGCAAGAAACCACTCTCTCCCTCGTCCCGTTCACTCCGGCATACTCCACCTCGGCTAGGCGCCCTGCAACCGCTTGCACTTGCTCCAACGAGTCTCACAATCCCTCGACCGAGTCCCCTCGCACTCCCACCTGCTCACTCTTCCTCCACCCCTCGCCTCTCCGCCAGACGACCATGGCCGACTACTGGGTCTCGCGGGACAAGTACTTTTGCAAATACTGCAAGATCTACATTGCCGACGACAAGCCCGTTCGTCGCCATCCCTTCCTCCCCTTCCCCTCCTTTCCCCTGCTGACTTGCTCTTCCTCCCTGGGTGACAGTCCCGCATTCACCACGAGACCGGTCTGCGGCACAAAGGGAACTATGAGCGCTATATCCGGGATATCTACAAGAAGGGGATGCAGGAGAAGAAGGATCGGAGGGAGGAGGCGGAGGAGGTTGCGAGGGTTGAGGCGGTGAGTTGGCCCGTGTCTCTCAGGATCTCGGTTCTTTCCTGCTGTCGGAGGAAGAGAAGCTGATCTCCACTGTGGATGGTTGACTCGCAGGCCGCGGCAGCAGCCATGGGTCTCCCTCCCCCCGCTCCCGCTCCTACCGCCTCCTCCTCGAAACCCAAACCCGCCGCTTCAGGCCCCCCAGACCCCTACACAAACTACACCACTGCCTCCTCACTCGGCATCAAAGACGAGGAAGCCGAGAGGGAGGCGGAGATGCGCGCTTTGAGGCAGAAGGAGGGGAGGATTGGGGAGTGGGAGAGGGTGGTTAAGCCGAGTTCGACGTATGTGGAGCAGGGGAAGGGGAAGGCGAGGGAGAGGGAGGAGGGGCTGGTCGGACGGCCGGTGTTGGGAGGACAGGCTGGAGGATCGGTCAAGCGTGAGGACGGAGAGGACGTCAAGCCTGATCCCACTGCTGCAAACGGCGTGGCGGGCTCGTCGACCACCTCCGCACGAAATGGAGACGACGAGGAGGAAGACGAGGCGTCGAATCCGATCGGAGCAGCGAAGAAGCGCGGCTTCCTGACCGAAAAGACGCTCGCGGACGACGACGACGACCCGCTCGCCTCGCTCGCGCCAATCAAGCTCAAGAAGCGGCGGTTGACGGTCAAGGAGCAGCAGGCGGAGGAAGAGGCGCGATTGGAGAAGGAGCGGGAGAAGGAGGAGGCGCGGAAGCTGGCGAGAGAAAGTGGGGCGAAGGGCGGGTGGCAGCAGGTTGATCTTGCGCAAGAGGGCGACGAGGAGTTCGACCCGCTCGCGGACATCGTGGCGCAGAAGGAGGAGGAGGAGCGGAGGAAGCGGGAGGAGGAAGAGGCGGAGGAGCGGCGGCGCAAGGAGGAGCTGGAGGAGGACAAGCCCAAGGTGTCGACTTCCGGGTTCAAGAAGCGCAAGATGGCGGGCGCGGCGGCGGCTAGGAAGAGGTAGATCGCGGTAGAAGCGTTGCACGCAGTCGTTTACACCCCCTTTGACGAGATGCCAGCGAGACTCATCTCCTCCTCTTCCGCCTCCATCCTTCTCTCTCCTCCCTCCATCTCCGCCTTCTTCGTTCTTCGCTTGTCGAGTTATTTCGCTCGCTGTCGACGTCGCTTCCACGCAGCTGAGTAAGCACGATCGGCCGCTCCCCTCCACCTCCGTCACTGCCTCGCCTCGGACCCGCTCTCGCTCCTTCGCCCTCCTCACACCCCTTCGCAGGACAAACAGACAACATGGGTGGTGCGCAGACATCCTAAGTATTCGATCTAGCCACCACTGACATCCCATCCCACCCTCGCAGCCGAACACGCCGTCGCATCTCCCTTCACCCTCGCCTCGTCCGTCAAGCTCCGCAATGGCGCTCAGATGCCCCGCCTGGGCTTTGGCGTCTTCCAGTCGACCAACGCAAAGGCTTCCACTGCCCACGCACTCGCGATGGGCTACCGGTGCGCCTCCCTCTCCTCCTCGACTTGCTCACCTCCACTTCGACCCGCGGACGCTGACACGCTCGCTCGACAGCCACATCGACTCTGCGCGCTACTACCACAACGAAGAGGAAGTCTGCGCCGCGGTGCAGAAGTTCTCGGGCGGGAACTTGCCGAACGAAGGGACGGGCAAGGTTTGGCTCACGACAAAGGTGATGGGCCAGGAGCACGGGACGGACAAGACCAACAGGGCGGTTGATGAGAGTGTTGCGATCGCCAAGAAGTATGGGTTGACTTGGGTGCGTTTCGGAGGTCCTTTTACTCCTCTTCCCGGCTCGCGTTGACGCAGGGACGCTCGCAGGACCTCTTCCTCCTCCACGACCCGACGGCCGGCAAGCAGAAGCGTCTCGAGGCATGGAAGGTGCTCATCGAGAAGCGCGACCAGGGATTGATCAAGTCCATCGGCGTCTCCAACTTTGTGCGTCCCTTCGGTTCTCTCCGATCCAACGTAGGCTAACGCGAGCGCGCACGCAGGGCGTCAATCACCTCGAGCAAATCAAAGAAGCGGGACTCGAGACGCCCGAAGTCAACCAAGTTTGTCCTCACCTGTTCTTTCCCCTCTCGCCTCGCTGATCATCCCGCCGCGCAGATCGAGCTCCACCCCTTCCTCCAGCAACGCGACATCGTCGAATACTGCGAAAAGGAAGGGATCGTCGTCGAAGGTCCGTCCTTTCCCCTCCCTCTGCCTTTCTCTGACTGAAACAGTGTCCGTCGACCTCGCACAGCCTACTGCCCAATCCTCCGCGGCAAACGCTTCGACGACCCTACCCTCGTCGAACTCTCACAGAAACACTCCGTCACGGTCCCACAGATCCTGATCCGTTGGAGCTTGCAAAAAGGCTTCGGTCCGTGCCATTCCCTCCTTTGCCACTTTCCGAGCTGACGAGGTTTGGTACAGTCCCCCTGCCGAAGAGCGACACACCCGGTCGCATCCAAGCCAATGCGGATTTGTGGGACTTTGAGCTCGATGAGGCGGACATGAAGCAGATGGAGAAGCTCGACGAGGGATACGCGGTGAGTTGGAACCCGGTGAACGTCGAGTAGACTCGCCTCGCTGCGAGATGGAAACGAAGAAGCAGTATTCGTGTTTCTACAGGATGCGATGCAGAGAGGGGAAAGAAGGGGCTACAGCACACAACTCGCACGGAGGTTGTCCCTGTCCCAGCTGCCGTAAAGCACCGCCGCAAACTCGCGCAGTTCTCGGACATCTTCGAGGGCCTGGCTCAACGAGCGAGTCAGTCTTTGATCGAGGTCAAAGACGCGAGAGAGAGAGCGCAAACGCACCTCGACCCACTCGTTCCCATTCAGCCCACTCGCGAGCACCGCACCTCCCGCCTCCCCCTTGGCAGCCGACAACCTCGTCAAAACCGGCAACAAACTCGCCAGTCTCGCCTGTTTCTCCGTCACATCCTCAAACCTCGCTCCCCTCTCTCCTCCACCCGACCGGAAAGCGACTTCGACTTTCTCGAGTGCGAGGGAGAAGAGTTTGTCCAACGAGAGAGCGCGCACGAGAGCGGCGTCGGGGGAGTCGAGCGCGTCGGAGGTTTCGTTCAGGAGGGAGCGGAGGGAGGGGGTTATCGGATCCGCGATTGCGGCGGAGGAAGAGGGACTGTAGGACCCGCCGGCGATGAGGGTTTGGATCTCGAGGTCTTGCGTTGGCGGGTGCAGCGCGGGGGAGAAGCTGTGGACGTCGAGGGTTCCGCACATCGTCAGCGGGCTGTCTTTCGCAAGCAGCCAGTGAAAGGGAGTGAGGCGAACGCACTCGAAGAGCTTGCCGTCCGCATCCTGCTCGATCCGCCGCCGAATCTGTGCGAATAACGCCCCGAGCTCGCCATACACAAGCGGGGTCTTGAGTCCCATCCTGCGCGCACTCGAAAGCGTCAGTCGCTGCACGCCGCCACCGAAGACTAGACCTGCAGCCCATATGAAATGACTGAAGAGTCGTGTCGAATCGAGTGAGCGACTTACGGCCCAACAACCTCCTCCACCGCCTGCTCAACCCTCCTATACACGACCTTCCACCCCTCATGCAACAGCCACCAACTAAACGTGAGGTACTTCCTCTCGACGTCCTTCCGCTCCTCTGCGGGGGTGGGAGGGAGAGACTTGGCCGCGTAGAGTGCGGATTCGAGGTCGTCGTCTTGCGTTGCTGAGTCGTCCAGCGCGGGAGGCGGGGACTCGGGGAGAAGGTGGGCGGAGGAAGAAGGAGAGGGAGAACGAGGCGGGAGGGCGGAGAGGAGCGATTCGACGTATGCTGATCGGCCGAGGAGGGCGAGTTGGACGTGTGTCTGGAGTGAGAGGAGGACGAGGAGGTAGATTGAGGTGAAGAGGCGGGTGAAGGCTGCGCGTAGACACAGGTTAGCGGGGAGGTGGAGAGAGGGAGAGAAGGGACGGACAGAGGAGCTTGATCGAGTTCCACAACTCGGCTTTGGTCTTCTCCGGCTGCGCAGGCTTCGACGCCTCCACCAGCTCCTGTTTGTCCTCCTCCTGCACACCGTTCAACTCGACCTTTTTCTCCGTCTCGCCCGTCTCGCCCGTCTCGCCCTCCACATCCGCCGCCGCAGCGCCATCAACCTCATACCCCTTCTCCTCCCGCTTCTCCTCCTCCTCCACAGCATGTCCATTCGCCACTTTTTGCTCTCCCTCCCCTTCGCGCTCCTCCACGGCAGCTTCCGCGTGCTCCGTCCCATCGCGCTTCACCACCTCGGCCCAACTCGTGCCCATCTCCCCTCCCTCCTGCTCTCGCGGGGGAAGGGAATCGACGTCGGCCGGTTCAGCTGCTTGAGGTGGAGAGGGCGAACGAGGTTGGAAGACTGGTGCGGAGGGGTTGAGCGAGGCGCTGGCGAGTGCGTGGTTGTTGGGCATGGGAAGGAGGGGAGAGTGAAGCGGTTGGCCGATTGGACCGGGAGGTTGTGCCGCATCGCCATTCGGTTGCGCCTCCTTCTTGTTCGCAGCCTCCTCAGCCTCACTGCTAGCCCGCTCTTCCTCCGCAGCAACCCGCTTCTCCTCCTCCTCCCTTTTCCTCCGCTCCTCCTCTTCCCGCGCGCGTTCCTCCCTCTCCCTCCTCGCCCTCTCCCCCAAAACCCCCGTCAACCCCTCCACATCCATCTCCTCCGCTACTCCCGCCGCCAAAGTCGGCAAGAGCGCAAGGACGGTAAACTGCGAGTCTTGGATATTGAGGTTGAAGCGGCGTGCTAGACTATCTCCCACGCATCAGTATCTCCCCTCATACCCGTCGGTGGGTGGAACGTAACGCACTCCTCCCTCCCCCATCCCTCCCTCCGTCCCCTCTCCGCGCCCTCCAAAACCCTCCCCAAAGCCCACTTCCCCGCGAGGTAGGCGCTCCCGAGTGTTGCGGCGGTGTAGGCGAGGCCGCGTCGGCGGGACGAGATGAAGGTTGAGAGGGAGGAGAACATGCGAGTGGGGAGTGAGCGGCGCGCGCGCGAGTGGAGTGGAGGGTGGAGCTTGTCGGTCGGTACTAGCACTGCGAGCTTCGAGGGCCAGCTGAGGGCGCACACAGCGAGCTAAGGGAGATGTCGAGGCGAGAGCGAAGTCCGGCAACTCCTCGACCAAGCCGGTCTCAGTCTCCTTCCCAACGACCCACAGAGAGGGTTTGTAACTCGGTGACTTGGATTGACTAGGAACCGCAGAACGAGAGACTAGAGGAAGTGAGAGAAGGGGGGAGGGAGAGGGGGGACACTACGCGAGACCGAGACGGGGGCAGACAGACACAGAGAGAGAGGTTTGGAAACGGCGTCAAGAGAAACGTCCGCTTGATCTTGAGAGAGGAATTAAGGAGAGACTAGACTTGTTGAGGGTTCGAGGGAGGAGGCGCCTAGGCGGCAAGGGCGACAACAGCGCCAACGACGACGGCAACGACCGCCCCGACCTTGTTCTCGACCGCACCGCTCGAGGGCTTGCTCGACTGACTCGGGGCCGAGCCAGACGCCGTGTTGGAGGGCATCGACGCCGACGACGACGAGGCCTTGGACGCGGACGACATGGACGACGCAGACGACTGGACGGACGAGGCGGCGGACGAGGCGCTGGTCGAGACGGACGAAGCGGCCGACGACGCAGCCGAGGAGGCCGAGCCGGTCCTGCGTATCGAGCGTTAGCGAGGCGTTCAGATAGAATGGCTTGTCGCGCGACTCACGACGACTGGACGAGACTAGTCGACGACGGAGTCGACTGTCCATTCGTCGCCGATCCCGACGACGCAAGGCCACTCGATCCCTGCGCATTCAAGCACCCACTCGCGCCCTGGTTGATCGTGACAGGCGCCGTAGCAGCCGTCGCGCCGGTCGAGTCGGTGATGGTGAGGGTGATCGAGGTCCCGGCGGGGATGTTGACGGTCCAGGTGTACTGAGTGTCCGAGGTGGGCTGCTGGTCGAGCGTCGCGAGGGGCGCGGCCGAGAGTTGGCCGCCTGGGAGGACGCGGACTGCGCGAGCGGGACGGAGAGGGGGTCAGTGCGGCGGAGGTGTTTGAGAAGGAGCAAGGGACGCACCGAAGTACGGAGCCTGTCCACCGCCCCAGGTGACGAGGTACGGCTGGCACTCTGCGCGCGACAAAGAGGAGCGGTCAGGGCGGGGGCAAGCGCAAGAGAGGCGGGACGGGCGAGAAGCGCCCACGCATACGCTCGAGGGGGGATCGTACGTACGGAAGAGCGCGGTAGGGGTGTTGATGAGGAGGCCTGTCAGTTTGTAGCCGTTTGGGCAGCGGCGAGAGCGCAGCGGGAGGAAGAGGTGTGGGCGAACGTGGGTCAGTTCCATCGTCCTCCCTGGTCAAACCAGATGCTGAACATCCGCATCGGGTCCTGATAAGCCCCTCGAGTCCGTGAGCGTCACAAGCGAGCCGCAAGAGCGAGTGGGAAAGCGAACGATCCGTCTTGGAATACCGAGGAGCCTTCGAGCCCGTGTTGAGCGACCCGTCCTCCGCCGCCGTCATCCGCACGAGGCTCGCTCGACATGTCCAGGCTCGAACAGTCCTCTATCACCCATCTGAGCAAGGTCGCACGCCCGCGCGAGGAGTGCAGCGCGCAGAGCAAGCCACGAAGCGGAGATTGTGGGGCTCGCACGAAGCGCAGGAGAGAGGGAGGCGGGACGCACTGGACTGGGCGAGTGCCGAGCCTGCTGCTGCGACGAGTGCGGCGACGGTGGTGGTGATGCGCATGTTGAGACGGAGTGTGGGAAGGTGAGGAGGAGGAGAAGGGGAAGAGGAGTCCCTCGTCATTTGTCTCGGTTTGTAGTCGATTACAGTTTGAATACAAACGGGTTTGTATTGCTGCAGCGGACTCCGCGCGACCCGCTCCTTGACCCTTGACCTCGACGCTTCACTTCCGCTCGTCTCGCCTGCCGCTGGCGAAGGCTCTTTCCCACACTGGCTTCCAACTACTGAGCTTGTCCCGCCCTCGTCCGAACTCCCTGCTTGTCCTCTTCTCCGTTCTCACGGCTCGCGCACGCCTCGTCTGCGCTCGCAGTGCCTCGCGATGGGTTCGAGGGATGTCTTGCCCGCGCGCCGGACGTCGGGATGGGCGGAGCGACCCTGCAGCGGTTGTTGGCGGGTGAGGCGAGACGCTTCTCCTGCCTCAGACGCTTTTCACGGCGTGGTACGGCGCCCAGATGGCGAGGTAGCGGTATGTCGATGTAGCTAGTACTTGGTCCATTGCTCGGGCTGCCCAGTCTAAGGCGCGACGTGCGCGGACGGCTCAGCAAACGGCTTCTCCTCCTCGCTCCTCTCCTCCTTCGCTCGACAACCTTCCCAGATTCATCGCTCTCCACGCCCACACGCGTCGCGCACACGCCAAACACGGCAACGGTCTCGGCGGCACTTCGCCGAGCGCATCGACACCTCCTCTTCGCGTCTCACGGGCCTCCTGCCAATTCACCCATCCAAATCCTCCGACTCTCGCTCCTTCTCTCTCTTCTCCTCACTCGCTGTCTTCTTGCTCCCCCTCTCGCGCACACCAGATCAAGAATAAGCGACACAGGATGCCTGCCTCGACTACCCTCGCCTCGACCGCCCTCGCCCTCCTCGTCGCCGCTCGCGCTGTCCTCGCAGCGACTTCGATCCAGTCGCCGGCGCTGTACCAGTGCACGCCTGCTGCGTTCCAGTACGAGTGCGAGTACGTGCACGATCTCTTTGTCTCGCGGAACGGGCGAGCGAGGTCGGGAGGGAGGGACCCGCTCAGGCCTCGCAGACAGATACTGACGCCCCCTCGCAGTGCGCCTCCCTGCACCGTCGTTGCCCGCCCCTCGAACGACCCCACCTCGATGATCGGCGAAATCGGCACGGTGAACGACGCGTCAGGTTCGATCTCGTGGCGCCCTACCGTTGCGGCAGGCCAGCAAGTCACGGTCTACATCACCGACAACAACGGCGCGGTCGGTAACAACTCTCCTACGACTGTTGCGGCTGGGACGTCCGACTCGTGCCTTTCGGGAGGCGCGGCTTCGTCAGGCGCAGGAGCGGCTTCGTCCGCGTCGTCGGGCGCAACCTCGGCTGCTTCGTCCGCCCACTCCTCCGCCTCGGGTGCCGCGGCGAGCGTCTCGTCGTCCCTCGCGAGCGCTACCTCGTCCCTCTCGAGCCGCGTCGACTCGGCTGTCGCGTCCGCCTCGAGTGCCGCCGCGAGCGCCTCGAGCCAGGCTGTCTCGACTGGCGCGGCGTTGAGCTCGTCTGCTTCGTCGGCTGCGTGAGTGCGATTTCCTACGACTGGTTCAGTTGAGCCCTTTGCTGGTGACGAGGAAAGACTGATTTCGCTTGAGGACTTCGTCCGCAGTGCCAGCGCCTCGGCCAGCGCCGACAAGGGCTCGGGCGCCGCCTCGATCGCCATCAACGGGTACGCCTGATCCCTGCTTCCTTCTCACAGCCCGTCGCAGACCGCTGACGGGACGATGTGGGAAACCAGCGCACTCCTCGTCGTCGCAGCTCTCGCCGTCGCTCGTCTCTCGTAGACGCCCTCCCCGACGCCAAGAAGCACAACTGCGTAGAGTCAAAGCCATGGACTATCGCTCGCCAGAAGAAGTACCCCTCACTCCCCTCGCCTAATCCCCTTACCTCCTTCGCCTTCACTCGATGGACTCGCTCGTTTCCCACTGGTTTCTGCTAGCCGTTCACTTTCATTCGTCGTCTTTATGTCTCTGCAGTTGCAACTCGTTCCTTTTTCCCCCCGGTCGTTGCGGTTCGCATCAAGCGTCGAGTTGCGTTGCCGCCGTTGTCGTTCCCTCGCTTCGCACGGTCTGCGCCGTTCCTCCTACACATGCTTAGCTCTGTCGAAGCATCGTCGGAACCGCAAAGAGTCGCACGAAGCCCTCCTCGGCCGACACCCACCTCTCCTCGTCCTCCTCTCGTCCTTTCCCTCCCTCACCTCACACTCATGTCCTCCCCTTCCTCTCAGCAACCTCTGTCCGCCCCTCTAGCCCCATCTGAGTCCGCAGCGCCCCCTCCCAATCCGCACGACGTCTCTCCCACTCATACCGACCCCACACCGCCTCCTTCGACTGATGAAGCCGCTCCGAGCGAACACGGCTCCGTAGGAGCGCTAGACGGTGCGAGGGAGGGTGGGAATGGTCCTGTCTGGCGATCGGAGGGGCGACAGGATACGGTGAGCGAGGGACGGGGTGTGAGGACGGAGAAGGAGGAGGAGGTTGGGGTGAGGAACGAGGTTGGCGAGGGAGAGACTGGAGAGACGCAGGCGATCTCAGAGAGGACGGAGGGAGCTGAAGAACGGGGGCAGCAGCCAATCGTCAAGGGAGTGGCTGGACCCGCTTTTCCTCCCGCTCTTCCTCCTCGCGAATCGGCTCAACCTCCGCCAACTTCTCCTGAAGACCTCGCCCGGCAACTCGCCGACTTCTCCATCCCTTCCTCTACTCCTTCCTCCTCACAGCCGGCCGAGCCGCAGACGCAAGAAGAACCCGAGGAAGAATGGCTCCTCAAGTCCATTCTGTGGCCGCCTTTGCCGCCTCCGCCTTCTGCTGCCGGACAAGACGGACGGGAGGTTGTACGAGAGGAGTTTGAGACGGATGACAATCTGCGGGTCAAGGTCATTTGCCAGAATGCGAACGGGCCTTGCTCGCTCATCGCTCTGTGTGCGTTCGGGAGGTCTCTTGGCGAGGCGACTTTATGCTAATGCTTGTTCCCGCGCAGGCAACATCCTCATCCTGCGGAACGACCTCCACATCGCCGGCCGAACAAGCGTCACCTACTCGCACCTCTCGAACCTACTCGCCGACTACTTCCTCCGCGTCACCTCGTCTCCCTCCTCAAATCCCTCTTCGCCTTCCACCGAGTTATCCCTCACGGCCGCACTCTCGATCCTCCCGCAGACTCGGTACGGGTTGAACTTGAACCCTCGATTCGACCGAATCGACGGGTTCTCTACCTCCACCTCCTCCTCGGCGTCAGGGAAAGGCGAACTCGCTCTCTTCGCACTAGCAGATATACCCCTTCTGCACGGCTGGCTGGCCGACCCCTCCGATCCCGAGACCTACGACGTACTCGTCGGCTCAGAGGGCTGCAGGGACTACGACACGGCGATGGAGTGGGTGGTCGAGGGGAGCGAGGTAGCTGGTGGAGCGGAGAAGTTGCAGTTGAGGGAGGAGGAGATGAGTGAGGAGGAGATGGTGAAGGAGGTTGAGAGGCGGAGTGGGTGGAGCGAGGAGCAGGAGAAGAAGGTTCGGAGAGGTGAGTGGCACGCCTCGGTCTCGTCTCGCTCTCGGCGACGAGTTTCAAGACAACACCTGACTGTACTGCCGTGTTCGACGCCCACAGCCCACCTGATCAACACCTTCCTCTTCGCGACCTCGACCCAACTCAGCTACCCTGGACTCTCAGCCCTCTGCCAGTCCCCCTCGCTCCTCCCACCCTCCGGCCTAGCCGCTCTCTTCCGCAACTCCCACCTCTCAGTCCTCTACCGCCGTCCGTCCGTCCCCTCCACCCCCTCTTCGCCCACCTTCGAAGGACCCGAACTCTTCACGCTCGTTACGGATGCGGCGTTCGCGAGTGAAGAGGGTATCGTGTGGGAGAGTCTGGGGGATACGAATGGCGAGGCGAGCGAGTTTTATGATGCGGCGTTGAGGAGGTCGAGCGTTAGAGGAGGGGATTGGGTTGGAGGCGGCGCGAGAGGCCAAAGGAGGGAGAGGGAGCCGGTGGTGCAGCACGAGGGGGTGGAGAATCCTGCAGAGTGCGTCAAATTTCGTTCATTCTGCACTCGGTGCTGACAGCAAGTTTGTCGACAGTATCGCGCTCGCTCAGCAACTCCAGGCCGAGGAAGACGCCTACGAGCGGCATCTCGTCGAGCAGCAACGCCACGAAGACCGCCATCGTCAGCAGCAAGAACCGGCAGCACCGCCTCCACGTCGGGACGAGCGGGTCGAAGCACAGGGACGGACGAGCGGCGCGGGCGCTGGTGCGGCAAAGGCGTCGAAGAGGTTGAGCAAGATGGCTGGCGGAGGTGGGAAGGGCGAGAAGGAGAAGTGTGTCGTCATGTAGAATGTCAGGAGTGTCGATAGAAGGTTTCGTTGCCCACGAGCTCGAGGACAAGGGAAGAGGCCAGTATCTGTTTCAAGCAAAGTCTAGCTACAACGCGTCTAATGCATCGTCCACCTGCTCCACCTCCTGATCCTGCGTCCGGCGAGGTAAAAGACGAACGGGATGAAGGACATGAGGAGCGCGAGGCCGGCGAGGAGCGAGAGAGCCCAGTGGCGGTCTGCGTGAACATGTGTCAGCTTGTGAGCCGAGGGAAAGGGAGGTGAGCGTACCTAGGCGGTGGTACATTGGGCGAGTAAAGAGGACCGAGGCGCCCTGCGAATGGCGAAGGAGGTCAGCACGGTGAGAAGGTTGAAAGTCGTGACCCGATCGCACGGCGACTGGGTAGCGAAGAAAAGTTGTCGCCGACATCGCACTAGCTGCCGCATGACCGTATGAGTCTGCGAAGGCGAAATGTGAGCGTTCGTGAACGGGCTGCGAGGCGAAGAGACGGAGAGCGCACCGATCAAGTACTGATACGTCGAGATGAAGCAGGAGAGGATGCCGAATCCGAAGAGCGCTTGTGCTCCGTACGAGCCAAAGACAGAGACGCTTTGATAGCAGACCCAGGCACTGCGAGAGATCAAGTGTCAGTGGACCGCTCCGTGCATTCGAAGGTTGCAACCCGCTCTTCGTGCGACCACAACCGAGAGCGAATGCGAGCAACTCACTTCCATGCCAACCCCGCCGGCACCGCCCAAGTCCCGACCATCGCAACCCTCAACCTAACTTCCGGCTCGACTTCGTCTAAGCCCTTCTTCCAGGCTTGTTCGAGTCCGCGGCGGTAGTCCCACAGCATGAGTGGGGCGCACGCGCCGCAGAGGACGACTCCGACGGTGCCGAGGATGCCGGCGGAGAGGTTGTAGGGGACGAAGATGAGCGGGTAGCTGCGAGGAGATCGTCAGTTAGGTCAAAGGATGAAGTTCGTGTGAGTACGCACGCGACGAGCGAGCCGAATAGGACGATGTACACGAGAGTCAAGTAGGCGAGGAAGCAAACGACAATCGGCTCTTCGACGAGCATCACAAACGGCCTCGCGAGGGTCTTGAGGAAGTCGACACGGTACGGGATATGCTGGCGCTTGTGCTCGAGTGCGGTGAGGTAGCGAGAGTCTCGAGTACGTTCGCGGATTGCTGTGCGAGAGGGGGGTGAGCGAGCGCAGCGGGTGAGGAGGGCGGTCTGCGTATCTGCGGCCTTCCAGCCAAGCAGAGTTGGCGGGTACGTCTCGGGCAGGAGTAAGAACGTAATGACCAAGAGCGAGCCGGCCCTGCGCATCAAGGCCGTGCGACAGGAGCGTCAGCTGGTGATTTTTGACGAGCTGAAGCGCGCCTAAAGGCCGACGCACCACGCCGCCTGTATCCAGTCCGTCCATCGGTAGGTCAACGTGCTCTGCGCGACCCAGCCGCTGATGACAGGACCTGCGAAGGACGGCGTCAATATCCGTCGACTCAGCGGGGCATGCCCTCGTCGAGAGAAGGGGAACGCACCGAGACAAGGTCCGAAGCTGCAAGTTGTCGACAGTATCGATCAGTCAGCCGCGCCCTCGATGGGGACGCCAGCAGGCGAAAGCAAGTGGACGACGCACAAGCCCGCGACCGCAAACAACGGAAACGTCCAGCTCCTCTCTTCCCTGTCCCACAAGTCGCCCATCGCGGCACCTGCATTCGAGAGCGGAGTCGTTGCGAAGCAGCCGGCGAGGAAGCTGTTTCGCCGAAAAGGTGAGCGAGAGAAGCTGGGAGCGAGGGTTGATGGAAGGGACGAACCGGAGGACGCAGCGCGACCAGATTGTGTGGGTTTGCGCGACGCCGATCTCAAGTAAGCACACGGCGAGAAGCGAGATGAGGTAGATGGGGTTGCTGCGAGTTTCCAAAGTACACCAGAGATTCAGCTTGACGTCCGCAGAGAATAAGCTGACGCGCTGATTCGCGGCGTACCGGCCTGCGAGCTCCGACAGAGGCGCCATGATAGGCGCGGCAACGCCAAAGCCGGTCAAGAACAGCGCCGTGTCGAGGTCCGCCTGGTCAATCTCCCCAAATTAGCGAGATCTTCCTACGAAGCGAGAGAAGAGAACGCACGATCGTCTCGCTCACCTTTAAGTCCGCAGTCGCCTTCTTCGCGACCAAGGCGTTCATTGAGCTGGCGGAGCCAACGAAGAGGACGAGGAGGGAGAGGAGGAAGGTCGTGAAGACGCGGGTGCGGAGGGGCCAGTCCTGCGTTGCGTAAACGATTCCGCCGTCAGTGCTCGAATCCTGGATCGTACAGAGAGGAGCTGACCGCACCTGCGGGTTGAGCGGATCGGAAGGCGTCGAGAAGGCAACGACGAATTGGCCCTGTCCATCCTGCCCAGCCTTGACCGCCTTCGGACCACTCGCACTCCCTTCGCCGTCTGCTTCCCTGCTCGGCTGGTCCAACTCCGACCTCCCACGTCCTCCGAAGGGGTCCGGAGTGTCGCGGATGTAGAGTGAGTAGTGCGTCTTGAGGCGGCGGCGGAGGCGGAGGGACTGCATAGCTCCGAGAGGTCAACAAGTCCGGGTCGCTTCGGGTTGGGAGCGAGTGAAGGAAGGAGCGAGCGAAGGGGAGGAAGCAGCGCAGTCCGCAGGAGGCATCGCATGAGTGCATGAAGCGAGCGCGGGACCGAGTGGACCGACCGGACCGTCTCCATTGGCTCCTGACGCTGCTGCTGAGCAGTACGGGGGCACAGGCGAAGAGAGCGAGAGCAGCGAGGTCGAAGGAAGAGAACGCAAGCAAGTTGAGAAGGCGGAGCCTAGCAGGAAGCGAGAAGCGAGGTTGGGAGGAGCACAGGATTCGCGAGTCTACCGTGCGAGCGTGTCAGGACGTTGAGCAGCTTTTGGGCAAACGGGCGAGGCTCGAGGAGGACGATGGAAAAGCGCACTCGTTACACCCTCATCGCTTGTCCAACGGGGCCGTTCCTTCTCCAGCACGCACATACTTCCTCCCCCGTTCCCGCAAGCTTCGAAAGTTCTTGACGATCACATTGGCGAGCGATGGGGACAGGCGGAGGGAGACGAGGATTCGAAGCGGGAGGAGGGCCTGCGTGAGGAGGTTCATCGAAATGAGCACACGTCGGAAGATCTCCCAACACAGCTCAGGGGGAGGAAATCGACACGCACCTTTACGAGCAGGTAAGACGCTGCCGCGTTCGCCACGTCTCCCGACACTCGCAACCGTTCTGGCGAGACGTCTTGAAGCATCGCATCGCCCACCTGTGCGTCCTTCTCCCTTGCGCGCCGCTCCTCTCTCTCTTCTTGCGTCTCCTTCGCCCAGCCGAACCAGCCATACCGCCGCCCAACCCGCTCAGCCTTCTTCTCCGACTCGACCAACCACTCTTTCGCCGTCGTTCTCCAGCCTGATCGCTCCCCTTCCGCCTCGCTCGTTTCGTCGACGACCCTCGCCACGATTGCCCCACCTACGCCTAGCCACTTGAGCAGCGCAAAGAGGCCGACGAGCGGTACGAGGGCTGTGAGTTCATGCAGGATGACGAAGGAGATGAGAAGGGAAGGCGGGTCGACGTGCGGGTATGACTGGCGCAACCGGGCCATGTAGGGTGCGAGCCAGGTCGCGCGAGACTGTTGTGCGGGTGTGTTGGTCGAGGCGAGTCGAGGACGCGGATGAGGAAGAGCGAGGAGTGGACGCGGCGCTCGAAGCGGTGTGCGCTGAAGTAGAGCGTGTCTGTACGGTGTATTCGAGGCTCGTAGCATCATCCTGCAAACACTTAGCCAGACTGAGCCAGCTTGGTCGGAAGCGAACCCTTCTCTCGCTTCATCAACTCGCTCGACGACCGCCCGTCTCGCTGGGAGGACTCGCTTGAACATGGCAGACACCGCACAGGACCAGCAACAGCAACCCGCGCAGCAGCCAGGCTACACGCGCCGCCGTCGCACCCCCACTCCTCCGCCTCCCGACCCTTACGCCGTCCTCGACGAAGACGAGTCTGCGCCGCTGTACGTCCCGCTCAAGCAGCGACGAGCACAGCTAGTGTCGAAGCTTGCGGCCAAGGGAACGGGCGGAGCGGCGGCGGCAGCGGAGAAGCGCAAGAGGGAGGAGTTGGAGGAGGAGGAGAAGGAGCGCGAGAGGGACGAGGAGGAGGCTCGCAGGAAGAAGAGGGAGGCGCAGACCCTACTGATGGAGGCGCAGGAGGTTAAGCGACAGAAGGCGCTCGAGGGTATGTCCTACTTTTGCTTGCTCGAAGGGTTGGCGGATTGCTGACTTCGTTCACTTTCGCAGAGTCGGCGAAGACGGAACAGCAGAAGCGCGAAGAGGAGGAAGCGAAGATCCTTGCGGCGCAGGAGGCGACGCGGAAGAAGCTGGCTGGTGCAGAGGAGGTCGCGAAAGGAATCGTTTACACGGAACGGATGAAGGCGACGTGCGTTCGCACTCCTCGATCGCCATGCTCGCCCTAGGCTGATTTCAGCTCACACAGCTGGCGACCACCGCACTACCTTCGCGGCAAAAGCGAGGAGGAGCACGACGCCGTACGAGAGAAGTTCCACATCCTCGTTTCTGGCGACGACATCCCTCCTCCGATCCCCAACTTCAGGGTGCGTGAACCCTTCTTAGCTGCCTTGCTCGACGGTCGACGAGACGTCAGCTGCTGACTGTCGGATGCCTTTCGCAGGACATGAAGCTCCCGAAACCGCTTCTCGAGTACCTCAAGAAGAAGAAGATCTCCGCACCGACGCCTATCCAGCTTCAAGGTCTCCCCGTCGCCTTCTCCGGCCGCGACATGATCGGCATCGCCTTTACCGGATCCGGCAAGACGCTCGCCTTCTCGCTGCCGCTCCTCATGCTCGCGCTCGAGGAGGAGAAGCGTCTCCCGTTCATGCAGGGCGAGGGGCCGGTCGGGATCGTCATGTGCCCGAGTCGCGAGTTGGCGAGGCAGACGTTCGAGGGGTTGAATGAGATGGCGAAGTGTCTCGAGCAAGGAGGGTACCCTCAGTGAGTTCGGCGTCCTGCTTCTTCGGTTACACTGCACATTCCCAATGCGCATCGGTCACTGATGCTCACACCCGACTCCTACTCGCAGAGTCCGCTCTCTCCTCTGCATCGGCGGCATTTCGATGGCGGAACAAGGCCAAACTCTCGCCAATGGCTTCCACATGGTCGTCGCGACGCCCGGACGTCTCCAAGACATGCTCGAGAAGCGCAAGTTCACGCTGAACCAGTGCAAGTACCTCTGCATGGACGAAGCCGACCGGATGATCGACATGGGTTTCGAGGAAGATGTCCGCAACATCCTCAGCTTCTTCAAGCACCAACGCCAGACGCTCCTCTTCTCCGCGACGATGCCCAAGCGCATCCAAGATTTCGCCCAGTCGGCACTCGTCCAGCCCATCCTCGTCAACGTCGGTCGAGCAGGCGCCGCGTCGCTCAACATCATCCAAGAAGTCGAGTACGTCAAGCAGGAGGCCAAAATGGTCTACCTGCTTGAATGCTTGCAAAAAACCGCGCCGCCCGTCATCATCTTCAGCGACAACAAGAACGAGGTCGACGGTGTGTAGTCGAGCTTTCGAAGCGCCTTTCTCTACGTCTCTCGCGAGTTGGCTCGCTGACTCTCCTTCTCCGCAGACATTCAAGAATATCTTCTTCTCAAGGGCGTCGAGGCCGTCGCCATTCATGGCAGCAAGAGTGCGTGACTTTACCCGACTAGCCACCTTCGCCGACTCCCTGTCGTCGCCCTTGCGATTTCTCACTTGCGCTTGAATGTCGCCCACTCACAGCACCAGCGCTAACCTTCCTTCCGCACACTCGCAGCCCAGGAAGAGCGCGAGTACGCGATCAAGTCGTTCAAGTCGGGCAAGAAGGATGTTATGGTCGCTTCCGGCGTCGCTTCGAAGGGCCTCGACTTTAGCGAAATCCAGCACGTCATCAACTTTACGATGCCGAAGGAGATCGAGGTGTGTTCCAACTCTGCAGTCACCCTCTGGCTCGAAAGGCCCCAAAAGCGCTCGAAACGCCTCCGGATTGCTTCGGATGCTCACAAATGGTCGAAAAACCTACAGGATTACACTCACCAGATCGGACGAACTGGACGAGGTGACAAGACCGGAATTGCAACCACCTTCATCAACATGCAAACGCCGGAACAGACTCTGCTCGACCTCAAGTACCTCCTCATGGAGTCCAAGCAGAAGTGCGTCCTTCTCGCCTTCCTACTCTCGACTGGCGGCACCTCCGCGGAGACGCAAGGTAGCTTCGTGTCTGGCCGCTGACTTCGACTTCTCGCGTCCTTTTGTTCGCTTTCGCCCTCGCCCGCAGAGTTCCACCCTTCCTGCTCTCGATCGAAGACCCGAACGTCGGCGCGGACGGCAAGCCCATTGGGTGCACGAACTGCGGCGGTCTCGGTCACACGATCCGCAATTGCCCGAAGCTCGAGGAAAACCAGCGGCGGACGATGGCTGGAATTGGACGGGGCGGAGACAGCGGAGGAGGCGGGTGGTAGGCTTGCTGTGCGTCATTGCATCGGGTGCAATACGCAGCATGTCGGCTTCTGCGAGTGTTGTACGGCGTTGAGGAGACGTGAGGAGGAGGAGGACTGGGCTCTTTCGCCTGAACTGCTTCCGCTCTTTCCTCCGTAATGCTTGAATCTGCGCTAGATCCTCTCATTCGTACACACAGTGTCCTCTCCCCCTACTCGCGACGCATCTTGCGGCTGCGGCGACGTTGCTCACCCTCATCAGCTTCAGCAACTCGAGACGAAGGCAGCTCGACTAACAAGGCGATCGGGGTCTCGCGCGCGCAGACGGTCTGGAGACCGCATCTTACGCACGCAATGTAGTGGACGGCCCAACCCGAACGTCCGCCATCGACCCCTCTCCTCCATCCTCGCTTCGATGGCCTCGTCGCTCGCTCGCTGCCCGCTCGCAAACGGTGCAGCCGAGCAGCTTCCGCTGAGGTACAATGCACAGGTCTGCTTGCGCGGTCGTAGTGGGGCAGGGAGCATACGAGTGTTGAGGATGGGAGGGCTGACTTCCGGACTTCTTCGCAAACTACTGCGATTCCTGACTGTCGCACGACGCATCAGGCGGCTTTGACGACGCAGCTTTCGACCGCCTGACGTGACTGCTCCTGGGACCTGTGAGACCCGCCACGCGCAACGTCCTGCTTCTCTCGCCGGGGACTGTCGGTGCGGATACTCCGGCTCAAAGCTCCTCTCTGCTTCGTCGGGAGTTTCTCTGCCTGTCGTCGGGAGTTTCTCACCAAGCCAAGCGCGAACGCTTTCTTCTTCTCCCGTCTTTCCTCCCATTTCACCCCTCAACCCGCCGCTGCTGCCTGTCTCCGCTGAACATGTCGAGCTCGCATAGGCTGCGTGACTACAAAGAGCCGCCGCGAGTACATCTCGACCAGACCGACGTCGATCCGATGGGCACCGGTCTCAAACAGGTGTGCAACCCCGCGCGACAACTGCTTGAACATCTCCATGAGGGAGCAAAGCGCCGACAAGAGCAGGAGCTGGCGGACCACTACGGCGGACGACGATCGCTCTTGACGGACTGGCGAAAGGCAATGAGGGACAGGTGGACGCGTTACGTGCCGCGCAGCGTGCACGCCGCGGATGTCCTCGTGGAGAATCTGCAGGTGGTGGCCAACAGGATCTGGGACACCCCCGTCGAGGATGCGCTCGAACTGGTGCGTTGCATGAACTGCAGATCTGCGTAAACATCAAGCTGACCTCAGCCTGCTATGCAGCCGACTCAGCGGGAACTCTGCGAGGTCTTCCTGGCTGTGAGTGCTCCTCTTTGAAGAGAGTGTCGCATTCTTGACGTTTTGGGCTTCTTTGACCAGCCTCATACCGATTACTTGAGCCCGGCTTGTAAGCTCGCGCACTTCGGACCGGCACCGCGACTTCTCGAGGAAGACTGGAAGCGGACGGACCGCGTCCAGCATTTCTACGCCCACTTTCGCGTTAGCGCAACCCTCTGCTTCGACTTTGCGGCGCGTGTCGCACAGGACGCTCGCGCTCTTGGCATGCTTTCCGCCTGTCTCGCTCGGATGGGAGAGTTCGCCAAATGGAGGGACTCGGCAATTCGCTGGAGCAGGACGCCGAATGCTGCCCTGGCTCAGGACACCGTCATGCACAACCTACAGCGTCTGTCGAACAAGCTCTGGAGTACGCCTTTCGACGAGGAGATCGACTTCGTGAGTTCTCGAACGCTCTCTCATGGAGAGTACGCTGATGTCGCCCGAAAATGTAGCCTACTCAGGGCGAAATTGTCAAGGAGAATCCGCTTGTGCGTAGGAGTGCTCTTACAGTGCTTGCAAGCCCCATTGACCGATGAGGAGATCTCCCACAGGTCGTCAGAAGCGGCCGCGACGTGCGTGATACTTTGCTGGCCGTTGCACGCAGCGTTCGTGAAGCTGTGGCTCGAATGGCTGACCCTGACCTCCCACCAGCCGAGCTTTACGCCGCCGTACAACCTCGTACCCCTTTCCCGCAACAGCTCCCGCAACCCCTTCCGTCCCGAATCTCGCCACGAAGCCCACACACCCCTTGCTGAGCCGTCAGAACCGCGTCATGCTCGCACGCACTCGCGCTCGCGTGAGCCGCACCCTGACTACGCCAGCGACGCGAGCGACGCGAGCGACAACCCGCTCCATGTCGGTCCGGAGAACTGCGAACCGGACGAGCTCTTCAATTTCATCAACACCTCCACCATACCTCAGCATTTCTATCACCATTACCCCGGAACAACGCAGCCGCCGGTCGTCCTCCGTTCGCAGCGCAACCTCGGGAACGGCGGAGATCGGAGGAGGTGAGGAGATAGTTGTGGCCTAGACGGACTTGTACGACTTTCTCAGCTGTATTCGAAGATTTCTCTGGTCTGCGCAGTCGTAGGGAGCCCGTTGTGAGCCTTTGCCGACTTCGACGAGGCGGCGAGGAGGGGAAGTCCACTCTTTCGCCTCGACTGCTTCGCCTCTTCGCCCAGACTGGGCTGGCTGTGTACCGCTGGACTCGCTCAACGCTCTTAGCGCCTGCTCGGCCGACTCGCAAAGCCTCCTGCGCCACTGCCGCTGCCGTACATCCTCATCAGCTGGAGCGCTTTTGAGCGGAGGCAGCTCCGCCGACACCCTCAGTCCAGACCTGCGCGTGGCACAGAGCGTCCTAGCCAGTCGCCTCTATTCGCCAAACCGGCTTTCACCCGCCGCGACTCGCCTGGTCCCCGGTTTTCTCTCTCTCGGATGGCCCGCACCCCCTTCCGCTCCCGCTCCGGTCTCTCCGGCCCTCAACCTACCCACACATCACTCGGCAAAGCACCCGGCTCGAAGTGGGGTACAAAGCGGGCCAAGGCTGGGCAAAGGGTGAGGAGGAAGGGGGTCTTTCCGAGTAGCGACGAGGAGGGAGGTACGGGGAAGGCGAAGGGATTCGGGAGGAAGCTCGTGAGTAGGTGCGTTGGGCCACAAGCATGCGTATGAGATGCGCAGGAGCTGATCACTGGCCTTGTCGATCACGCAGCGACGACGAGGACGCTGAAGCAGCCGGCAGCAAAGGGTGCGCAACGCTTCCCTCGCCCTCATTCTCGTTACACGCGCATCGACTAACGTCGTGTCACGCTCACAGCCAGCGCGCCTCCTCCTCCCGCGCCTCCGAGACCCGCGCCTTCGCCGCCCTCGCGCGCACCACGTCCGCCCGCCGCCGCTCTCCTCGCCCCAATCCCGCCGGCGGGGAAGACGAGGGAGATGAGGGAGACGGGATCGACTGGTCGCTCGGTGACAAGCGGCTTGGGCGAAAGAGGCGGGAAGTCGGGTCTTCAGATCCGGATGCATCCCTGAGCGAAGACGAAGACTCGGACCTCGACGTCAAGGTCATTCCGCATCAACCGCCTCAACCGCCGCCACGCACTGACTCGCCCGACGCCGCTGCTCTCCGCCGCCTCCGGGCCGACGCAGCCTTGAAGCGCCTCGAGAAAAGTAAAGTGATCGAGGTGCTGGACTCGACGGAGGAGGAGGAGGTGAAACAGCAGGAGCTTGAGCGGCTTGCGGCGAGACCGGATTCGTTGAGGCCGAAGAGGGAGAAGGGGAAGAGCGTGTCATCTAAGGGGAAGAAGGGCGGGATGAAGGGGATGAAGAAGGGGAAGGGGAGGCGATTGATGGACTCGGATGGGGAGGGCGAGGACGTGGATCAGTTCAGGCAGAGGATGAAGCGCGAGGCGGAGGCAAAGAAGAGGCGGGAGAAGGCCAAGGAGGTCGAAGAGAATGGCAGGCTGTTCCGCGAGGGTTCGGTGGAGGCGGAGGAACTCAAGCCGCTCGACTTCGCCGCTGCAGCAGGCGAGAACGACAGCGAGGCCGACCTCCAACCTCTCGACCGTCCCGCTCGCGCGACCGCTTCCTCTGCTTCCACCTCGCCTCCTCGCCGCACTCGCCGCCGTCGCACCTCGCCTCCTCCATCATCCAGCTCCGACAGCGACGATGCAGACAATCAGCACTACGACGCCCGCGCCCTCCGCCGCGCTCGCACGTCGGGCAAGGCGGCTTCCGAGTTCATCAACGACTCGGATGATGAGAGGGACGCTGCTGTGAGGGGTGGAGGGCAGTGGATCGAGACGGGCGGGAGTGGAGGGAGGGTCAGGATCGGTGCGGCTGGTGGAGGAGCGGGTGGAGCAGCGAAGATGGGGAAGAAGCCTGCCGAGAGGAAGAAGAAGGTCGTCAAGCCGGCTCGCGAGGACAGCAGCGACGACGACAGCGACAACGCTCCCGGCCCCTCATCCGACTACGCCCACCTCAACCTCCCGCGCTTCATCGACCCCCGCGCCGACCTCGCCCGTCGCAAGAAGCGCGAACTGTCCTCCCCTCCAACTTCGGCGTTCGAGTCGTCCGACGGTGAGGGGCCGCGCGTCGTCAGTGGGAGGGAGCAAGACGAGCTGGACAAGTTCGAAAGGCTCGATAGGCGGATGAAGAGGAAGAAGGCCAAGTACCGCGAGGAGAGGCGGCCGGGGTACTCGAATCCGAGGAGGAACTGACGGGGAGGAGTCGCTTCGGTCTGTTGCATGGTCCTCTTAGGTCGCACTCGCATTTGCTCATCTCGAGATACCCGCACACGACGTTACCCGTCTCACTTCTTGTAGCCATACCCTTTCCCGCTGGCTTCTCCTCGACTCGCAACGACGTTCCGGTGTCCGATCTTTGTGGTCCTCGTGTCGTGATGCACGTACAGAACCGCTGCTGGACAGACTCGACGTCAAATCGTCGTTGTTGTCCATGCCGAGAGGACCTTCGCAATGTTCGTTCGAGGTGTTCGCCGAGGACAAGGTCGTCGCTTGCGGCTCCTCTCGCTCGCTCGCTTGCCGGTTGCTTGCCGGCTTGCAGCGCTTACTGCGGACAAGTTTCGCTGCTGCAACCGTCTGACACGCTTCGGCAACACACGCTGGATGTATGCACTTCGAAAGTGACGTCGCTGAGGTGGATCGACTCGCCCGGCTTTCCTCCTCGCTCTCCTTCTCCTTCCCTTCACTCAGACTATACTTCAAACACTATGCAAGCTCCCGCTACCCGCTTCGCAGCTGCTGCTGCACGCCCCGCCGCTCGCCGCGCTCTTCCTCGCCCGCAGGCGTACCGGAGGACTTACGCGACCGCACAGGTGCGCAACCCGTCATTGAGCTCGTCCACCAGTCAACTCGAGGGCTGACACTTTTGCGCGACACAGGAGACGGCGACCGCTGGCACTGCCGGCTCGCACTTTGGCTCTGCCCTTCTCGGAGGTGGTGTCGTCCTCGGTGGCCTGTACGTAGTCGCTCCCCACTTGAACCGTTTCCCTCGAGCTGACAAAACGTTCCCTTCGCAGCTACGCATGGTACAGCATGAGCGGCGCCAAGACGGCAGTCGACACTGCGCGCTCCGTCTCGCAGACCGCACAAACGGCCAAGGACAAGATCAAGGACGTCGCGCCCAACAACGCCAAGGAGGCCCTGAACCTCGCCAAATCGGTCGCCAAGTCGTACGCGGCTGCGATCCCCGGCGGAGCGGTCCTCATCGACCAGGGCTTTGACCAGCTCGAGTCGTTCGTCGACACCCATGGCGAGAAGGCCGTTCAGATCGTCAAGGACACGTACGCCGACATCGAAAAGGCTGCGAAGGGCGGAAAGGACTCGGGCGACCAGATCATGCGCGCGCTGCAGGAGGCTGGAAACAAGATCCAGGACCTTGTTGGAGAGGAGGCGTCGAAGGGATGGAAGGCCCTCGGCGACAAGTACCCTGAGCTGCAGAAGAGCCTCGGTACGCAGGGCGACGAGCTCAAGAAGCTCACCGACAAGCAGTGCGTCCCGCGCGCCTTTCCTCTCGACCCGCACTGATGCGAGGTACGTCGTGCAGCGGCCCCGAGGCTCAGCGCATCGCGACCGACTTCTACGCCCAAGCGACCAAGATCGTCTCGAAGGGTGGCCTCAACGCCGAGACCTACGATGCTGTCAAGAAGCTCCTCGCGGAGAAGAAGGACGAGTTGGCGCAGTTCTCGCAGAAGGCTGGACGCGACGCCTGGAACGCGTCGGCCAAGGCCGCAGGACCTGTGTTGGACAAGATGCCCGATGTCAAGGAGGCGCTGGACAAGAACTTGAGCAAGGTTGAGGGATACGTGGGTGAGGACCGAGTAAAGGTGCGTTTGCTCGCCTTCCCTTTCGCCTGCACCGGTCTAACGGTTTTGCACACCCGCAGATCGTCAAGGAGCTCTACTCTGAACTTGAGAAGATCGGCAAGTCGGACAAGTCGGTCGAGGAGAAGACCAAGGCGGCGAAGCAGCTCGTGCAGGACAAGCTCGGCGACTCGAGCCAGTTCAAGGCTCTCGGGCTCGGGATGGACAAGATTGAGGACTTGGCGAGTCAGGGAAGCAAGTGGCTCGACTCGCAGGTGCCTGGGTTGAGTGGCTTGACCAAGGTGCGTTTAAGCGCTCTCTGCTCGCACGCTTCTCTGCCGGCAGCGCGGTAGCTAACTTGGTAGGGATGGTTCGTGCTACACAGGTCTTCCAGGAGACGGACCTCAAGGCGCTCAAGGACCTCGCGTCGAAGCGAGGCGACGACGCCGAGAAGATCCTCAACGAGACCTACGAGCGTGCGTCCTCCCTCTCTTCCTCTCATTAACCCTCACTGACGCCTCGGGATCCGCAGAGATCAAGGACATCCTCCAGAAGCAGGCTGACAAGGCGAAGAAGCTTGGTGAGGAGACCAAGGAGGATGCGAAGAAGAAGCAGGCTAAGTAGAGTGGTGGCTTATGAACCACAAAGGACATTGATCGCGAAGGATGTTGGTAATCCCGCAATTGTAGCATACATACCCAGTCGACAATCGGGGCGCGAGGCGGAGGAAGAGGAAGAGCATACGAGGGCGCTTTGCTTTCTGCTGGGCTCTGCGTTTACAGGATTACCGTCCCTCCAGCGTCAACTACATGTAAAGCGCTCGCCTCCTAACGCTTACGAGCCAAGAAAGCTGGCTGCAGGTCGGATCCTTCGCCTCGAGGGGGGCATCGTCCCTCTAGCGTTCCGTTTTGCCACTCACTCGGCTCACTTCGCTCTGCTACGGCTTCAGATCGACGCATATTGAGTCTGTCTTCAGTCTCGACGATTGCTCGTGCTCCACGACGCCTGCCGCCGCGACAAACGCGCTTCATCGGCTCACGGAGGTTCGGGACGAGCAACTGAGCGGGGAGAACCACCTGGGCCGCAGGCGATCATTCTAGGTGAGTGCAAGACTTCTGTTCCATCGCTCGACCTTTTTCCAGCCTCCGCCCGACGAGACGAACGGGACGAGACGAACGATGAGAACATGATGGACTCGAGCGGGGGGACGGCGATGTGGGCTGGAGCGGGCTCGCAGGTCTGGCACACGCTTGCTAGAGTAGTACTGATCCGATCGATTGGCGCAGAACCGCCCTCGATGATCCCCTCGTCCCATGCCCACCCGCTCTCCCCACCTATCGAAACCGCTTCATCCTCCTCGCCCTTCTTCGCTTCTTCGCCCTCGCAAAAATCCGATCTCTTCGACCCACCGACATCGCAAACGGATGCGCTATTCCCCGCCTCGCCGAACGCGGAGGAGGATGTCGGCCGAAGAGGGTCGGTAGCGACGTTGATGGCGCGCAGCTCGAGCGCGCAAGGGATTGGATTGGGACTGCGTGACTCTTCTGTCTCGCGAAGGTCGAAGAAGTCGGCAACCCGGAGCAGAGCGTCTTCTCCGCCTCCTCGACCCGAAACCACCGCTTCTTCGCCTAACCCCGACAAAGTGCCTCGACATCTCGCCTTTCCTTCCGCGCCGCATCGCCTATCATCCTCAGCTTTCAACGCTCTCCCTCTCTCACACCTCGTCGTGCTCATCCAGGCTCTCTCGCAGCGTCTGGACGAGGCACAGACTGTCTTGCGGGAAGAACGGGAGGAACTGAAGGCGCTGGAGAAGCTCGCGAGGGACAAGGGCGCTGGAGACGGGGAAGTTGAGAGGGTGAAGGTGCGCGCGCGGACGGAGGCGAAGGAAGCGGCGGCAATCGCGGAGGGTAAGGGAGAAGGAGAGTGGAGAATTGAGTTGCCGCACGGAGAGGAAGACGAGGAGCCTATGCACGAAGATGCCCCGCTCAAAACGGAGGTGTGTCCGCATCCAGCTTGCGTGCGGGATTTGATCGTTGATACCCGTACTCTCAGGTCGACCTCGACCTCGAAGACTTGACGGAGGCGATCTCTTCCAACGCCTTCGACCTCGGCCTCACACCCGCTGCAGCCGACGCAGCGCCGTCTGATGATGTACCGACTCGATCTCGAGCGTCGTCCATGCCTCCGCCTTTCTCCCCGCCCGAAGCAGCAGACAAGTCAGACACGGCGTCAATCGCCTCGACGCCCATTCCCTCCACACCTTCCGACGCGTCTGCGACACCGCACACCGCCGCAACCCTCAAGCCGGTCAGACAACGGCATGCCTCCCTTTCAGCTCGTTTCGTCGGCTACATCGCCGGAGGAAGCGGCAGCAACGGGTCGACCTCATCTGCACCAGCTCCCAACGCTACGATAACACCGGCATCCCCCTCGTCCGCCACCTTTGACCCTACATCCTCCGCTCATTCGCCGGCGAAGAAGCGCTCAGGACGATCAGGTAGCATTCGGAGCGTGAGCAGTACAGCCTCGAACGAGCGGAAGGGCTATGGCGACTGGCTAGGATGGCGAGGCTGGGGAAAGAGTGGCGGAGCTGCGGAGAGCATTAAGGAGAGTCAGAGCGATGCGGAAGAGGAGGGTGCGGAGGCAGAGGCGCGAGACGGCCCTGCAGGAGGACAGACTTCGGACGACGCGTCTATGGCCTCTGAGCCACGGCAGGAGGACGTTGGCGGTGCCGACCACCCGCCAGGAGCCGGCTCGTTGTCCTCGAGTCCTCGACCGTCGCTGGGCGATCGCGCAACTTTGGCGTCGGTGACCACCGACTCGGTCCCCTCCTCTCCGCCAACATCGAGTCACTCGACCGCCCTCAGTCCCGGCCGACGCAGCTCAAGGTCCTCAACTGCGCCAAACTCGCCAACTTCGACGCGGAAACGCAGCTTGGCGCCTCCTCCCTCGCTACAACCGGCATCGCAGCAAGCTACAGCAGCCGCGGTTCTCTCGACGCCCATGACTACGTCGACAATCTCTGCGCCCTCGCTCGCATCGCCAAGCCGTGCCGCCGGATCGTCGCCGTCCTCGCCTGTCAGGTCGCCATCCCCACAAAGTCTCGCGCTTCCCGATACGCATATGCTAGTCCGGTCAGGCGAAGACGAAGGCGAAGCGACTATCAAGGCGCGCACTGGTGGTCAAGGCCAAACGAGCGGTCTCTCCTTCGTTCCAGGCGTGCCGCTTTACTCCGCACCGCCAGGGTCAGCCGCCAAGACAGCGACCAGCGACCACGGCTACGTCGCGGCGGCCAAAGGTTCGATCAGCCGCGCTCTGGGCCTCGGCGTAGGCGCTCCTGCCGGCATCAGCAGGACCAACAGCTCGTCGACAACTTCGACCGAACCGAATACTACTGTCTTCCCTCGCCTCCCGTCCCTATCGCTCTCACGCTACTCGCCGTTCGCTCAGCCTGCACTTTCGACACCGGCGACGCATGTCTCGCTCTCCGCCTCGACCTCCCTAGGCGCAGCCGGCTCATCGCTCTCGTCGCCTCTGATCGCCTACACCGCGACACTCGCGCCGTCCAACTCGCGAAGTGGAGCACAAACGATGGAGCTCGATACGATCTCCGGCGAGGCAGCGCCTCCTTCACTCGCGCTGCTCAAGCCGTCGTATCAGTCTGCGTCGGCTGGTTCCGGCGCGGAGGGAGACGACGGTGACGGCCCAATGATCGACCGCTACGGCTTCATCTACGACGTGCGGACGGGTATGGAGCTGCTGAAGGAGAGCAGGCGACGGAAGGAGGGCGACAAGGCTGTCAACAAGCCGAGCGAGAAGGCGAAGAAGCTGAAGAAGAAGGCCAGTAAGGGAGTCGAGGCGGATGCTGTTCCGGCTGTCGTCACCACGCCCCAAACCGAGCTCGAGGTCCATCCTCAACTTGACGCCCTTCGCGAGGCAATCGGTCTCACGCCAACGACCGAGGAGGAGAACGCCTTTTCCCCTCCGCCCTCTACACCGCAGACGGGGGCCGCTCCCACGCCTTCTTCCGACGCTGCTTCACGACCGGCAAAGCTCGTCCGCGCGCCTTCGTCTTCCGCCGGCGAGTCTCGAGCCACTTCGCCTAACGGAACTGGCCCGCAATCGATGCGAGCGCTGCTCGCACAACTTCGTACGATCACGGACGCTGTCGAGAAGACGCAGCAGGACGCATGGGACGCCTTCATCCGCAAGCGGCAAAAGAAGCTCGCCAAGCTCAAGCACCCCGAGGTGGAAGACGACGGCGAGAAGGACGCAGCTCATCGCCGCGAACGACCCAAGTCAACGGTGCTCTTGGCGGACCGAGACATGAGCAGCGAGAACGGGCTGGCGGAACAGGCTTGGACGTCGGAGAACCTCGTTGGTGTCGCTCAGATGGGCACGGAAAAGAAGGGCAAGAAGGAGGACTGGAACGCCTTCAAGCAGCTCGTCAGGAAGGGCATTCCGATCGTGTACCGTCCGAAGTGCGTCTCCCGCCTTCGATCTCTGGTGCGACCGCTGACTTTCGCTCCGCAGGATCTGGGGCGAGTGCTCGAGCGCGAACGAGGCGAGAGAGCCAGGCGTCTATCAAGAGCTGCTGGCTCAGCCGACGACAGACGCCGAGGCGCAGTGCCTCAAGCAGATCGACATGGATTGTGCGCACTGACGCTCCTCCTACGTCACCTTCTGCTGACTTGCCTCCTTCTCTAGGTCATCGCACTTTCCCAACCTGCGTCTTCTTCGCTGGCAACGGACCTGGCGTTGACAAGCTGCGCAACGTTCTCGTCGCCTACTCGCGTCGCAACCCCAAGATCGGCTGTGCGCAACGTCGATGCTCAGTCTAGCGTCTTCGATGCTAACGACTGACCGCCTGCAGACTGTCAAGGGATGAACAACCTGGCCGCGACGCTCCTCCTCACGCATCCGACAGAAGAAGACGCTTTCTGGGTGCTCGTGTGCATCATCGAGGTGAGCTGAGCCTTTCCTTCCTTGCGAACCCCCGACGCTCACCGCCATACCCTCCAGAACATCCTTCCCTCCGACTACTACACCTCGCACCTCCTGGTCTCGCGCGCGGATCAGCAGGTCCTCCGCGACCTCGTCGAGCGCATCCTGCCCAAGTTTGCGGCGCACCTCGACGAGCATGGCGTCGAGCTGTCGGCGATCACGTTCGGCTGGTTCCTCAGCCTCTTCACCGACTGTCTGCCGATCCAGACGCTCTTGTGCGTCTCCGCCTCACTCATCCACCTCCCGCCGACGCTGACCAACCCGTTGCGCGCAGACGAGTCTGGGACCTCTTCTTCATCCACGGCACCATCTTTCTCTTCCGCGTCGCCCTCGCCATCCTCAAGCTGCACGAAGCGGAACTCCTCGCGTGCGACTCGGCAGCAAGTCTGTACGCTTTGCTTGGACACCTGCCGGCCGGATTGTGGAATGCGGATCGGTTGCTCAAGGTGCGTCCCCAGCATCCCTCTACGCGGTGCAACAGCGGCTGATGGGCCTGGGTGGAGCAGGTCGCCTGCGACGATCTCGCCTCGGTCGTGAAAGACCGCGACGTCTCCCTCTTGCGGAACAAGCATGTCTTCGCGCTCGAAGAAGATCTCGGCTTGTCAGCCGCAGACGACCCGCCCGCTTCTTGACCTCCTCTCGCATTCGGCTAGACGTCGCGCGCATTATCGCCCCTTCTTGGTCTGTTGTTGTACCTCCCAATCTCGTCTTGTTCTCCGATTTGCGCATGCGTAGCATCCGGCGAGTCGCGCGTCGGCAACCGGTTCCTCCTTCTCACTCTTCTCCCCGCTCTCGAGTCTCGCGTCCGCCTTGGAAGAGAGAGAGGGGTGGTACAAACAAGCCCTAGCGTAACCATTCCACGCAAAACCCCAGTACGCTCAAGCGTTTCTTCTGCCTCCCTTTCGCTCCCCCTCCCTTCAAGCGCTCGCCTCAGCCGCCCCATTCGCCCCCGCCCCCTGCGCCTGATAATCACTCATCTCCGCATCGAGGCTCTCAGCCGTAACCTTGGGCCTCTCGGATCCGCGCGCGCCTCCGCGTCCCCCACCGCGACGGCCTCCGCGGCGACCTCCTGAGCCGGGCTGGCGCGGCTGGCGGGTTTGGACGGCGGAGCCACCGGCGGCGGCGACGGTGCTGTTCGCCTACGAGCGTCAGCGAGTGCTCGAGGAGTTGGGAGGGAAGGAAGGAAGGACGCACGCAGACTGCGCCGCGCGACTGTTCGCAGGCGCCTGAGGCGCGGCGGCGGCGATACGAGCGGTGAGGGGCTGCTTGGCTGCTGCGCGGGCGGGGTCGACGACGATCTCGACGCGCATGGCGCGCTCTGCGAAATGAGCGGGGTCAGTGAGAGCGGCGGGAAGGGAAGAGGGAAGGGGACGGACCTGGGTGGTGGAAGGAGAGGAAGGAGAAAGACCAGTGACCGGACGACGACAAAGAAGGACCAAGGCGACCATGGCGGACGAGGCGAAACGAGGCAAACCGAGGCGGAAGGCGGACGAGATGGACGAGGCCGATGGCGGAAGTCGGTAAGATAGGCGAGACGGGTGAGGCGAGATGATAGGTAATGGCGAGATGAGGGTTCGTAGAAAAGAGAGATGCGAAGGAAAGCGAAGAGTTATGGGTTTCGTCAGGAATCGATTCTTCTGCTTCTCGCGCGGGTGTTTTCGTGTGCGGATACCGTTCCGAGACTGGACTGAGGCGACTGCGACTCGACTCGACTCGACTCGTATCGTGCGGCGAAGGGGACGGAATCGAACCGGACTCCAAACATCGTCGTCGAAATGCCGACGACCGACCGACCGACCGACGCGAAGCGACGAATCGTCTCACGACCCGCTCGTCCGACCGCTCAAAACTCAGCGAAACCCTGCACACTCATCATCCCTGGCTGCTCGCAAGAACGAGTCTTGAAGCGCCAGGGAGAGGGCTGTACGTGCGAGGGGGCGACAGAGACTGAGGGTGTACAGACTCGAACCCCGAGCGCGGAGGCAGGGGGTGCGGTATACGTCGTGTGTCGTGTACTCGTTACTCGAGCGCGGGTGAGGCGCGAATGCGAGGGTCTCTGCGAGCGGGAACGAGGGTCTGGCTCGAGGACTCGACTCGAGACGAGTGAGCGAGTGACGTTGTGCGCCTTCAGCGCTCGTCTGTGCTCCTGCGAAACGTCGATGCGCTGTTGCGACCGTGCAACCGGATGTCCGGGCAGTCGAGTCGCGCGCACGAGCCGATCCGACCTTCGAAGCGTCTTCGACGCGTCTGTACGCTCAAAGAAAAGAGGGGTTGTGAAGGTGGGAAACGAATCAAGACCCACTTCCGTCAATCAAGCGCTTGTTGTACTGCTGGTAAGCGGCCGTCGCGTGCTCGGCCTTGACAAAGTGCACGGTCGCGGTGCCCTTTGAGAGACCTTGGGCGTTGTAGGCGAGCGAGCAAGTGCGGATGGGCCCGATGGTGGTCGTGAAGAGCTCCTGTGCGCGCGGGTGAGAAGGGTAAGCGAGGGGAGGAGGAAGGAGGGGAAGGGAAAGACGGACCTTGACTTGCTGCTCGTTGACGTCGGTCGGGAGGTTCGAGACGATGATCTTGTCGCCGACGTGGACGGGTGCGGCCGCAGCAGCAGCGGCGGGAGCAGCAGCCTTAGGAGCAGCAGCGGGGGCAGCACCACCAGCACCGGCGTTGCGCGGACCACGGGGACGGCGAGGACCGCGCGACTTCTTCTTCTCGGCGATCATGTCGTCGAGGGGCTTGTCGATGTTCATGGACTGTGCGCGCGGCGAGGCGGGCGTTGTCAGATGCGGTTGGAACGTGAGAGGGGCGGGAGGGTGGACGCACCATGGTAGGCGAGTGGCGGGGTGAGCGGGGAGGTCGAGGCGAGCTGTGGGTGCATGCGAGGCGTCAGCGCTTGTTCAGACGGTCCCGAGCGCGCCTGCTCAAGCAGCGGGACCGGGTGGATCGCGGTGTTGGCGCCCTCCCTCGTCCCGCATCACGGCGGCTCCGGCGGCGTGCGCGCGCGTGCATGTACCGTAGTGGAGCCGATTGATGAGCGTACAGAGTGCTGAGCGGGTGCAGAAGAGCTGGTGCGGGCGGGTGAGCGTGAGCGGGTGGTGCGAGGCGTGAGTTGGCGCGAGGTGTCGAAGTCGAAGTCGAGAGGCGGCACTCGCAACTTGGCCCAACTGCGATGACAGTAGCACTGTAAATACTGATAAAACATGTTTCGAATTTTCAGGGGGCTCGCAGTCCAGTCTGAGCGAGTTGAGTTGTAGTCGTTGGGACTTGGCCGTTCCAGTCGCACCTTCGTCACTCGCGAGCCAACTCTCACTTCATCCAACCACACGCTGCTTCGCTGATCCTACGGCACAGTGCTAGACTACTCTGCTTAAGTCGCTTCTTACACACGCCACCCAGCCCGTCCCGCTTCTCCCGCCTTCATCGACCCTCCCCACCTCAGCCTCTCAACCCTCATTTCGCATGCCAGCATGACCCGCAAGACCCTCTCCATAGCCGGCATCGCAGCGCACACCGCACCGGCCGGACTGACAGGCTTCGTACGCTGGTTCTGGCACCACCGGCGGAACAAGAAGAACGGCGACCCGCGCAAGGAGATCTCGTTTGCGGAGGGAGTCGAGATTGTCAAGGCTTTCCTGGCGTATGCGGCAAAGCATGGGGTGGGAGAGTTGCAGCGGTTCACGGCGAGCAAGGTACCCAGGTGCGCAGAGTCGCTTCCCTCAGCGAAACGACTTGTCGGGACTGACTCTTTCGTTCGTGAGCGCAGCGCGACCTGGGTCTCGAAAGTGGCTGTCCCCGTCGCACAAGCCAACATCAACGAAGCCGCGCACCTCTTGCGGAAAGCGCTCGCGGTCGACCCGAAGACGGAGGAGTTGGTCGGCGGGCAGACGTGGTGGACGCTGAGGGGGAGGGAGTTGTCCGGCGAGTGGATTGAGGTGAGCTCGCTAGTAAGTCTGGGGGAGAAGGCCGAGACTGACGGTGCGATTCGCCCTGCAGATGAAGAAGGATAAGCTGAGACGGGGAGCTAAGCCGCCTGAGAAGGTTCTTCTGTACTTGCACGGTGCGTCCAGCTCCCCTCCCTTCCCTCTTGCTGTCCATGCACTTACTTCCGTGCTGCAGGCGGCGCGCACTTCTTCAGTTCGCGTCCGTCTTGTCCTCGACTCCCTTCTCTGCCTCGCGCGACTGACTCCCTCCTTTCGGTTAACAGTCGAGACGCACCGATACCAGATCGTGCGACATACCCGCAAGCTCGGCGCACGAGCGTTCGCTCTTTCGCAGCGTGCGTAACTTCCGCCTTTCTCCCTGCATCCTTCCCTCCTCCTCCGATTCGACCTATCCAGTCTCTTTCCCTTATCCTTCCTTCCAACCGCCCTTCCTTCCCCCCATTCGCTCTCCGGCTCGCTCGCTCTTTCCTCGTTTCGCTCACGTCCCCTCTTTGCCATCCTGACCCCTCTTCTCCCGCCCGCAGGTCTCGCCCCCCAATACCCCTTCCCCTGCGCCCTGCACGACGCCCTCGCAGCGTACCTATTCCTCATCTGCCCTCCAACAGACGGCTCAGTCGCGCACGAACCGATCCCGCCAGAGAATATTGTCGTCAGTGGAGATTCGGCGGGTGGGGGGTTGGCGCTGTCGGTGAGTCGCTCGCTTGTGTTCGCCCCGTGCTGTGAACATCTTCACGTAGGAGAGTGACTACTGAATAGGCGCGCGAATGCGCAGCTCCTCGTCCTCTTGCGCGATCTGGGTCTCCCGATGCCGGCCGGAGCGACGCTCATCTCGCCCTGGGTCGACCTCGCGCACTCGTTCCCTTCCGTCGGCGGCAGTGGTGCGTTCCCGCTTCTTACCCCTTCCTCCCGTCTCGCGCGAACGAGACTGACGATCGTAACCTCGAGCAGGCGAAGGCGACTACATTCCCCCAAACGGCTTCATCTACCGGCCCGACATCGTCTGGCCCCCTCCTCCCTCTCCCTCCCAACGTCTTTCCCAAGTCCTAGTCGGCGAAGAACACCTCGCCGCACAAGGTCTCGACATCCGCGTGGAAATCGACGAACAAGTACAGATGTACGCGCATAATAGGTTGCTGGATCATCCGCTTGTTAGTCCGGTTAATCAAGGGAGTTTGGGAGGTTTGCCGCCGCTTTATGTCGTGAGTCGCGCGATACTTTCACCCTCTCTCGCTGAGGGAAAGGGGAAGGCTGACTTGAGGGATTTGCGACGCGCGCAGTGTTGCGGAGGGAGCGAGCTCTTGCACGACGAGATCATCTACATCGCGCACAAGGGTACCTTGTCTCCCCTCCCCTCCTCCCTCCTTCCCATTCCCGCTAACCCTCCCTTGCGCAGCCGCCAATCCAACCTCCTACCCACCCGCCCAACGAATCTTCACCCAATACCCCTCCCAGCGCAAACACTACGACACGCACTATCCGCCTACGAAAGTCCAGTTACAGGTGTTTGATGGAGGGTGTCATGTCGCGACTACGTTGAGTATTACCAGTTTGGCGAAATACGTGCGTCGCGACTTTTTCTCTCGCGCTGTTACTTCGAGGGGGAGAGGGCTGATAGGATGGATGAGGGAACAGATGTTCCGCGGAGTGGCGAACGCGGGGTTGTTCTTCCTTGCTGCTGCGAAGGCCAAGAAGGAGCGACAACTTTCCGCGTCAGCCGACCAAGCAACGCCCGGCCACCGCACCGACAGCGACGCTACCTCCGCCTCGACGACTTCGGCGGTCAACCCTTCCGCGATCGTCGAGCCCGTTTTGCAGCGCGAGGACCACGCTGCTGCGAACGCGACGACCCACAAGGACGTCGAGCGAGACGATGACTCTGAAGGTTCCGACTCGGACGCGAACAGCGAGTCGTCCGCCTCGAGCGTCTCAGCCGACGAGGAAGGTCCGCATGCGGAGAATGTCCCTCCCGAGCGAGTGACCGCGACGGGCCACCTCCCGTCTTTCTCCACTACCTCTTCCGCCGGCCGCAAAGCCGCCCACATGATCCGCCAGCGCGTCAATCTTCACGGCTTCATCCGCCCTCTCGAAGCACCTCACGAGCTCGATGGGTGCACGATGAATCCCGAACATATCGGGTTGTTGCACGCCGGACCGGTGCGGAAGTGGTTGGCGCAAAGGAGGGAGTGGGACGACTTGTTCGAGAAGGACTTGAAGTATTGGAGGGAGGTGAAGAGTCGGGATCGGGAGACGGCGGAGAGGGAGGGGTTCCTCCTTGGCCAATTTGTCGGGGAGAACCCGCCCGCGGGCAGTATTGCGGGTTGGCACGATCGGGAGATGGCGAAGAAGGCGGCGAGCAGTGTTGACGAGGCCGGGAAGAAGACGAGCGCGACGCTCGCGTTGTCAGCTTGGACTAACATCTCCAACAAGCCGGATGAGGATGTTGCGGGCGACAAGAAGGTGGAGGAGGTCAGGGCGCAGGTTGGGAGGGAGCAGGCTGAGGAGGCGGAACAGAACCCGGCGGCTTAGGAGGAGAAGAACGTCTGTAGATAGTTGATACCCTTTTCCGTCGTCAGTACCGCTACTTCTAGACTGTAATCAGTTGTACAGCGCTCTCGCTATAGGTACTCCCGCATCTGGATTTTCGCAAGTCCTGCCCCACCTCGAGCGAGCGAGTTGGCCTCTTCCACTTCGTCGCACCTCGCTTGGTCGCTCGCTGGCTTGCTTGTACGGCTCAGAACTAGGATGGAAGTCGACGCACCCGCTGCGCAGCCGCGCCCGACCCGCCGCATCGTCGTCCCAGACTCATCGCCTTACGACCTCGACTCGCTCGCCTCGTCGTGGGACGGTGCGTTGGCGGTCTGACAGCCTCACAGAGCGTTCAATGAGCTGACACGAGTTTTGTACGCGTGCAGTGACCGGCCGCAACAAGATTAACCGCCTGCTCTACGTCGCCAACTCGTCCCCCTCCCTCGCCGGACCCGCTCTCACGCTCGCTCTCGCCGCGATCAAAACCCTCACTCTCGACACACGTCTCTACGAAGAGACCTACTACCTCTACCGTCAGTTCTTCAACAGCGTCGCAGAGGGAAAGGAGCAGGATCCGCAGGCGCTTGCTTGGTTTGAGCAGGTCAAGGACAGGCAGGAGCAGTTTGATCGCGAGTGGAGCGACAAGACGAAGAGGGATGCGCAGAGCGGGCTCGAGAGGTTGGAGGTCGAGTTGAAGGGCTACATGACCAACCTCATCAAGGAGTCGATCAGGGTGCGTGCGGACTCTTCCTCGGCCGACCCCGTAACTGTTATTGGACGGACTGGCTGATGCGCGAAGGTCTCTACGTCGCACAGATGGGCCACCGCGACCTCGCTCGCTTCCAGTACCGCATGGGTGACTTGCAAGGCGCCGTCCGCTCGTACACCAAGAGTCGCGAGTACTGCACGACGAGTCAGCATGTCCTCGAGATGTGTCTCGGCGTCGTTGAGGTGCGAGGCATCGCTTGAGCTTGGTGACCCCGAGACGGACCTCATCATCGCGCCCACAGGTCGCCCTCGACATGTCGAACTACGCCTTCATCCGCAACTACGTCGTCAAGGCCGAGTCTGCCGTCGAAGCCGCCCAAGCATCTGCAGCGAGCGGGAAGAACAAGGCTGCGCCGGTCAACTTGCCTGGCATGGTTGCGCCTGGGCTCGACCCCGCCGAGGCAGCCAAAGAGCGCGACCGCAAGATCGTGCAGGAGAGGTTGACGGTCGCTGGAGCGGTGGCGTACATGGGGATGGGGTCGTACGAGAAGGCGGCGTATGCTTTCACGGACGTTGGTGCGGAGGCGCTCATTCATGGTCCGGGTCACGTACGTTCTGCTCTTTCCCCTCAGCAACGATCCAGCTAACCTGGCGCTTTCTGCAGTTCATTCCCGCTGCCGACGTCGCCCTCTACGCCGTCATCACCGGTCTCGCCTGCTTCTCCCGCTCTGCCCTTCGCTCCCGCGTTCTCGAGAACGCCAACCTCCGCCCTTTCCTCGACCTCGAGCCGTACCTCCGCGACATCGTCCGCGCGTTCCACGACAGCCAATTCAAAACTGGTCTCGAGCTGCTCGCCAAGTACGAGGTGCGTGAAGCGGCGCAGCGATTGCGCGAGAGAAGGCCGACTGACTTTCACGACTTCCGTAGGCCCGCCTCCTCCTCGACATTCACCTCGCTCCTCACGTCGACGCGCTCGTCCACTCAATCCGCCAGCGCGCCATCCAAGCCTACTTCGCCCCCTTCGCCTCCGTCTCGCTCTCTCGCATGGCCGCCGCCTTCGGCTGGCGTGAGGACTATATGCAGGCAGCGGTCGTCGAGCTCATCGGCAACGGGATGCTCAAGGCGAGGATTGACTCGGCTAAGGGCGTGTTGGTGGCGAGGAGGCAGGACCCGAGGGTGGAGGCGTTCAAGAATGCGCTCGAGGAGGGCGAGAAGATGCAGAAGCGCGCGGTTGCGAGTCACCTCAGGTGCGTACAGCCTTGCGCTAATGGGCTCTCGCAAGCTAATGTCCCAGCAACGACCGCAGGATGAAGCTTATGCAGAACGACCTTGTCGTCAAGCCGGCGAGGCGTTCCGGCGGCGGTCGCGATCAGCAACAGCAGTACGACGACCGTTCGACCACCCAGGTCGACTAGCTGCCAGCCGTCCGTCACTGCGCGCTCTCCGCCCTCGTCCTTGTCGCATAGTCTCGCTTCGCATCCGTCTCCGCTTGTAGTCGCCTTCTCCGCCTTCCGCCGTCGTTCAGCACGTACCCTCGCAATCTCCATACCCTTCCATGCCGCTCACAAGCCGCGGCTGGTGCGTCTCGCATCGGTTGACGACCCTCCCAAGCCCGCAGCGTTCGGCTCTCGACCAAAATGGCGCCATCCTCGTCGTCCTGCGCACCATCCTTGATTCCCTTGAGATCGGTCTTGCGCCGAGCAGCTGCGTCGGAATGGTGCTATCTCGTGCGATGCGAGCGTGCGGATCGATCGAGACGAGCCAGCGCAACTCTGGGGGTCGCGTTTCTTCTCCTTCTCTTCCGCTTCTCTGCCTCTCTCTCGTCGACTGGCAGTCAATCGCTGCTTCGCTTGACTTCATCGCGGCTCAAGCAGCTCTTGCCACTCCTCGGATATGGCTTCGGCGAAGGACTTCCAGGATGTGTCGAGCGTCGAGAAGGGGACGCCGGACTTGACCAACAGCGGCCAGGTTTCGGTTTCCTCGACCATCTCCTACACGGCAGAGGAAGAACGACGGGTACTGCGCAAGGGTGAGCGACCCGGTCGATCGAGCCTGTGGAGGTCCCTGTGAGGCTGACCTTCCTCGTCGTCCACAGTCGACCTTGCTCTCCTCCCCGGCCTCACTTTCCTCTACTTACTCAGCTTTCTCGACCGTTCCAACGTCGGCAATGCCAAGCTCCTCGGCCTCATGAAGGACATCGGACTCGGGGCGGCGTCAAAGGCGCCGGTCTACAACACTTCCCTCGCCCTCTACTTCCTCGGCTACGTTCTCTTCGAAATTCCCGCTAATATCGTCCTCAAGAAGTTTAACCCGCGCGTCTGGCTGCCGACGCTCACAGTCGCCTGGGGAATCACCGCGACCTTGCAGTGCCTCGTCAAGAACGAGGCAGGTACGTCTTGCGATCCTTTCTCGCTCTCTCGTCAACTCACAACTGACCGAAGTCAACGGCGTTAGGCTTCTTGGCTGCTCGGTTCTTCATGGGCGTCAGTGAGGCAGTGAGTTTCCGCTTTGTCCTTGCTTCCTTCGCTTGAGCGGTATCTGACCTTCTCGTGCTTGCAGGGCCTCTTCCCCGGCATCGTCTTCGTCTTCTCGATGTACTACAAGCGCAACGAGCGACACTGGCGTGTCGCCGTCTTCTTCGGCGGCGCCGCTCTCGCCGGCGCGTTCGGCGGCGTCCTCGCCTGGGCGCTCGGGCACATCAAGGGCGGAGGACTGAAGCCGTGGGGATGGATCTTCGCAATCGAGGGCATCTTCACGACCCTTGTCGGCTTGACCGCCTACTTCTGGGTTCCTGGGTACCCTCGTCAGGCCAAGGTGCGTAATCTTCCGCTTCTCGAGCTCTTCGTAAGCTCAACCTCTACGTCCGCAGTTCCTCAACGAGAGAGAACACGCCATCCTCATTGCACGTCTCCAGGCCGACAGCGATTCGGCGGACGAGGAGCCTTTCTCGTGGCACGGCGTTTGTGCGTTTCTCTCGCTTACTTCGTCATCGTGCGCCGCGCTGACGGGACCATATTGCAGGGGAGGCGTTCAAGGACCCGCTCGTCCTTGGCTACGGCTTTCTCTTCCACGCCTATGCCTTCACCCTCTACTCCCTCTCCCTCTTCCTCCCGACCATCATCGCTCAACTCGGCTACGCCTCATGGAAGGCGCAGCTCATGACGGTCCCCGTCTACGCCTGCGCTTTCTTCAGCATCCTCCTCTTTGCCTGGCTCTCGCACCACTTCAACCAGCGCGGCAGCTTCATCATAATCGCCGGCGCAATCGCTATCGTCGGCTACATCGTCCTCCTCACAACGCATACGGCAGGCTCGCGTTACGCTGGCGCCTTCATTGCCGTGATCGGCATCTACAGCGCGAACGGTGAGTTCCGAGATCACGAAAGCAGCGGAAGCTCACGCTGACCTTCTCGTCTCACTAGCTCTCCTGCTCTCCTGGCCATCAGAGAACGTCTCGCCGCAGACGAAGCGAGCGGTGGCGTCAGGGATGCAGATCTTCATTGGTGATGTCGGCGCAATCGTCGGCGTCCTCGTCTACCGCCCGTCCCTCTCCACCCACTTCTACCGCACTCCGCACGGCATCTCGATCCTCTACACGGCGCTCGGAATGATCATTGCAGGCGCACTGGCATTCTCGATGTCGAGGGCGAACAAGAGCGGGAATGCGAGGAGGGCGGACAGGAAGGAGGCGAAGGGGGAGGTTGCGTTGGGAGATCGGGCAAGGGGTTATCCGTTCCAGTTGTAGATTGTTCGTCAGTACGTGCCATATATGCGGTCGAATCAGCTCTGGAACGCGTCTTGCAGGAGCAAAAGGACGCACTCGTGGGAAAGCAACAAGTACAAATGGCGGTCCTCAGCCTGCTTCACTCAGTCTTCACCCTTCACCGCTTCGAGCGCATCGTTGGCTGCATCATCTCAACCCGCTTGACTCCCTGGACGGCCTTCAGCAGTCGCTTCGCCTCCTCGACTGCTTCAATCTCCGTGACCTCGCTTGTTCCCGTCGCTATCCCTTCAACGGCGACCACATGCTCGTCCGCCATGCTGCCTGGTCCGACTGGACCGACATACTCGAGACGGGGCCCGCTGCTGATCGCGAAAGAGTCGGGCGAAGGGAGAGTGGGGAGTGTCGGAGGTATAGCGGAGGCGGTAGAGAGGGTGAAGTAGGTGTTGCGGGCGTAGTCGAGCTGCAAGGGCTTGTTCGACGTTCCGGACATCTCGTCTGGCTTGCAAACGGCTTGGATCTGGAGGTCGAGACGGGTTCGGTCGGCGAGGTGATGAGAGTCGGGAATGAGGGACGAGGACGAGGGGAGAGCCGCCGCTTTGTCCAGTGCGAAGCCAGCAGCTACAACTGAGCTCGAAAGCCGTTTGCAAGCGTCTTGCTGTTGCTTCAGAGCAAGGAAGGAGCTCAAGAGTAGTCCCGAGGTGGGGTCGCCTCCTCGACCTCGGCCACACCTGACGAACCGCTTCAGGATGCCCGCCATCAGCCCAGCAGCAATCCCAGCATTCCTCTCGCGCTTGTCAAGCCGTCTCGCGGCTTCCCCCGCCGCTCCACCACCGACAGCCTTCATCCTCCCTCTGGTCGCTGCAACAACTCTCAGCCACGGCAAGACCTGGCTGAAGCCGTGCATCGATCTTGCCTTCTCCAGTTGTCCGCCTCGACCATCTCCCATCCCCTACGAACCGCCACATCCGCTAGACGACGCATCTCTGCACCCTCGCCGGTTCGCGGTCTCGCAAATCAAAGAGGCGCTCTTCAAGTCGTCCATCCTGATTGGCGTACCGAAGGCCATCGAGACGTTGCTCGAGCTGGGAGACGTGGTAGAAGAGGAGGACATGAGCAAGGCGTTCGTCAGGTCGGAACTCTCGCTGCCAGAACAGACGGTGACGGAGAGATGGGTCAACGGGCAGGACGGCTTGCGCAGCGTCTACCAAGATCAGCTCGACGATATCTTCACCCTGATGGCGAAGCTTGGCCTCGAGGATTTGGGTGCGTTTGGCTTCCTCTGGCTCCCTTCGCTTCTCGTCTATCCTGAACATACTGACGCACGCCCTCCTCCACAGAGCACATCTCACAATGCGTCACCTACGGCACCTTCCTCACCCCTTACTCGACCCGCGCCTCATCCTCACCAACTCCCGACCCTCTCGCCCACGACCCTAAACTCCTCTCCGTCGTCACCCTCTCCGCGCTGATACCGCAAAGAACGGAGCGCGAGATCTTGTGGCACCTGCGGGGAGCAATCAGGCGCGGATGGAAGCGGGATGAGGTGGAGAAGTTGCAGGCGAGCGTTGAGGAGGTTTGCGAGGCGTGCGGTGTTGAGGATGTCGGAAGGGGAATGCCCCGGGTTGCGGACGTCGAGCGGCTGCCAGAGGAGGAGCACTCATGACAGGTTGGGCGGAGGAACGGAGCAGTAGGCATGGCAGCCTGGAGCGCAGCCTAGATGCTTCCCGACAGATTCCGCCTCGAGCAGAGAGACGTTCGCCTCTCGGAGCGCGAAGACATACAGGAAGGAGTGCGAAATGCACATAGGCGCGAGGCAGTCTAAGAGCTACAAGCGCCGTTTTCCTCCGTTACCTCTCCAGCTCCACCGCAAGCGCTCACTCCTGAGCTACCTCCTCCTCCTCCGCCTTCTTCACCTTCTTTGGCGTGCGCGCCTTCTTCGCCTTTGGCGGCTTCACCTCTCCGTCCTCCTCCGTTCCGTCCGCTGCAGCAGCCTTGGCCTTCCTCTTCCCCTTCTTCGGCGACTCGCCCTCCTCGCCATCTTTCGCCTTCTTCGGGCTCTTCTTCGCCTTGCCCTTCTTCGGCTTCTCCTCCCCGTCGAGTTCGTCCGCCTTCTTCGGGTCGACAGGCGGGCAGTACGCCTGTCCCTCCGCGTTTTTCCCCTCCGGAAGCGGCGCAACGCCATCCTCGACCGCATGTACGACCTGGTCGTGCTGGTCTCCGTCTTCCGCAGCGGGTGAAGAGGCAGTGACGCCATCCGTGCCGTCTTCGGCTGACGCCGCGGCCTTCTTCTTCTTGCTCGACTTGCGCCCGGCGGTTTGCTTCGTCTCTTCCTCGGCGGGAGGTCGGAGGTCCTCTACAATTCTGTGGTATCAGCATACAAGCTTGACCTTCGAAGGAGGAGGCGGTCGCGCACCGTGGATGACGGGCTGAAGACCGTAGATCCGGTAGAGGTGGAAGACGGCCTGCTCTTTATCCTTCGCCTCGATCATCAAGTCTGCGACATCGCTCGTCAGTACCCCTGTCAGGCTATGCGGGTACGGGCGAGGCAAAGGGCGCACCGATGTCGTCGGGCAGGTGCTCAGGCAGACGCTGGCAGCGGTCAGCATGAGCTCGTCGTTCCTGCTCGACCATGCCGTCAGCATTCGCAGCTCCACAACTAGAGAGACCTTGCACGCACCATGATAGTCTCAGCGCCCTTCCTCGGCTCGGAAAGATGGAATTTGGGCTTGATTCCCTTTCGGTGCCAGGTTGCGAGGATGCGCGGGATGAGCTTCTCGGGCGGGTCGGCGGAGGGGTAGATGCTGTCGTGGTGGAAGTCTGCGCGACGCACTGGCGTCAGTAGAGATGGGGGAAAAGGAAGAGCGGCGCGACGGACCGAAGACGAGGGGGATGTTCAGCTCTTCGCAGAGCGGGAGCAAGTCGTCCACGTTGTAGCAGATCTCGTCGTTCTCGAGTACGAGCCTGAGAGCGGGAGGAGCAGAGTCAGTCAGAGCTGCAGAGACGTCAAAAGGAAGCAAGCGCACCGGTTCTTGACGCCCTGCGAAAGCTCCTTGTAGTTCTTCCGGAAGCGCTGGAGCGCCGCCGCCTTGTCACCGAAGACGCCGCCACCCTGTCGGAACGAACCAGCGCACCCAGTCAGTCGCAGGGCACGCAGGGCAGGGCGAAGAAACCGAAAGAGCGAGGAGACGCACGTGAATGATCATGACGCTATCCTTGCCCATCCCCATGCGGTCAAAGACTTCGTTGTGGTATTCGAGATCTCGGTAGGTGTTCTCGATCACGATCTGACGGGGACTGCCAACTGGAGGAGAAGAGAAGAGAGTCAGGCCCTTTCCGTCGTATTTTCGAGCAGCGATCGTCAGAGGGCAACGTACGTTGCGAGAACTGTCCAGGATGCGAGGTCAAGCGAACGCCGAGACGCCGTGCCGTCTCTCCTGCCTTCGTCAACTCCTCCTGAGCATACTCGAGCGAGTACTGGTAGTCGGGATGTGCGGCGAAGGGGAAGAGCTCGGAAGACACTGCAGGACACAATTGTCATCAGCCTTGTGAAGACGAAGTGCTTAAGCGGAGCGTGTTGCTCGTCGCAGGAGGACGAGGCAAGACGCACCGCGGAGGAAGTAGATATGGTGTGCCGCGTTCCACTCGATGAGCTTGATGAGGTCCAGCGTATTCTGTCGACCAAGCTCCTTGAGGTACGGCATGCCCTTGTCCTCCTTCAAGATGGTGTCGATGCGGCAGGTGCGGCTGCAGAAGACGGGCGGCTTCTCCTTGCGGAGAATCGTGTTCAGGCAGGCGTATCTGTGACGTGGGATGCCGTCAGCACTCGCTATGACAGGTTGGACGACTTCAGACGCACCCAAGACGACCTCTGCTCGACGGGAAGGAAGGGTCGCAAAATCAGCACGACGGCCTCTGCGAGCGCTGAGGTGACTCATGCACGCACTTGTACGTCGTCTCCAAGCGCTCAACCTCCGGAATCACGTAAACAATGGGCTCCTTGGGCTTCCTCGTCCGCTTCTTCTTCGCGGGCTTCTCCTCGACCACCTCGTCCTCCTCTGCCTCGGCCGCCTTGCCGTTGGCGACTTCCGGCTCCTTGTAGTCGTCTTTGGGCGAGGGCGGGACGGGCGAGAGCGACGAAGAGGGAGAGCGGGAGCGATCGCGGGCAGCAGTCGAGAGAGAGGCGGCGGCGAGGGCGCGAGCGGCGACGGCGGCGGAGCGGGACGGGCGTCCTGATGCGGTGATGGCTGCTGCTGCTACTGTCGTCGTCTGTCGGATTGCGGTCGCCATCATCGCGTGCATCTTGGAAGGAGAGGAGGTGCCAGCCCGCTCAGCTTTTGCGAAGGTCAACTCGAACGTCACTCGGCCTCGATCGCGCGCTATGCCCGTGGAGATACGACTCGAATTATCGTGCAGTGCTCAAAACACGCATACAGGCCAGACAAGACGGCACGGATGAGATACAGAGTCCAATAATGACACACGAGGCGAGAGGTGAAGCGGTGAAGAAGGGGCGAGAGAACCCGGCTACGAGGTCGGCCGGTTGGGCGACTGCTGCTGCTGCTGCGGGTGCTGAGGCAGCGGCGGGACGGGCTGCGAGAGTGTCGGAACGCTGCCTGTACGCTGAGGAGGGGCTGGCGCAGGTGCAGAACCAGGGACGCTCGACGAGGAGCCAGGCGTCGCTCCGGCCGCTCCTTGCGACTCGGGCGTGCCGCCTTGGTCAGACGTCGAAGCGAATGCGTTGTACGAGTAGTTGAACCTGCGGGCTCTGGGTGAGCGGCTGGCGAGAAAAGCTCGGACGAATGGCTTCAGACGCACCAATCATCGCCGAGATTCGCGCCAAGCGGCATGCCAAAGAACGCCATCGTTGGATCGAGTGCCGACGGACCCGACTGTCCGCCCGGCGAGGTCATGTTGATGGGCATACCGGGACTGGGCTGTGCGTTCTGGCTGCACTGGATGAAGGCAAAGGGGTTCACGCCCGAGGTCGAGGCCGCTTCCGTCGGCGTGAGGAACGAGTTGAGCCTGCAAACGCGACATAAGTCAGCTCGTCCGATGAGAATCATCGCTCCGAACGAAATGAGCGCACAAGTCGGAGAAGTTGGTCGGACCGCTGCTCGACCCGGGCCGCGACCTGAACTGGCTCAAATCGATCTGCGGATTGAGGATATCCATCGTCTGCGCCATCCCTTCCGCTCCCATCGCCATCGGCGGCGCCTGCTGCGCGAAAGGCGGAAGCTGGGAGTGTTGCTGCTGCATGTTCGGGAACGTCGAGGCGTTACCGCCGAGCGAGGGCGGCATCGGGACGGCGAAGTTGCCGAGCGGCGGGGACTGCAGGGCGGCGGGAGCGGGGAAGAGAGGCTGGTTCTCCGGGATCGAGGGGGAGGTGACGCCGACTCGAGGTCCGCCAGCGCCGGACGACGGAGCAGGCGGCCTCGCGCGCGAGCCAGACGAGCTGTGCCGCCTCGTTGCAGACGGCTTCGAGCCCGACCTGCCGCCCATCGGGCGGTTGTGGAAGTTGGTCGGGCGGAGGTCGTTGAAAGCGGCGCTGCTTGGCGCAGACGTCAAAGGCTCGTCGACGTCCATCGTCGGCCTCTTCGTACCGCGAGAGGTGTCGCCGCCCTGCGAGTTGAGGCCTGCAAGCTCGGCGCCGAGCTCGGCGTCGCGGAGGTCGACGAGGCCGTGCAGGAGCTCCCATTGACGGATCGCGGATCCCCAGATGAGCTGCGCGCACCCGTAGTCAGCTTGACGAGTTAAGACAAGAAGATGGAACTGCGCGCACCTCCATCTCCTTGAGTGCGTTCATGCACTGCAGAAGGTGAATCTTGGCCGGTCCAGCAAGCGCCTCGTCGAACGAAGCGTTGTAGACCTGCTCATCGAAAGTCAGTCCTGAAGCTCGTGAGCGAAGAGCACAGCGGACATACGCAAATGATGGCGGCGCTGAAGATCGGGTAGGTGAGGAACGGCGGGCACTGGCGCAGCGTGAATGTCTTGCGCCAGGTCGTGACGATGCTGCGCGCATGATTGCTCGTCAGCAGCGCTCGACGGGACTCGTGAGGAGACTGCGCACTTCGCGATAGCATGTGCGGACGTCGTGCAGATGCTGTGCGAAGGGAAGTTGCCCGGCGACTGCGTGCTGTTCTGGCCGGGAATGCTGCGAGCGAGCGAGCGCGTCAGACAAGATCGGATTCGTGTTAGTCTAGATTGAGCGAGCGCACAAGGGGCGGTGAAGGAGGATGAGCGACGAGTAGAACTGGAGGTGGAGCGAGAGGATCTGTGTGCGAAGTCGAGGACAACGGTTAGCGTCGATGTCGAGCGAGCGTCCAGACGATTGAGACGTACGTGAGGCGGCGGGACCTTCTTGCTCGCCGGGTTGTACTGCAAGTGCGGCGGCAAGGCGAGGTACCAAGACGCGAGACTCTGGTCGAGCAAGCTGAGGAGCGTTTCGGAACTCTGACCGAGGACGCGGATACGGATCGCGTAGATGTTGATGATGATCTGCGGGAAAGAGCCGTCAGTACGGCTTCAAGCGGTGAAAAAAGGGGAGGAACAGAGGACGGACCCGATTGATGATGACGGCAAGCGCTCCAGCAGCGTTGAAGCAGCTAAGCGTGTGCGCCCTCGTCGGCGGGTACGACTTTAGAAACTTGGCGACTTCGTCTGGGACTTCCTCGGAGCCGGACCTGGGCGGCGATGTCCACTCGGTCCCGTCGACGCGGATCGGGCGCCACTGCTCGTGCTCGTCTGGCTCGTCCTCCGAGGGGAAGCCGCAGTCGTAGTCGCGCTCGTGGATTGTGCCGGGTCGACCGATGTACGAGCTGGTGTAGCGGTCTGCGAGTTGAAGTTGACGCGAGGGTGAGCGGGGCCGAGTGGGTCGAGAGAGAGTGTAACGCACCGAGAATGACGCACGCCCACCAGATCCGCTTCCTCGTCTGCTTCTCCTCGTGCGAGAAGCGCTGGATCGGGAGGAACCACTTCTCGACATCGCGGAACAAGCCGAGATCCTGCGCCATTCGAATCGCTGTTCACGTCAAGAGTCAGCACGTGCTAGGCCGGAAGCTGCAAGGGGGGTCAACGCACCCATTCCGCAGGTCATCCACGCGCTCGACATGGCGCCGACTCCGATCTCGCGGTAGCTGATGAGGAGGAGCGCTTGGACCGTGACGAGGCGCGACGAGCCGTAGTCGTAGTTGAGGATGCGGCGGGCCTACGCGAGGCGATTGCGTAAGCGGAAGAAGCGAGTGAGGAAGACGCCGACGCCTCACCTTCTCGAGGTACTCCTGCCCAGCAGTCCAGTACTTCCCATCCTTCCTCGCCTCCTCAAGATCGCAATACCTCGCCGCGAGCGCAAACATGCTCAACAGCAACACCATCGGCACTTTACCCGTCCCCGCCGCCGTGCTCGGCTCCGTCGAGTCCGGGTGGGCGAGCGAGTGACGGTACTGCCTCATGAACGAGACCTTGTACAGGAGCGGGAAGTGCGGGTGGACGTAGGTCCAGTACGCGGCGAGGAGGTGCGTCTGAGTTTGCATGTCGGGAAGGGGGTCTTCGGTGTCGGTGAGTTGGAGGATCTCGCGCTCGGTCTTGAGGACGCGGCCGTCGGCGGGCGGCCAGACACCGGCGCTCGGGAATTGCCAGTAGAAGTCGCGGAAGCGCTGGCTCTTTGAGATGAGGTAGAGGCCGGAGGAGCTGCGAGCACGAGGAAGCGCAAGTCAGCTTCGCTCGTCGTGCGAGCAGATGGCTCGAAAGACAACGCACCGTCCGTGATACCTGACCTCTGCATTCTCGTTCAGACTCAACTGCCCAATCACGTCCGCCAACTCCGTCAACGGTTCCGCCGGACTCTGATGGACGTTGCCCTCTCCCTGCGCTCCCGCCCTCCCGCCCAGTTCCTTCCCCTGCCCGCTCGGTCCCGCACCTCCCTGCGCCCCCGTCACATTCGAGATCGAATACGTGCTCGTGCCCGTATGCCCGATTGAAGCGGCGGAAAGGACGTTCCCCTGCGTCATTGCCGAGCTCTGCGAGTGTTTCGGCGGCGCAGCACCGACTGGGGGGAGGGTGAATGCGTAGGCCATTTGTTTGCGCTCTGAAGGCGCGGACGAGGGGCCGGATGGATAGGGGGAGGACGGGGAACCGGCAAAGTTGGGAGGTCCTTCGATGCGCCGGCGTTGGCGAGGGGAGGTCGAGAGGTCGCCTGTTGTGGTGCCGGTCGGGAGGGAGGTCGACATCGGTGAGCCAGCAACGGGGATCGAGAGGCCCGTCCCGCCTGCGAGGGCGGAGAACCCAGGCGAGGCGCCGTCTTCCGAGGACTCGCCTCCCGGACCCCGGTACGACCCAAACGTCGCGCCGCCGCTCCCACCACCAAACGCAGTCGGGTCAAAGCCCAACGCGTTGTTGCCGCCTCCACTCGACCCAAAGAGATCCGTCCCTCCGCCCGCCGCAGCGCCGAGGTTGTTGAGATCTTCCTCGCTGAGCCAGTTGCTCATCCCCATTCCTCCCGCGCCACCACCCATCCCGAGCGTTCCAGGAGACGCCGTAAAAGCCGGTTGACCAGGCTGGAGCGGGAAGCCCGTCGAAATGAGCGGCTGGCCGTCCATGCCGCTTCCTGACGCGCCGGGTCCGCCCATCGCTGCTGCTGCTGCCGCCGCTGCAGCCTGAGAGTCGGCAAACTCGCGCTTCCACGAGCGACGCGGGGCTTTCGAGTCTGGTGCGGAGGCGGCGGCTTTGAGGTCGCGCGCGAGGATAGTGCGCGCTTCGTTGTCACCTGCGTCGTGCGCTTCGTCATTCATTGTCACTGGGTACAAGGGGAAGAGGCGGACGCACCGATCAGCTCGCCGAGCAGAGTCTGCGCACGAGGGTCGTCGCTGCCCAACAAGCCGCCGAGGAGCGCTTCCATCCTGTACAGGCGCGACTCGATCGCTTCGATGTACCTGAGGGGTCAGCGAGTCGTCAGCTATTTCGCTCGTTGAACGGGGAAAGGAGGATGCTTTGCGAACGCACCCTTTCGGCGGACCCCTGCGATGAGCAAGCGGGAAACGGCCTAAGTCAGCCCCTTCACCTCAACGCACCGATTTCCTGTATCCTCGAGCGAAGAACACGCGACGCACCTCTTCCTACTAGCACCCAAAAACGTACACTCGGCTCCGACCGTCAAACAATTCTGGCACGGCCCGACAGGCTCGTTCGTTGCTGGGTCGAGGATGCGCGTGCATTTGCATTTGGATTTGCGGCAGCTGTTCCAGTCGTGGAGATGGGAGGGAGGAAAGGGGAGGAGGTGGGGGAGGGGAGGGAGAAGAGGCGGGATGGCGAAGAGAAGAGTTGACGAGGGGGTGAGTAGGAGTCGCAGAAGGTACGAAGGAAGGTGCAAGAGGTAGAGGAAAGGAACGGCGAACGTCAGTAAACTGGAATGCTTCGCAAGCGATTCGGGATGCGGCCGCGGGACGAGCGACGACGAGCGACAACGGGCGGTCAGAGGGAGAACACGCACTTGTCGCCTGTGGGAGTGAGACGGCACGAGTTGGGCGGTCAGCGTTGCCAGTTCGCGCGACATGGAACGAGGTGCCCCGGACCCCGTGAACAGGCGGAGGTGACGGGGAGGAGAGCGAGTGAGGAACATACAAGCCTTGCTCGAGCGTTTCCTGACTTCCTTGTCGTCTGCCTTGCCTCCAGCTCCGCCCTGTCCGCCCCTGCCCTTGCCCTTGGCCTTGGTCGGCTGGCCCGCCTGGTTCTGAGTCGAGGACGACGCCGAGGCAGAGGTTGCGAGGTCGAGCGGGTTGAGGGTCTGCGGATTGTCCGTGTCGGACTGGCTCGAGTAGCCGCCGTCGTCGCTGTCCGACATGCTCACGGCGCGTGCGAGAGCTGAGCAGGTGAGGATCCGGGCGAGGAGAAGCAAGTCGAGACCACGGACACTCGGCGCGTGACTGCTCGCTCTCTGCAGCGTGGACGTGCGCTCACTCGGACAACTCAGCTTGCAACGGCAGACTGCACCCACCAGGACACGCCCACACGCGGCGAGAGAGGCGAGCGAGGAGGTCGCAGGGTCGCTTGAGGTGGGGAACGCCTCGACAGCGCTCTCACGGCAGCTGGAGAGGGTCTGCAGGTCTGCTATGGCCTGCTGAGCACGCTTACAGACTCTGGATACGTCTTGCGACCCGCCCGCCGTTGCTGCCAGCCTTCTCGCCGCCCCCTTTCCTCATCTGTCCAACCCTCGCTCTCATCTCTCTCTCTCCTTCCACCCACTCGCATCGACCCAGCGCCCGCGTCTCCAGTGCGTACATACTCACCCATTCGCTCGTCGCGTAGAGCGCAAGACCGCGCTCACCGCCCTTCCTCTCCCGCAGAGCTCTCACTCACCTCCGTCCCCACTCTCGCGTCCACCCTCGCCCGTCCATTAGCAAGCAGCCATGTCCGACTCGACCAAGGTTGAAGAGCCCGTCCCCGTCGTTGCCGACGACAAGGTTGACCAGCCCGCTGCCGCCGCTGAGGAGACCTCCGCTACCAAGGCCGATGCGCCTGCTGAGGAGGAGACCGCGGCGGGATCCAAGAGGGCCGCAGAGGAGGAGCCCGAAAAGGAGAAGGAGACCAAGAAGTGAGTCCGAAACGCGCTTCCAGAGGTTGAGGCGTATCTCCGCCCGCACTTCTCGTCACAGAGCGCGTTTGGCTGACCTGTGCGCGTGCGTGACGCAGGTCCAAGCCTACCGAGGAGAAGAACGAAGAAGAGGAGGAAGACGTGACGGGCGAGCTCGCGCACCTCGACCAGTCCAACATCATCGAGGGTGGCCGCCGCACGCGCGGCAAGAAGGTCGACTATGCCGCGCTCGACAACGGCGCGGAGGAGGACGACGAGGAGGACGAGGGAGACGTCACGGTTGATGAGGAGACCGCGAGGAAGCAGACGGAGGAGGCGGAGGGCGACGATGACGAGGCGGCCGAGGACGAGGGCGACGACGAGTAGTCTCGTCGCGCCGACGCATCGTGAGGAGACGAGAGTGAGGTGAGCACGCCATCATCGAGTCCCCGCGCCACCTGCGGATCTTACTGATCCTCCCTCCTCTCGCCCAGCTCGCTCGCCTCTCTCGCTATGCCTTCCTCAGCTTTCCCTCACCCAAAACCACAATCCACCGCTTAGTCTGTTGTCCCTCTCGCCGTGAACCACCCTCCCTCAAGCGTAGCGTAGCGTAGCGTGATCATCCCCCCCTCTGCGAAATCTACTTCCGTCAAAGCCGTCTCTCCTCTCCCGGTGCGATCAAGAGAGTTCCAACAAAACGATACAGCTCGAGAACACGGCGAGTCAGCCAATAACATCGCTACACCACCTCTCCCACCTCTGCACAACCTCCTTCACGTTCCACTCTCCCTCGCCTGCCCCTCCAGCCGCGACCGCCCCCCTCTGCACCTCAAAACACTCCAGATGCCTCTTCCCGCACTCACGACACTTCCCCTCCTCCTTTCGCGCACTCAAAGCTCGTCCCGCAAGTTCAACCAAACACAGTCGTTCCCACCTATGCGAATTCCGCCCTCCCTTTTGCGCAAACTTCACGCCACCACCCGATTCATGCGCGGAGGGGAAGATGTATCGCACGATTGGTTCGCCGAGCAAGGGGCAGAGGGTGTTTGTGCGACGGTGTTGTGAGAGACGTAGGAGGGGGTGGATTGAGCGACCGAGTTTTAGGTGTGCGGTTGGGAGGGTCGCGGAGTGAGGAGAGGAGAGGAGTTCGTGGATGTAGATGTAGCTGTGAGCAAAGTGAGTCAGTTTGCGTACGCCGGAATGGCGAAGGAGGAGAGATGCAACGCACCCGTCTTCGTCCTTGTCCGAGACGGGCTTGGACATGTAGTGCCGCAAGAGCGCCTGCGTCTCGACTGGCAGTGATTCCGAGATCCAGTCTGCCCTCGCCAGGATCGCATCAGTGTCGAGCAACGCCGAATGCAAGCCGGGGAGCGAGACTGACCGGAGAACCTGATCCACTGCTCATCTCCTCCCGCTCGACCCGCAACGAAACACCCACTTTCCTTCAGCGCAGTCTTGGCGTGTTGCTTACAAAATCCGACGTCGGCTCCCTCATCGCCCACCGCGCCGCTCGTACCGAACGAAGGCGAGCAAGATCGGGTACATCGTCGACCGGCGGATGTGATACCGCTACACTGTCGTTGTTGTCCAGGGCGAGTTGGAGTCCCAGACTCGCGTCGCCGTCGAGGAGAAGGAGTCGAGATTGGTGAGCGTCGCGCAGCAACGGCTTTGATCGGGTCTTTCCCGCTTGACTTCTTCCCTCGGAAGACCGACTCGCGCAGCTCTTCTAGCAATGAGTCGTTCTCCACGCCCTCGTCGTCGTACGCGGCGCTGTCGTCGATGAACGAGTCGTCCGAGCTCGAGTCGATGTCGAGCACGAGGGGTTGCTTGGCTTTCCCTTTCCCCTTCGACTTCGCGGGTGAGGAGGTGCAATCAGGTGTTTTCTGATGTGGCTTGTGAGACGCTCGAGGCGGAGTAGCGGCGTTGGTTCGATCCGCAAGTCGAGTCGGCGAAGGCTGCTGATAGGGGTGTTGAGGCGGCCGAGGCGGTACCACCGGCGCGTGAGGAGACTGTAGACGTGTAGGCGAAGCGTTCGAAGAGGATGGGGTGGCCGCGTAGACGAATTGAGAGTTGTGCACAGGGTGCGGCGGCGACGCATGATACGAAGGAGGGCGAGGCGGACATGGGGGAGGAGTTGGAGGGAGAGGTCGCTCCGGGCTGACCCGTGTACCCTGAGGTGCGAATTTTGCCGACGAATGGCGTGGCGGGGTGTGGAAGGGTAGACTGGAGCGGTGCGAGTTGACGGCTACGTTGAGCGGGACGAGGGGCGCCTGCGACGGGCCTGCCGTGGGCTGAGGAGGTGGTGGGGGATACAACGGTGGGTTGCGTGTTCTGCTTGGCGAAAGTGCAGGTCGAGGAGGGGTGCTGTAGGAAGTGGAAGGAGGGTACGGCGGTCGAGGCGGATACGTCGAAGGTCCAGGCGAATCGGATACGCTCAGTCCCGCCATTCCGAAGTCTCCAGTCGCAGCAAAGGTGTCTCCTCGCCCGATGTGACCAGGTACGACCCCACTCTCCGCCGTGGGCCCTCGTCTGTCCGCCTTCTTCAGCGTCCTGCCCTGCAGCGAACCCGTCTGTTCTGGTCCTGCAGTCCGCATATCCCGCGGCCCTGGCGTCCTGCCGCACCCCGGCTCGGTTGCGAGTGCCCACATGGGCTGAGGGAGAGGAAGGGGGACATCGAGCGTCGAGAGGGAGCGCGGCTGCTTCGAGGAGGGCGAGGACGAATGTCTGCGGTTCGGCGAGGGGCGGAAGAGGTCGGCGAAGGCTCCCATCCCGTTCAACGGTGTAGTGCCAGGAGTAAGAGGTGGATCAAGCTGGACAAGGGGCGTAGTTCGGACTGAGAGATGAGGCGAGGAGGCGGTGAAGGGAGTCGGCGAAAGGACGGCGACAACGACGTGGGAGCAAGCGTGTGTCGTTCAGAGTCGTGCAAGAGACTCCTGCGAGTCCAGCCAGCGCACTCGTCAGCCTCACGAAGCGAGTCGTGGTGACTGTCCTCGCCAAACCCGCGATCAATCGACCTCTCTCCTCTCCGCCCACTCACGCTCGAGTACACCTGCCTTGCTACGCGCTGCTACCACGCTGGCTCACACTACACGAGAATCACCTCCCCGGCTCACCCTTTCGCGCATCAATCGCCTCCTGCGCCCGCTTCGTTCTGCTCTCGCGCATCTCGCGACACAACTCGACACAGACAGGCAGCGCGCGTGTTCCGGGTACGGGAGGGACGGCGAGAGGGACAGGTACCGGCCGTATCAGGGGCAAGGCGGACGGGCGGAGTCGGACGACAGCGAGGACGAGTGGTCTGCGCGGAGCAAGAAGCGGAGGCGGCAGTCCTCTGCTTCGATTGCTGGGCGCGCGTCGAAGCGGTCATCTGTACATCAGCTCGACGCCGCCGACCCTTCGCCGTCCAGCAGCCCCTTCCGAGCGGTTCGACCTGCGTGGAAGAAGCATTCCCGGACGGCGGGCGGAGCGAAGAAGTACGGCTCAAAGCGAGGGCGGGGCACCGACTCTGCGACGCCTGAAGACGACGCGGACCATCGTCCGACCCGGCGAGTCCGTGGACCTGGACTCGGTACAGGCGAAGAGCGCGCGGGTGTCGAGGAGTGGACAGCTCACTTGCGGGAATATGCTCGTCCCAACTCCTCATCGGCCTCGATATCTTCCTCCTCTGCGCCACCTCTCTCCTCCGAGTCTATCCACCGCACGACAGCCGTCCTCCGCGCGTACACCAACATCCTCGACTCGATCGTCGACTCGTCCTCATCACCCTCTTCCGCATTCCACCTTTCCTCCCTCGCTGAGTCCTCCGCAAGAGACGTCGGCTGGGCGATTGAGGAGAACGTGCGAGGCTGGCTCGTCGAGAACGGGATGGTCTCGCCCGAACCATCGTCCGACTCTTCCTCCGAACATGGGTCTTCTGGCTCAGACGATTCAGACGGCGAGAGTCCAGGACCTACGAGCGTAGGAATGGACAGAGCGGAAGGCGTCTCGGCACAGGAGGCGGAGATGCAGGCTTCGCGCCTCGTCGACGAGTGGTACGAGGCCTGCCCGACCTATACCTGGCGGTGCGTCCTTCTTCCGCTTCACCCTGCTCCCACGCATCTGCTAACGACCTCTTCTCTAGCTGGATCCTCGCCGAACACGCGACCTCGATTCTCGTGACGGAACTGCAAGACGCGGACGCTCCCTACGGCATCTGGGAGACGGTTCTCGGCGTCTGTGTCGAGCGCGGAGCGTTTTCTGAGGTGTGTTGTGTTCTCGTCAGAGAGCTCAGGCCGCAGATTACGATCAATTGAGCGAGAGACCGCTGTTCGCCTTAGCTGAGCTGATCATTTCCTGCTTTTCTAGGCCGCTCGACTGCATCGACCGCTTGTCCAATCCGCCTTCGCCCTGCCTCTCACCACCGCTGCCTCGACAGCCAACATCCTTGACGTCCTCCGCCTCACGCCGTCCCCCCATGCTCTCCTTCATACTGCCCTTCTCCCGACTCTCCTCTCGTCCGCCTTCGAAGACCGCTTCTTCTTTCACTCCTTCCTCGTCCTCTCCCCGTCGAAGCTCGGCGCGGCGAGCGAAGTCGCCATCGAGGTGTTGAGCGTACTAAGCGACGTCGCTATGAAGATGGTCTCGACGCTGCAGGAGCTGCGCGACGAGGAGGAGGACGACGAGGAGAACGAGGGACTAGCGGAGATGGTTGACGAGGTGCTCGCGAGGATAGTCAAGCAGGTCAAGGCTGCCCTGCCGCTCCTCCTCGAATTCCCGCCCGACTCGCACGTTTCCTACGAACAGACACGCTTCGAGCGCTGGCAAAGGCTGAGTCGTCTCGAACGACTGTCGGAGATGGCGCACGCGGTGCTACATGCGGCCAAAAATCGCCTGGCCGACGAAGACGCGGACGGGCCGGCATCCGAACTCGTTGCACTCGCACTGGTGGCCGAGCTCGAAGCTGTCACGTTGCGCGAGGTGAACCTTCGCTCTTCGCGACACAACCTCGAACGCCTCGACCGCCTGCTCGCCCTTCCTCCAGCCGTGACACTACGTTCCCCTTCCTCGCCGAATCCGACTTCCGACCACGACTCCTCCGACGACGCCGAATCGTGTCTCCTCGTCGACTATCTGAGCAGCTACTACCTCTCCTCCCGCACTCGTAAGACGAAAGTCGTCAACTGGCACACCAGCCGGACCATCGACGACATCGCTTTCCTCGTGCAAGAGTTCCTGTGCGTGTCCAACATGACCGACATGCGCCAACGACGTCGAGACGATTTTGCGCGATGCATCATGCTTGCCTGCCGGCGTCGTCGGCTGCTAGACAACACAGAAGTCCGGGTCGTCGAAGGTTGGCTTGTGAAGCTCGACGGTCGACGCGCCAGGAAGGAGCGGCCACGCCAATCCTCGAAGTCGCCATCAGTTGAGGAGGAGAGGTTGGCGGCCGGCCTGTCGACAGACTACGAAGAGACGCCGGCGCCGAGTGCGCCGCCGAAACGCTTGAGGAAACAAACGTCGCGCGGCACCTCACCCAGACATCGCGACCGCACGATCCGCTCCTCGTCGATTGAGCTTGACGATGACAGCGCAGACGCAGAGTCGGACATCGAGATCGTCGAGCCGGCATTCAGCCTGTCTCGACCCGCACGACAGATCGAACGAACCGGCTCGACAGCATCGTCCGCATCGTCTCGCATTGCGGCGCGGGAATGCAGTGCAGGCTCGGTGTCCAAGCGGCAGCAAGCTGCTCACGTCAAGCCTGTCGAGATTGTCGTTCTCGAGCCGTCTCCGTCTCCCGACCTTCCCTCTCCTTCGGCACCCATGCCTCGCTCGACTACCTCCTCTACCGCTTCTTTCGACCAGCAGTCGCGCCTCAAGCCGCCTCGCTCTCGTTCGCCCGACCCAACCGCTACGCCGACTTCGTCGGAACCCGACGACCTCGATCTACTACGTTCGGCCCGACGACGCCCCTCAAAACGCCCGCCGCCCGTCCGCGACAATCGGGCATTAGCCCCTGCTGCACCGAAGCCTCGTTCGGCGGGCAAAGCGCCGCCTAGCCCAAGCCCGAGTCCACCTGTCGATAAGCGCCGCCGAGTCGAAGCTTCGGACCGCGCCGCGTCGACCCATACTACCCGATCCTCGCGGACGGGTGCGGATTGGCATCGGGCTACTGCGCAAGAGGTCGCCATCAAGCGAAGAAGAGTCTTGGTGGAGGAGTCGAGTGAGGACGAGCTGGCTTTGTGAAGCTTTGCATTGCATGCGTTTTGCTACACATTTGGAGGTGGTGCCAGAGCGCGAGAGAACCGACGACAGACGCCGATGGATGCTGGGATGGAGAGAGCTGGTCGGTCTTCGCTTCGAAACGACTCGCCTCTCGCCGGGTCCCTCCCACAACGCAGAGCGGGCAGAAAGCGAGTATGTATAGCAAGCAACAATGTGGACAACGAAAACGCTATGCGTAAGCCGTACAAACATGAGTCCCGAAACCGTTCAAGCGCTCCGCCCTTCCCTTCTCCGCCTATGGAAGCCTCTGCTCCGGTTCGCAGTACGGCACCTTGAGGATCCTGAAGATGTCCCTCTCGTGCTTGATGCCGGGGACAGGGACGCCTTCGGTAAGCTTGTCACCCTTCCTGTCGCGCGCGACCTGATCACGGGCAGGACGAGCATCGTCAGCAAATGCAGTACACGACCGTCACTCGGGACTTCAGCCTAGCGCACATCCTTGTAGAGACCGCGCTGGTTGAGACGGTAGCCGTGGCGGCGAGCCTTGAGACGGATCGAGCGGTTGAAGTACTGTCGGATGAGAGCATGATCAGTAAGGCGGATGGAACCACGGTAGAACGAGGTTGTTTTGAACGCCGTCGAGAAGCCGCGAGTGCGGGAGAACGACGTCGGTGCGAAGAACACAGAAAAACGTCACGCACGTCGTTGCCTGTGAAGTAGATCATGGCGGCGGGAATTTCGTCGAACGGCACACCTGCGCGTTGGAGGGTCAGGTTCGTCTCAGGTGCGGAAGGGTAACAAACGCGAAGGCACCGAGAACGTCAATGCGGCGCATCTTGGCGCCAGGCTTTGGCAGCCTGATCAAATCGTGTACACTATGGCGGTAGCACTGGTCAGCGGCTGCTTGCGTAGAGTGCGGTAGATTGCGACGTACAGCGCATCGAGCGAGCGCCAGTCCTCCGGCACCGTCAGCTCGTGTCGCACCATCTTCTCCGCCACCAGACCCTTCCACAGCTTCTGCACGGCTCCCTCATGCGTCTTGCCGTCGCTCGGGTCCCGCGTGACAATCAAGTCGATGTCGCCGCACGTCTCGGCGCCTCGGCGATAGCTGCCCATGCACCAGACTTGAAGTTTCGGGTCAATGTTGTAGGCTGGAGGTGAGGGAATCAGGTCAGTCGCATCTTCAAGGAAAGACCCGCACGAACGCACCGATGCGCTTCGCATGCCCGTAAAGCTCCGTCACCTCGTCCCTCGGGATGCGCTCCAGGAGGTCCTCGTAGTACTTCAAGCCGACGTGAAGGAGATCCGCGCCGAACCGAGCAGGGTCGCGCCTGATCATCTCGACCGAACGGGCGCCCCTGTCGTACAGATCCGCTGCCTTTGCCTGTCCGACGCCGTAGATGCCGCAGAAGAGCTTAACCGTCTTCTCGCGTTCAGTCTGGAAGGTCGTCAGGCGGCGGTGCGTCCCTGTGAAGCATACGTCAGTCTACAGCGTCGGGAAGAATGCAAAAGCTCTGCCTACCGGTGCGCAGGATCTCGATAATCTTGTTCGCCATTTTATCGCCGATACCGCGGAGCTTGACGAGCTGGTCAAAGCGAGTGACCTTGGTCGGGCAGCTGCGCAACTTGTTTGCGGCTTCGAGGGAAGGGAGCCCATCAGCTGAGGGAACCGGTGCACGGAATCCTCCAGAACGGCAGCGCACCCTGCTTGTACGAGCGTTGGCGGAACTGGTCCTTCTCGGTCGTCGTCGACTGCAGGTCGGCTAGCTTTTCGAGCTGTGTGAGGGGACACGTGAGAGAGGACTATGCACGACGTCGAGAGTCGTGACAAACCTGGAACGCGACGGGTTCGTTCGGACCGTTGCGAGTGGCGCGGTTCTCCTCGGGGTTGTCGCAGGCGTAGCGGTAGTTCTGCGAGAACAGCTGAAGTCAGCGGACTTTCAAGACATCGAGGACCGTCCTACGCACCCTTTGAACTCGTTTCCTCGGGTTGAACTCCTCCTTCTCCTCGTCGCTATTCTCCTCTTCGGTGGAGAAGGAGTCGACCCGGTTCGACAGGATCATGCACTCGTCGTCGTCGAACGAGACAGGCGAAGGGTCGATGGTGCCTTTCTCGAGGAACTCGTCGATATCGTCGAGGCCGTATTTGTCGACCATGGCGAGCTCGTCCTCCAGGCCCTTGGGAACGGCCCTCTTCGCCACCTTCGCCTTCGCCTTCGCCTTCCCTCTGCCCTTCGGGCTCTCCTGGGCCGCAGGCGATGATGACGGGCCGGCCATCTTGCGCGTCAAGTCGGCGTCTTCGATAGGGTCGCTCATCTCGACGTCTTCCTGCTCGAGAGATCCGCCGCCGCCGACCTGAGCTGTCGTCGGGGTCTTCGCCTTTTTCTGACGTGGCGGGAGTGACGATAGGGTCGACTGGCTTGTGGCCTGGTCGAAGTAGCCGGCTGGCGGAGCCTCACCCTCGGGCCAGTCCTCCGGACCAAGCGGACTGCGAAACGCTCGACGATGTCAGCGCGTAGAGACGATACCGCGAAAGTGGGAAACGCACGACACGCCGTCCGCGTGACCATCGCTGCCATCTGACTCCTCGACGTCCGTGTCCTCCTGCTCCTGGCCCTTCCCCTTCGCGCCAAGTTTCTTCTTCTTCGCAGCTTCGAGCTTCGCCTGCTTTTTCCTCGCCCGTTCGCGCTCCTTCACCACTTGCCTAACCTTCTCCTCCTTTTCCGCCTCCGCCTCGCTCTGCCTGAAGTCGCCCTTCAGGACGTACGGCCACTCGGACGCCTTGCCCTTGACATCGATGCACTTGGTGATCCAGGGGAAACCGACCACCTGAACGAAGGGACCGAGCTCGTCGTCATTGATACCGCTGCTGTCGGGCCCGAGGCAGGCAATAATCTCCTTGTACGTTGGTGCGCGCTGGCCTTGCGGCACGAGCGGAATGATGTGCGTCGTCCAGCCTTCTGCTTCCGCCCGTTCGAGGTCGAATGGCTCGCCCGTTACTTCGTACGGTGGAGGGACAAAGTCTTCCGGGCGTACGAGGGTCGCGCCGTTCTTCGCCGCGACGCTCATGTTGGTACGCAAAGCCTGGTCGAAGCGGTTCCGCGGCGCTGTGCTTGCGGCGGCGCGCACGACGACTGTCTGCGACGAGCGACGCCAGTGGTCGGTGTTGACGAAGACGATGCGGCAGCCGGCCAGGATCTTCTTTGAGTCGGCAAGCTGAGGCGAGAACTGCTCGAGATAGTCGATGAAGTCGGACACAGTCTTGAACTGCTCGGCAAGCTTGTCGCCCTTGATTTTGCGAGCTTCTGTGAGGGCTTGCTCGAGCGAGAGACGTGGCTTCTTGCGAGTCCGGGCGGAGGCAGCGCCAGCTTGGCCAGCGACGAGAGGGACTTCGAACGCGTTGGAGCGGCTCGCGCGCGGCGCGATAGCCTTTCCGATGCCCCGGACTTTGCTGACGCGCGCGTTGACGGCCTTGGAACCCTTCGCGCAGCCGTCCGAGTCGCTGTCGGAAGAGAGGACATCGACGACGGGAGGGCTGGTTGACGGAGAACTCGTTACGGGCGGCGAGCGGGTCTTGGTCGGAGCCGCGGTGGGAAGCTTCGACGTCGAAGCTACAGGGCCATCGGACAACTCGTCGAGGACAAGCACTTCGGTAAGCTCGGGGCGAGGCGGTTTCGTTGGCTGAACGGGCGGAACTGGCTTCGAGGCGGGCTGGCGAGACGAAGTTGTAGCTTGACGTTTCTTGGGCGGTTCGAGAGCCTCGATCGCCTTCTCTGCCTCCTTGCGAGCATCCTGCGCCTGGCCCTGTCCATCCCTCACGCGCTTCTGTCCCGCCAGACGTCCATCCTCGCGCTCGACATCCTTCCTGACGGGCAGCGCCGGCTCGTCGTCCTCGCTATCTGACTCGATATTGATCGGCTTGAACAGCGGATGTGGTCCCACCGCCTTCTCGAGCCGGGCGAGGCGCTCTTCGAAGGTCGGTTCGAGGTCGGAGAGCAGGGCGAACTCGGAGAGCGGGACGGGCTTGCGGTTCATCGCGCCCGCCTGCGAGAGGCTCCAAGGACCTCAATGAGCAGTCTGAGCGTGGTCCAGCAGCGGTGCAAGCGAGCGAGGAGAGATGTCAACCGCAGGAATTCGTTGACAAAGAACGCTTCATCTCTTGTCGTGGCTCTTCTCTCTTAGGCTGGATTAAGCATGTCAGCAGGCTTTGGTTCACCTCAGAGTCCCGAAAAAGCCGCCCGCCTACGCCGCAAGCGTGCTCACCCCTCTGCCGCGACCCCTCCTCGAACGTCATCTTCGAGGCGGCCCAGGACACCACAAGGAGACTGGTCGACGGACGACGAGGCGGATCATACCGAAGAGCTTCTCGAGGGACCGAACGCACCGCGCAGAAGCGCTCAGGAGACGGGGAAGGTGCGGAAGTCGATGCCTGCTCCGAGAAGGGGCCCGTCAGGTCTGTCTTTCTGCCCCGTCCTCGCAATTTGCAAAGCTATACTGACCTCTGCTCTGGTTATAGCTTACTCCACCATCATCCAGTCCATCCGCCGCGCCCTCTCCCTCTTCTTCCGCCTCCTCCTGCCCCTCATCGCGCCCATCCTTCCCTACATTCTTCTTGCGATCCTCGTCTACGTCTCCCTCGCCATCCTTCGATCGTACACGCTCTGGTACCTCTCGTATTTCCCCGCATTCCTCCACGCTCCGCTCTCCCGCCTTAACAGCCTCGCCCTTCCCCTCCCTCACCTCCGCCCTTTCTCTCCTGCCGCCCTCCTCCGCCTCAACTACTCCTCCTTACCCGGCCTCGCCTTCGGCATCTTCGGTAGCTCGTCAGCCCGTCAACGCGACTTTGAGCTTCTGAGCGCCTCCGCCGCCCGAACAGCCAAGACGCGCGCGTCCCATGCTCTCGACGTCTTCGACCACCTCATCCACCTCGGCGATGCAGACAGCGATGGCATGTCGTTGGAACCCGTGGCGATCTGGGAGCTCGCGACGGCCGTCAAGTACACGAGTACGCTCGAGGACCGGGATTTCGTCGCGGGCCAGCTGGGAGAACTGGGCGACCTGACGCGGGAGGTCAAAGATGCGGTGATTGGGCTGAACGCGCAAGGCTTGAACGCTTTCGCTTTCGTTCTGTGCGTCCTTCGGACCCTCGAGATTAGCCAGCCCGACTGACGACTTCGCTTGCAGCCACGAGTTTGACCGCCTGGAAGACCTCATCCTCCGCGCCTCGAGCTCCTCCAAACCCTTCACCGCCGCCCAAGCGACCGAGTTTTCCGATCTCCTCTCCACCCTGTTCGGTAAGATCTCCTCGACCCTATCCGACCTCCTCAACTCCCTCGACCGCTCGATCCCTCTCGCCACCCTCGCGTCGGACAAGTCCCGCCTTCTCTTTGCTTCTCTCCGCTCGCAAGAGGCATCGTCGCTCGCTTCGCTCGAGGAGATGGACTGGGTCAGCCACTTGCTCGAGTCGACTGGGCGGAAAGTGGGCGGCGCGAAGCGGGTCAGGATGCTGAAGAGGGATATTGAGCTGACGCGAGTCAGTGCTGGCGGATTGATGGGCGTGTGGCAAGGGCTGGAGAATACGAGAGAGTCGCTTGTGAGCTACCAACGGAATCTCGGGCATTACAAGGTATGTTCTCGCGTCTGCGGCTTCCGCTCCTCCCGCCTCTTCTCTACTATACGCTGGAGATCCTTACTGATGGAAAACCTCGTGGTGCGACAGGCCGGCCTCGTCGGCTACCACCTCTCAGGCCACTCGCTCTCCGTCGACCAAGAAGTGGCAAGCCTCAAGACCGTCATGGACGAGATGCGCAACACGCTCGAGCTCGCACGACGGCGCAGTCGTGGGGGTGCGACGAGGGCAAAGGTGCGGGAGTTGGGCGAGTCGTGAGCCGTTGGAGAGGCTCGTAGCAAGTGTATCGAAATCTCGCGGATGGCCTGTTGTAACCCTGACGGACAGAGTGGATGAGTTTTCATAACACTACGGTTGCGGGTACAGCGATAGAGTGAGGGAAAGCGAACGGGAAGGGCACAACAGAATGGGTATAGAGTTCGTCAAACAAGCGTGCATCGTCGTCAAGCCACAACGTCAAGCTCCTCAGCGGTTCCTTCGTCCACCGCTGACCGCATCACCCGCAGGACGGAGCTTGCGCGCCGTCATCGCAGACGGGCGAGCCGCAGCCGCACGAGGTGCGACATCGACCCACCCGCGGTCCTTCCTGGCGTACCTCGCCGCCTCCGCCTTCTCACCCTCCGTCTCTTCCTCCTCATCGTCGTCGTCGTAGACCGTCGGAGCAGGCAACCCCCTGCCCCTGCTCTTCCCACCCGCGCCGCCCAACCTCCTCGCGTTCCCTCCTTTCACCCCGCCTCCCTCGTACTCGTCCTCTCGCCAGCCAAGCATGCCCACCGCGCCCCTCGCGCCAGTCTGGAGCGTCCAGCTCGCGATCGTAGCGGGCAACGAGACAGGCAAGAGTGCGAGGCGCGTGACGAGCGAGTGGTCCCGTCCGCCGTGCGAGGAGGGAGGCGGGTAGGCAAAGTGCATCAGGAGGGCCCTCAAGACGCCCGAGACGAGTCCGCGCCTTGCGTAACTCGACGAGGCTGAAGCCGACTGAGTCGACGAAAGCTGGTCGACCAATGCGCGGAGGAGCTCGAGTTCCTCTTCTTGTTTCTCGACAACACGAACGACTTCTCCGACCGCTTCGACGACCTCGCGCGTCTTCTCCTCCGACTCGAGCTTGGTGTTCTGGAGCGAGAGCTGGGTTCGCCTCAACGCGCGGGAGAGGGTGCTGACTTCTTCTGGACTGGTCGAAGGCTGGGCAGGCTGAGAGGAGGTCGAGGATTGGAGAGTGGTCAGGCGCGATTCGAGGTGTTCGATGCGCGAGGAGAGGAGGGCGATCTCGGCGGAGGGGTAGTGGACGAGCGTTTGGTGGTAGAGCGAGTCTGCGAGTGCGCGCGGCTGTTCGTCAGGCCGTCGAGTCTCAGACCGGTGAGTAAGAGACGGTCACGCACGGTGCTTCAAGAGCTTGACCGCATGTCCGACAGGCTTGACGCTACTCCCGACGACAAACAACCCGATCAAGAAGCGGTTGATGTATCTCTCCGGATCGCTGAGCAGTCCACGCGCGTAATGGAGGATCGAAGCGCCAACGGCGGGGACGAGGAAAGTGAGAAGGAGGGAGAAGAGTTCTGCGCGGCGGAGGGAGCGGGAGGAGGCGGCGCGGAGGGCGGTCACGGAGGGGTCTTCGGGAGGGAGTGTGGGCGAGAGCGAGGAGGGTAGGACGGTGCGCGTGTAGGAGGCGTAGTAGAGGTCCCACGGCACTGTGCGAGTCGAAGTTAGCTTCCGCGAGAAAGCGACATCCGTCCCTTCGCCTGCTATTCCGAGCGGCTGAACGCACCCTTGATGAGCTGGTAGAGGTAGAAGACGACGAGCGCGAGGACGATGGCGTCGGACCAGTTCTCTGCCCTGCCATGCACGATCGCACCGAGCGGAGGAAGCGCGACGAGGATGAGCGGGAGGTGGTGCCATCCGGAGGTCTTCTCTGCCTCGAGGTGCTCCTGTGGGTGTTGTAGTGCACGTCAGCAAGCGGGAAGAGGGCGCCGAGTGGAAGGGAGTGAACGCAACGTGAAAGTTGTCGTCCGAGAGGAACAAGTCCGGGTCTCGCGGTGGCTCGAGTGCGACGCCTTTCCCTCCGCGCATCGAGTGGCGGTTCCTGCGCGCCCTGCGCGACTGACCCGAGCCCCGCCCTTCCTCGTTGTACGAGCCCTCTCCTGCTCGCGAGCGTCTCCTGCGCAGCCCGTCGCCTCGTGCAGGTCCCTCTCGGCCGTGTTCCTCGTCTGCATACCCCTCGAGCGGGTCAAAGTCGGCCATTGGTCCGTCTGGTCGCGAGTTGGGGGTGTGCGAGTCGCGTGCGTCGCGGTTGCGTCGGTCGCGAGGAGGGGGTGGGGAACCCGAGTCGGAGGTTGAGCTGGGCGGCGTGGGAGGGCGCTGGGTGTGTGTCTGCGTGAGCTTGTGGGTCGCCGCGTGCGGTGGGGCGGTCATCCCAGCAACAGCGAGAGTTGGGCAGGGCGAGAGGAGCGAGTTGAGCGAGTTGAGAGTTGTGCGAGGCAAGAGCGACTCGCGCGACGAGATGACCTCAACACACGAACCAGGCTGAGCGGGTCGATGTCGCTGAGTGAAGCAGTGGAGTCGAGGACAACAGCAACGGTCGCCTTTCACGCTGCAACCAACTCCAACTCCGCCCGCACATTCCTCCTCGCCGATCGCAAACTCCTGTCTGCGCGACAGCACGCGTCCACTCCTCGTCCAACCACTCGCACCGACGATGGACAGACACGCACTCGAGGCAGTCCTCGTGTGCCGCGCAGACGGACAGGACGCGACCTACGACCAGACGCTCGAGGTCGTCCTCGCGGGTGAGTGGTACTCGCTTGCACTGCCTCCGACGGCTTGAGCAGGCCTCGAGGGATGCTGGCGGAGGGCTGACCAGCTTCTCGGATACTCACAGGACAGGGCAAGACACCGAGGCAGGCGCTCGAGGCCATGTGGGTCCCGTCTGCTCCTCCTCTCCTCCTCGTCCTGATGAGCTGATCGCCTCGAATCGTCCAGTCCCGCTTCCGAGTGGTCAACGTCGGCTTTTCCTCACGCCCACCGAACCGCCGCTCAGCCCGTCTCTGCCGCTGCCGCTTCCTCGTGCGCCCTCGTCTCCTCGTTTTCAGCCTTCCTCGAGCTGAATCTGTTCATTGCGGTGTCCCATTCGCAGCTCTTACAGAACGCACGCCGTCAAGGGATACTCTCCCTTTGGTTCGGGCGAGACGGGAGAGTTTGCGACGTTCAGGCAGGGACGGGAAGTCTGGGACGAGGATGTCGAGGTGCGTCGCTTCGCTTCCTTCCACCTGAAGCCGCTTGCATTCGCATATGGAATCGCGCGCTGATGGAGAATAAGGCTCTTCTTGCGCCCAGCTGAGAGAAGCGGTCGAGGATGACCTCCGCCTTTTCGCCGAACGAGCAGACCATTCCGAGGTACGTCTAGCTTCCGTCTCCTGCCTCGCCTTGAAGTGCGCCGCTCCCTCCGACTTCGCTAGTCTCCTCTTCCTCTTTCCTTCCACTCCCGCCGCTCTCCTTTCCTCCATTTCCTCCATCCTTTCCCTTCTTCTCCTCGTAATCGTCGACGATCCCGCCTTCCTCCCCATTCTGCTGGCTCTCCCTCCAGTTCCTCCCACTTCCTTTCCAGTCATCGCTCCTCCTCTCCCCCAACATACCCTATTCTGGCTTCGCTCCCTCCCTTCGCCGTCCTCTACCTCGCCGCACCCGACCTTCCCTTCCTCCCCAACCTCCACATCCAATCCATCTCTCCCTCTCTGGGCTCCGCCTTCAACACACACAACAAGAACTCCTACTGACACACCCGTGACCCCTCACAGGGCTTCATCCTGACCACTCCCTCCTCAACCGCCTTCTCCGGCCTCTCCTCGTCCTTCCTCACCCGCACAATCCGCGACGAATTCCCCAAGTTGCCAGTATGGAGCGCAGGGATCTTGACGAACGCTCGAGGATGGAAGAGGGCTGACACGAACGTACGTTCCTCCCTCTCTTCTACCAGAGAGCTCACGCTGATTGGGATGCTCAAGCAGAGAAGTAAGGCTCAGCGCGTGTTGAATGAGGCGCTAGCGCTAGTGGAGACGGAGGAGTATGCGAGTATGTACCTGCCGGTGCAGCCTGTGAGAGGGTGGGACGAGAAGCGGGAAGAGGCGTGGAGGAAGTACTTGAGGGATGACGTGCGCCCGTGTCTCCTCCTTCCCATTCCAAACGAGAGACGCTGACAAGATTCGATGTATGGTACCGCAGGTCGACCGGTGCGAGAGCTATAGGACGGTCTTGACTATGCACCTCCAGTCCGCCGGTTCTGAACTCCGGTTCGTCTCCTTTCCTTACATTCCTCTTCCCTCTTCCCTCTTCCCTCTTCCCTCTTCCCTCTTCCTGCTTCCTGCTTCCTGCTTCA